AGTAGTCTGTTGGTAGAGCGTTTGATACCTAACTTGAAAGTCTCAAGTTCTATTCTCGGACTCTATGACGTCACTGAGTCCACCCAACACTGATGGGCATCTGAATAGTAAAAGTAAAGGCTGTTGTGCATAGTGCTGACCACACCATCCCTTCATACGCGTGGTCAAGAAACAGATGAACTTTACTTCTTCTGCGCTATGGATTGCTAGGTCTCAATGGGGGATCTACTTTCTTAATATCGGGATATGAGAGTTGATGAAAATCCACTTCCGGATACCCTGTTTTATTGTGTCACCCATACACTATACGACTATAGTTTTTAGATTTTTTTTTTTGTATGTTGACAAATAGGTTTTCCTTTGAAAAGTGTGTGTGTGGGGGGGGGGGAGTGAGAGTACAAGTCCACTTCTCCTCCCCCCCCCCCCCCACCTGATGAAATAGAAGAACAAAATTTAAATTATATTGAAAATTGATGCGTCAACAATATCCTTCCCCCCCCCCCCCAGAAGTTTCAAATGCCCCCCCCCCCCACCATCACCCTTCCCCCCCCCCCCCCCGAGCAAAATATCTGATAAAAAACCTTGTTGCTGAATGAAGCTGTCATACACCATCCAGCCGCCCCCCTCCATAGACACACAGACACAGACACACAGACACACACACACACGCACACACACACTCATACTACTAAAGACGTGACCACTTACCCGTAGAAACAAAACTCAACGTGACGACACAGCCGAGTAATATGGAGACGTTCGCCAACACGCTCACCGCGCCCAGGTGCCGGACTCTTCTCAAAAAGGCGAAAACGATAAAGAACGGAAGCGGAACCAGCACGAGCAGACGCAGATCCGGCGCCGTCGACTCTAAGACCAGCGAGGACACGTTATACATTCCAGAACTGTTGTGCGTCTGAGAGAATCCGCTGGGCATGGTATGGGTCGGTACGGTTGTGTTTCGGTACGGAAACAGGGTGTACAGCGTGTTTCCGATGAATATGAAGTAGGCCACGCTGAACCCGAACTGGGTAAACAACAGACAAGCATTGACCACCGTCACCCCGGGAGCACCGAACGCCGTTTTTCCGATGTCCCCGTAACTCAACGTTTTCGTCATCTGTTCTTCAAGTGTATGTCTGTTTTCTACCGGATCGCCATTTTCGTTGTAGTATTTTTTCTTGCCGGTCAACGGAGCGCTGTGGTGACGGTTTTCTAGAACTTTCTGGATGACGGTGTATTTACATTTGACGATAAGATCACAGCAGTGGTCTGTGACGAGGGCCACGATAGTCAGGAGCACCAGGCCCATCTGGAGATTGAAGAAACGGAACAAATATACATTACACGGGGGTCGAAATTTTATTTTACCGCCTGTCTAATATACCAGAACCATCTGGAGATTAAAGAAACGGAACAAATATACATTACACGGGGGTCTAAATTTTATTTTACCGTCTCTCTAATACACCAGACCCATGTGTAGATTAAAGAAACGGAACAAATATACATTACACGGGGGTCTAAATTTTATTTTACCGTCTCTCTAATACACCAGACCCATGTGTAGATTAAAGAAACGGAACAAATATACATTACACGGGGGGTCTAAATTTTATTTTATCGCCTGTCTAATACACCAGACTCCAGACCCATCTGGAGATTAAAAAAAAACGGAAAAAAAAATATATAGTACACAGCGGTCTAAATTTTATTTTACCGCCTGTCTAATACACCAGACCCATCTGGAGATTAAAGAAACGGAACAAATATACATTACACAGCGGTCTAAATTTTATTTTACCGCCTGTCTAATACACCAGACCCATCTGGAGATTAAAGAAACGGAACAAATATACATTACGCGGCAGTCTAAATTTTATTTTATCGCCTGTCTAATACACCAGACTCCAGACCCATCTGGAGATTAAAAAAAAAACGGAACAAAAAATATATAGTACACAGCGGTCTAAATTTTATTTTACCGCCTGTCTAATACACCAGACCCATCTGGAGATTAAAGAAACGGAACAAATATACATTACACAGGGGTCTAAATTTTATTTAACCACCTGTCTAGTACACCAGACCCATCTGGAGATTAAAGAAACGGAACAAATATACATTACGCGGCAGTCTAAATTTTATTTTATCGCCTGTCTAATACACCAGACTCCAGACCCATCTGGAGATTAAAAAAAAACGGAACAAAAAATATATAGTACACAGCGGTCTAAATTTTATTTTACCGCCTGTCTAATACACCAGACCCATCTGGAGATTAAAGAAACGGAACAAATATACATTACACGGGGGTCTAAATTTTATTTAACCACCTGTCTAGTACACCAGACCCATCTGGAGATTAAAGAAACGGAACAAATATACATTACGCGGCAGTCTAAATTTTATTTTACCGCCTTTCTAATACACCAGACCCACCTATAGATTAAAGAAACTAAACAAATATACATTACACGGGGGTCTAAATTTTATTTTACCGCCTGGCTTATACACCAGACCCATCTGGAGATTGAAGAAACGGAACAAAAAAATACATTAAACGGCAGTCTAAATATTGTTTTACCGCCTTTCTAATACTCCAGACCCATCAGGAGATTAAAGAAATGGAACAAATATACATTACACGGGGGTCTAAATTTTATTTTACCGTCTCTCTAATACACCAAACCCACCTATAGATTAAAGAAACGGAATAAAAAAAATTACACGGCAGTTTAAATTTTATTTTACTGCCTCTTTCTAATACACCAAACTCATCCGGAGAATTGCATGACTGCACTACAGAGCATGATATATTCATATCGCACGCCCAATTCAAGGAAAAGATGTGTCTGCACTACGAAACAAACATACCACATTCCCCACTTCTATGGGATGGCGTGGTCGAATGGTAGAGCGTTTGGCTGCCAACCTTAAATGTCTCGAGCTCTGATCTCGGTTCGGACTTGTGACTATAAACTGTACGAGTCCACCCAGCTCTGATGGGTACCTGACTTAAGTTGGGGAAAGTAAAGGCGGCTGGGTATTGTGCTGACTACACCATTCTTTTATATTCCGAGGTCAAGAATCATATGAACTTCATTTTCCCAATAAATCGCAAGGTCTAAAGAGGAACTATTTTTTTACAAGCCCAATGTGGGTAAAAAAATTTTTTTGCATTACATAACATATTTACCACAAGCTCAGGTTTGACGTTACTACAAAACATACGTACCACAAGCCCACTTTGGGTGAAAGCGTACGCCACACTCAAGTAGTTGGAGCCTATGAAAGCTTTTACCATGTTGGCGAAGTCGCTGATCAATATCAGCCATCTTGATTTCCTCCTAGAGAATATAAACACAATCTTGAGTGATCTTTTAAAAAAATGGCCGATAGTTAGATCACGACAGCAGTTAGTTTTCTGGCGAAGAAGTTTGATATTTAAAAGTTTTAAAGCTTCTTTTGTGTAAAAAGATGAGACTGCGTTCCCTCGCAGTCTAGCAGTAGAGCGTTAGACTGCTAATTTGAAAGTCTCGAGTTCAAATCCGGGTTCAAGTCAGCAGAACGTCACTGAGTCCACCCAGCTCTGATGGGTACCTGACTGACGCTAGGGAAAGTAAATGTGGCTGGGCATAGTGCTGACCACAATATCCCTCCATATACCGAGATACCAGAAACAGTTGGACTCCACTTCACTTGTCTCATGGACCATCAGGTTCGAAAAAGGGAAATTTCCTTACTATGTAAAAAGAGGAGGCACACGAAAAAATAAAATGACTACTACGAAGTGTTCTTTGTAGAATAAAATGAAAAATATATTTATATAGCCAAAAAAAAAACGCAAAAATCCACGCGAAAGAACACGAGTTTACCAAAAGCTATAACTATATCCGCCACGATTTAATGTTAATTAAAAAATAAAAAAAATCGATCCAGAGGGTCATGAAATATTTTAAAAATGTAACGGCGGAAATTAGAAAAGGAAGACTGTGATGATTAGGCGATTTAGCAAGACACAACACAGAGGGGTGAATGTGGTGCATATCCAAAACAGCAAAGATACCCAACCAAAAAGCAGGCCTAGGCAGAGACCGGTAGATGAAGTGGAGACAGACCTACAGAAGTACAGACATGGGAAGCAGAAGACAGCGGAGAGGTCTGAATGGAAGAACGTGGTGAAGCAGGACAAATCCCTTGATGGGTTGTAGAACTACAAGCATGGGTGCAATATTCCCTCTAAGGAAAAACAGTGTGCAACGTGTATTTTGTGTGCGCGGTGTTCTAAAAGTCTTATACAAGGATATAAGTATTTTAGAAAATCACTGCGCGGCAGCTCAAAAGTTCTGCGCGGCCGCGCAACCGCACAGCTTAGAGGAAACACTGGATGGGTGGCTGATGTATAGGGTTGTTTTTTTTTAACAATCAATTAACGCAATGGTGAAACTCTAACACCCTCATCGATCTAGATCACTTGTTTCACCTATGAAACATCTAACACCGTCTTTGATCTAGATCAGCTGTTGCACTTGTTAGTTAGACCTACATCTTTCACCCCCCCGGTCCTCCCCGTCCTCCCCTCCCCCCCCCCCCCCCTGTCTAGAACAGATGTTTCACCAGTTGCATCTCTGGCCTGCATCTAAATCCACAGATGAAAGAAAAGATATTTCCCAATAGCGTGACTCAGATACAGACAGGTGGTTTGTGGATGAGTGCATTAGAGGTAGTGGGGATTACGTCTGGGTGGGGCGGGGATTATGCAATTAGCGCGGGATTACGTCTGGGTGGGGGGAGTATGCAATTAGCTGGGTATTACGTCTGGGTGGGGGGGGGAGTATGCAATTAGCTGGGGATTATGTCTGGGTGGGGGGAGTATGCAATTAGCTGGGTATTACGTCTGGGTGGGGGGAGTATGCAATTAGCTGGGGATTACGTCTGGGTGTGGGGAGTATGCAATTAGCTGGGGATTACGTCTGGGTGGGGGGAGTATGCAATTAGCTGGGGATTACGTCTGGGTGGGGGGAGTATGCAATTAGCTGGGGATTACGTCTGGGTGGGGGGAGTATGCAATTAGCTGGGGATTACGTCTGGGTGTGGGGAGTATGCAATTAGCTGGGGATTACGTCTGGGTGGGGGGAGTATGCAATTAGCTGGGGATTATGTCTGGGTGGGGGGAGTATGCAATTAGCTGGGGATTACGTCTGGGTGGGGGGGAGTATGCAATTAGCTGGGGATTACTTCTGGGTGGGGGGAGTATGCAATTAGCTGGGGATTACGTCTGGGTGGGGGGGAGTATGCAATTAGCTGGGGATTACGTCTGGGTAGGGGGGGGTGTATGCGATTAGCGCGGAATTACGTCTGGGTGAGGGGGGGGAGTATGCAATTAGCTGGGGATTACGTCTGGGTGGGGGGAGTATGCAATTAGCTGGGGATTACGTCTGGGTGGGGGGAGTATGCAATTAGCTGGGGATTACGTCTGGGTGGGGGGGAGTATGCAATTAGCTGGGGATTACGTCTGGGTAGGGGGGGGGGGTGTATGCGATTAGCGCGGAATTACGTCTGGGTGAGGGGGGGGAGTATGCAATTAGCTGGGGATTACGTCTGGGTGGGGGGAGTATGCAATTAGCTGGGGATTACGTCTGGGTGGGGGGAGTATGCAATTAGCTGGGGATTACGTCTGGGTGGGGGGAGTATGCAATTAGCTGGGGATTACGTCTGGGTGGAGGCGGGGAGTATGCGATTAGCGCGGAATTACGTCTGGGTGAGGGGGGGGGGAGTATGCAATTAGCTGGGGATTACGTCTGGGTGGGGGGAGTATGCAATTAGCTGGGGATTACGTCTGGGTGGGGGGAGTATGCAATTAGCTGGGGATTACGTCTGGGTGGGGGGAGTATGCAATTAGCTGGGGATTACGTCTGGGTAGGGGGGGTGTATGCGATTAGCGCGGAATTACGTCTGGGTGAGGGGGGGGGAGTATGCAATTAGCTGGGGATTACGTCTGGGTGGGGGGAGTATGCAATTAGCTGGGGATTACGTCTGGGTGGGGGGAGTATGCAATTAGCTGGGGATTACGTCTGGGTGGAGGCGGGGAGTATGCAATTAGCTGGGGATTACGTCTGGGTGGGGGGAGTATGCAATTAGCTGGGGATTACGTCTGGGTGGGGGGAGTATGCAATTAGCTATATATCGACCTACACTGTGTAGTAGAAACTCTTCTTTGATATCATCGGTATGAATATGTTTTACAAAGACAAGCAACTGCGAACATGAACTCACGTCTGTTGACTCATCAACTTGAAAACCAAACAATGGTGAAAGTTTGATTTCATTCAAAATTTGTTTTTTAACACCTACAGATATGTCTGCTATAAGCCGCTGAATAGTATTATTAGACAGAGATATTTGTTGCATCTTGACCATGCAGGGTTTAATGAGATTTTCTCTAATGCGACTTCACATAATGCTAGCACTAATGCTGTGTTTCTTTTAGTGAAAACTTCCTGTTCGATCAAGTCTCTATCGTTTTCAACTAGCTTCATGCTGACGAAAGAACTCCATATCTTTTTTTGGTGAGTTACGAATAGCTTGTCTCAAAATGACTAAGAACAATCTGAAAACCTCAATACTCTGATAATGTTTTTAAAACAATCGCTCGCCGCAATCAGGAGATTTCGTATAAAAAAGCTAAATCGGAATAAATAATAAAATAAAAAAAATTAGAAAAGTAGGCCTATATAGAAATATTTACAGGAAAGGCTTTCTATTTGGTCGTTTAATATGAATTTATTCAAATTTCAAGACATCATCAAAAACTTTTTTTTTTAAATTGTATAGTGAAATTTTGTTTGGATTAGTCTACTAGTTGGCGACCCCCCAGAAAACCCACAATTTGGGAACCCATGTTATAGAGGAAGTATGTTGACAGTTTTCATCGTTTTATACCTCAGTACTTCATCATATACAGAGTATAGGGGGGAAAACAATAAATCCAGATTAATCAAAATGTTGGTGTTCTAAGCGTAATCGAGTAGGAAAACTGGGCGTTGCAGTTCTGTCCGTATGTCTGTGTGTGTATGTGTGTGTATGCCAGTCAGAGTTTCTTCCAGGCATCTCTTCGGGTGGGCGAAGCCCCCCCGAAAAATTTTTACCGCCCCCCCGAACGAAATGAAATTTATATAATTTATATAGAAAATATATACTTTTAACAGTGTCCGCCCCCCCCCCCCCGAAGAAAGTTTACCGCCCCCCCCGAAGATTTCAAGTGCCCCCCCGGAGAAAAAAGTCTGGAAGAAACACTGATGTCAGTGAACACGATAACTTGAGTACCGTTACAGCTAGGTTGTTTAAATTTCATTAACAAGTATTATATCAAATTTGTAATTCTGTATTAACCTTTCAGCGATTTCCGTAGACCGGAAGTAGTAATTTACGCTATTTCCGATTTCTCAAAAAAAAACCCGCTTATGAATGTAAATAGTACTAATAATATTCCGCACTATTATACACAGATTGTTTGGCGTTCACTTGGTGCGCAATTCTTTTTTCACGAGATTATAAATAATTATACTCTATTTAAAAAGTTTAATTAAGTAATTAAAAAAATTGATTAAACATCATGTCTATACCGTGAGTTGCTTTCGCCCGTTAGGGGGAAGATCACTCCCGGTTTATTTTTCCGATTTTTAAAAGTATTATCTACCAAGATTTTAACTGAAGAGTTCCGTCATTGTTTACAATAGAGAAGAAAAAATATCAAGTGGGCGTTGGCATTAAAAAATAACAACTATGGGCATTTAAACATTATGAGACTATGGTGAACGAATGTTGATAACTTTCGTAATGTTACTAACAACAAACCTCTGATTGGTCAAGTCACCGAGTAACAAATTCCCTTCGTCTGTCACAATCCTCTGTTCTAACTTGTCCATTTCTAAGCAATGGCAATGGCTGCATCTAATTATGTTTTTTAATTTTAATCAGGTCATCGCTCCTTGGTCTAATTCATCTATCTCGGCCCTGATTATAATGTTAATTAATTACGATGGCAGCTCAGCTTTTGTTATGTAAAAAAAATTCCCCTTTGCTATGTGTTGGTATGGGTTCAAGTTAGTGGAACGTCCCTAAGTCCACCCACCTCTGATGGGTACCTGACTCACGTTAAGGAAAGTAAAGGCTGCTGTGCATAGATCACGTTATCCCTTTATATGCCGAGTTAGTTCAAGAAACACATGAACTCCACTTCATCTGCCAAATGGATCGTTAGGTCTATAGAGGAATCTTTACTTTGTTACTTTTAATGGCGTAAAAAATTTACAGTGACAAAAAATATTACGCATGCGCTATTAATGTCTGGTTGTCGATTATCATTATTTTCTCTCTGTCATATATATATATATATATATATATATATATATATATATATATATATATATATATATATATATATATATATATAGGAACCAGCATCATTAGGCAAAGTAGTATCGGTATATTAGAATTTTTTTTAAAAATGCTGGTCGGTTGGAGTAGCTATTTAATTAATCTGGTGACATTTAAAAGTACAACAACAGACAGCTGAATCAGGCTATGGTTTGAGAGATTCTTTCAGACATGTCTAGCTAAAAGAAACAACTGACTCGTTTTAGGATCAACTCTCGAAGCCTAAAAGGGAGAGAAACAGAAGTAAGCAAAAAATGCGAAGGGGCGGAAGAAAAATGGATGGCATAGGAGATTTGAAGTCATTTGGAAGCTGCTTCTCGATCAATGGTTAAAACGAAAAAAACAACCTCACAACTGTCGCTAGACTTGCCACACAATGAACAGTCACATTATTGTCACCATATTTGTCACACAATGAACAATCACATTAGTGTCACCATATTTGTCACACAATTATCAAATTATTGTCACCATATTTGTCACACAATGAACAATCACATTAGTGTCACCATATTTGTCACACAATGATCAAATTATTGTCACCATATTTGTCACACAATGAACAATCACAATATTGTCACCATATTTGTCACTCAGTGAACAATCAAATTATTGTCACCATATTTGTCACAAAATGATCACATTATTGTCACCACATTAGTCACACAATGATAAAAATATTGTCACCATATTTATTACACATTGAACAATCACATAATGGTCACCGTATTTGTCACACAGTGATCAAATTATTGTCACTATAATTGTCAAACAATAAAAAATCACACTATTGTCGCCATCTTTGTCACACAATGATCAAAGTATTGTCACCACATTTGTCAAACAATAAACAATCACAATATTTCCAATAGACTTGTCACATTCTATACAAAACAAACTCAACAAAACATATCTAAATTATTACACAATTTAAAATGAACTAAAACTTTAACATAGCAATACACTCTTTAAAAATATTCAATAACACTTTCACAAACTACACATTTTAACCACCCATCAGACACAACAATACACAATTATTCTAAAAGGTAGGGAAAATATAATTACCAGTGCAAGGATAAGCCCGCTCGACACATGTCAATTGAGCATGTGCAATATGCTGCCTTAGCAACAAATGAACGAACAACATGTATGCATTGTATACAGGTATACAGCGTCTAGTTATATATGGTGGACTAGGCGACATATTGAACAGCTGTTTCCAGGTGGTCAGGTAATGAAGCTTTTGTTGCTACGTACGTTTAGATATGTCACGGATGTTGCTCAGCCATGCAGCAAGACTGACTTCCGCGTAGCTCGCGAAGCTGTCATCAGGGCCGGCGCTACATATATAAAGCGAACTAGGCGGTCGCCTAGGGCGCTATCCATAGGGGCGCTCAAAAAAGTGTAATGTGTTTTTAAAAAGCGCCATTATTAAAAAGTAGCCTACCTAGATCTAATAATGAATAACCTTGATTATATTATATAAGCTATAGACAAGCATAGCGATCTATTTCGGTGCCCAGGACGAACTACCAATCAGAGGCGTAGCGACCCTTCCCGGCGCCCGGGGACAAACTTTCAATTTCCCCCCCCCCCCCACCCCACCCCCCCCCCCCCCCCCCCGGAAACCAACTTTCAATTTGGAGAACTATATATATAGTTGACATTACGGACTTGTTAGATTGTTTTCTACATCAATTGTGTAACACCAAAATAAAAAAGGCAAAGTGACGGGTAAAGTGCGCCCCGACCTTTCCAAATTGAGTGGGGGGGAGGGAGGGTTTCATTTTCACCAACACGATTAACTATATCTATGCCTAATTTGAGCAGGGGGCGCATAATTGATAGCAGAGGCATAGCGAGGAGGGGGCGGTACATATGTCCCCGGACGCCAAAATGGGTTGGAATTTTAGCTTCAGTTTCGCATTATAAATATACAAAATATATGGGGTGGGGGACGCCAAACTGAAAGTTTGTCCCCGGGCGCCGGGGAGGGTCCCTACTCCTCTAGGTGTGCTTTTTTTGCTGATAGAAATGTGTCCAATTAAAAATACGGGTTATCCAGTTTTTTAATTGTTTTTTAGCAACGGTAATTTTATTAAATACAAAATATTTGTAATATTCACAATCTTGATTTCTTTATCACCTCGTCAGAAATGGTCTCCCCTCTCTCTCACTCAGATCCATTCTTCGTAGTGTGACCTATTTGCAAACATGGTGAAATGAAACTTTATTTAGTATAATAAGGTTCAAAATAATAAGAATTTTAACAGTCGCCTTTTGTTTGTCACAATGAGAGTTATAATCATAAGAAGTTGTCAGATGTTAAAACGAAATTGTAAAAAAAAAAATAAACACTTTGATAAAATAAAAGAAATGTAGATTTACAAAATGAAACTACTACTAAACCTTGTTCAGATTATAATAAGTAAGTAAAACTGCCAACATTATTATTTACAGTTTTTATATCTGTTTTTCCACCAGTTTTCCGACAACTTTAAAACAGGATCCACTACTCGAATGCTTTAGACAGAGTTAATTTAAAAGGATTACCTCCCGTAGATCCCATTGTCGTTAAGAAGGCCCTATATGCTCGTGTGCAATTCTACTTTTAGTTTTTTCAAAAGCCTATAATTTGAGTACTGTTTCAGATAGATAAACGAAATTTCACATATAAAAAGATATAATTCTCTCTAAAGAAAGCCCTATATTCTCGTGTGCAATGCTGACTAACATTTTTATGTGAACGTTCGACTTGTCCATAAATGTCGCCACGGGGGGAGGGGGGTCCGTAATTTTGTGATGGTGATAAGGGGGGGGGGGGAAAGAACAGAATCTCGTAGGGAAAAAAATTGGGCACCAAGTAAATAGCAAACAATGTGTGTATAATAGTGCGGGATATTAATTCTTTTTAAATTCATATGCGTTTTTTGAGAAATCGGAAATAGCGTCAAGTACTACTTCCGGTCAACGCAAATTACTCATAATTTGACAGAAGGCAGAGAATTAGATCTTTTACTTTTGAAAAACTAAAAGTAGAATAAGTCCCACTTCAGTTTATCAGAAATCGCTGAAAAGTTGATACAAAACTACACATTTGAAATAATACTTGATATAATCAACCTAGCTGTAACGGTACCTCAGTTATCGTGTTCACAAACATACAGACATACACACACAGATACGGACAAAATTGCAAAACTATGCTTTTCCGACTCAGGGAGGTGTAAGACGTAGAAAATCTCGATTTCGATTTTTTTGCACAATTACAATACTTCCTCTACACTTCGTATACGAGAAAGTTAAAATGGTTATTATGTTACTATTTTATTATGTAAGACAGTGTATATTTTGTCGATGCTTTACATATTTGAATATAGGGCCTAGTACATCCCGTGACTGTATTTACAGACATACTCCAATTAGCTGAACATAATCACGTGAAATTCTCCGGATTTGGCGACCCGGGTATCACGTGTTATCTGCCCCGAGTGGCCGTGTTCACTGGTGTATGACCTGGCCGCCTTGTCACCCTTGTTCTACTGGCCAGGTGCCATGTACCAGCTGGCATGTGCTCATGACCCACGTGACACGAGTTATTCCTGGCTTGTTCAGCATCACGTGACGTGCGATAAAAAAGCGTGTACAAAAACTCCAGTCACTGGTGGACTCTCTCGAGCCTTTTAACACCTGACTAAGATTAAAATCTTGACCCTTGTGTAATGTCGGTCAGCTACAGTAAACCTAGTCATAGCAGCTATTTTTATTTTATTTTGCTTAATTAAACTGTGGTTAGCAGAACACAAATGTAATGTTCGTCAAAGAACAGAAGGGATGAAGCTAATATAATTAATTGTAATTGAAAGGGGACGAATTCCTCTCAAGTAGTGAAAGCCTTCGGGAAGCTTGATAAATCTTCTGACGACCAAAGCGAAATCCGAATAGGGACCTGGTACATCCGAACCCTGTAGGAGAAGCAGAAGCAGCCGGAATGTCGTGGGCCCAACTTGGAGGAATCGCCCTGAAGCGAGTACGATGGAGAGGTGTGGTTGCGTCCCTATGCTCCTCAAGGGGTCCACAAGAATGATGATGATAATGATGATGATGATGATGATGATGATGATGATGATGATGATGATGATGATGATGATGATGATGATGATAGTGATGATGATGATAGTGATGATGATGATGATGATGATGATGATAGTGATGATGATGATGATGATGATAATAATGATGATGGTGATGATGATGATAATGATGATGATGGTTGTAGTGGTGGTGGTGGTGGTGATGATGGAAGGGGGCAAAAAACTATCCAGGATTTGTTTCACTTTTTTTCTCCCAGGGGATACTTGCAGCTCCCGGGGATGGGGAGAGGGGAAAAAGTAACTTCGGTGGGAGGGGAAAGCAAATGGTTAAAGTATATTTTTTCTATATTAACCATACTTTTTTTTTCTTTTTCGCCTAGAAGCGATTGCTCCGCCCCCCCTCCCCCCCCCCCCCCGATGGGGCTAAAAAAAGAAACACTTTTTGGAGACATGCCTGCCTAAAGGAAGGACTGGGACTATCTTATATGTTTCGTTGTAGAAGTTATCATATGCATTAGATGTTTGTGTATTAAGGTATGTATATTACAGTATATTGTCTTCCTGACGTCAAGTCCAAATGTGGGCCTTCTGTTTCACCGCATAGATTAGTAGACTTCCGCACTTATGCAATCTTCATATCAGAAAATCTTTTTTTAGATTTGGGCATTAGATTAAAATCAACAAAACTAATCTAGACTACAGCGTACTCAGTCTCAACGAAACAAAATAACATTTTTATCGCCCGTTTAATTTTTGGACAGCCACATCGTTTATTTGTAACAAATCATAGTTTTCATTTTAAGTTTTCAATGAAAAAAATGTAGTTCTACATCTAGTCTAAATTGGAAAACTAAATTTAGACGGACTTTTTTTTGTTCTTAAAATTGTAATGTTGGACGGGATTTCCTCCAACACAACCAAGTATTACGTGTCAACTTCTTATGCGCCATATAGACCGTTGAATCCGATTTCAGCCTGTTTTCTCTTCTAGATGGGTTGCCGTCCCCAGCTATCGAGACTCATCTGCCGGGGATAGAACTAGAACCCATGGCCTGACCACGCCGACTCGCACGGACTTTCCCATTTTTTGCATTTCATTAATTTCAATCTGAATTTATTCTATTTTTTTTTAAATACAAGGCATAGCAGGCGTAATAATCTTCTGCTGTACCATGGCCCTAGTATTTTCAAAGCCTTGGCAAATAAAAGAAACTAGTCCACGTTGCCCTGTTATCGGTAGCCTAACGACTGGCTAATACAATCTCCAGCTACACATTGCAACAAACCGTCGGCTAAATAAAAATAAATATATTTTTTAAAAAAGACTATTATTTTATTGTTTAAACGAGAATCGCAATGTAAAAGAATAATGAGATGTGGGTTTAGAGTTTTAAAGTACCATCCACTGTAGTTGAAGAACATGGAACGGAACACAGATTTACATGTAGGCCTGTGTACCTATCATATCAATCACGTTTTTGAATGTTATCGATTACATTAATATCCTATGCTGGGTCACAGGGCAGTGTATGTGTATCGGCCTGTGATACAGTATAGAACGAACGTGACAGTGTATTTGTATCAGCCTGTGATACAGTACAGCAGGAACGTGACAGTGTATTTGTATCGGCCTGTGATACAGTACACCACGAACGTGACATGCTTAAAAACAATTGCAATTCATTTTTGTATCTTCTTGTACTTCTATAACCCAGGCCAACATCTTATAGAGTCACGTGTGTTGCCATGGAAACTCAATCCAACATCTCATTGAGTCACATCTGTTGTCATAGAAACTCATTCCAACATCTCTATATGTTATGTCCATGGTTTCGGTCGGACATTTTTTTTCCACCTGGGAGCGGGGGATATTTGAGACTTCCGCACTGGTATTTTCAATGGACACAGGATACGTTATATTTCTAAAATATTACGTTAATGGGGGATGGGGCGGTGACATGCTCCGGAAATATGCCTAAAATAAACTCTTTCTGTGCCAACGCCTTAAATACCTCGATCGTAAGTCAAAATTCTGATAATACTTTGATCGATTTGCTAAAATAACTCCCAAATCAACTTTCACACCAGGGGTCATCCATAAATGACGTCACGCTTCATTTTTACCCCCTCTCCTCCGTCACATATCGTCACAAAAAGCCAGACCCCCCCCTCCTAAAATGACGTCACACCTCAGCTAACAACCCCCCTCAAAATTGCAGTTTAATTTTTCTTAAAACATATATTTTTCCCAAATCTTGTCCGAACTCTGTCAACATAGAGTGTTTTAATTACTATCTATTACAATTCATTAAACCAGTTTTCTAAAACGCAATATAACGGCTAAAATTAGTTTTCTAGCATTGCTTTTTTATAATGCAAAAGTGTGACATCACACCATCTGAACACCTCCCTCCCCCTCATCACAAACCGTCACAAAATTACGGATCCCCCCCCCCCCCGTTCCCCCATACGAGTGTGTCATTTATGGACCCCTTCCCCTCAGCATAACTCACTCCATCAACCTATTTAGTCTTTCCTCGCTCTTCTTTCTATTTTGCCAAAATATATTGCAGAATATTCTAGACGCTTCACCGACAACATACTTTAATTTAACGCAGAGATTCTAACGTAGGCGGTGGATTGGGCTAACTCCACCGTAGAACTGATGTGTCTGTGTTTCTACTGATATGCCTGTTCAAAAAGGGATAGGCCAGGTTTTTTTTTTACTTGAGATAAGAAAACTAGTCGGAGTACAAATGTATTGTGCGTGTAAGTTAGAAATCCCGTTTATAAAATCTAGGTCACAAATATTTTTTTTGTTGATTTTAATGTGCTCGAAAATAAAAAATTCTTTTGTTGTTATTAAGTTTTAAAACGGCATTTTATTAAACAATTTTAGCAGTATAGTAACCACGCCCATCTTAGTCACCCGATTGTCAATGCGTTCTATCTTACACTGACACTAAATAGTAAATAGACCATGACATACACGTCATAGCCAGGAAAAGAAATGACGCTCGCTGCCCAATCTGGATAATGTAAGGGCTATTGAAATTAGGAAGACGTCAGAAAGCCGCGTTGTGTGTGTGTGTTGACGTATGCGTGTGTGTGTGTACGTGTGTGTGTCTGTGTGTACATGTAAAATAGCACAGGCCTAGATTTCGCAATCTCTTAGAGTTGTGTTTGATGACGTAGGATTTTTGTTCCAAAAGTAGATTATTAAAAAAAGTCTTTGCTTCCTTAGATAGTGGGGTATTCCAATACAAGTGAATGTGAATGTTCATATCTGGGCTTTCCAGTGAATAGGGCATTGGCAAATCCTGTTTCTATTAAAAGAGAATTAGAGCGTGCACTGTGCACTGTAGAGTTGTAGGCAAATGTTGTTACACCTGATTGCCCACGCTATTAGGGTATGCTAAGTCCCTTATGGTAATATATAAATAGATATACCTATATGGGCTATATTATGTATGCATGTCTATACACGTTTTTATCGCCAGTTATCCTTTCAAATCGCATGAAACATTTTAAAAAGTTGACGGGTTATCTCCCATTGTGTTTAATGTTTAGATGACGTATACTTTATACTATACTATTTATAGGCTTGATTGATAACTCTGACCCAACATATCTTGATATCTTTTTATCTTCTTACAGTCCATTGTTATTTTTTAGCTAGTCCAGTATTAATAATACAATTAATAATTTTTAGGGAATTGGGGCACCTATTTTCTGCAGGTGGGGAAATAACTCATAGCGTTAAAACTAATCTACATTGCACTTAATACTTTAATCAAACCACGATATTTTTTTTAATTGTTTTTTTTTTTTTTTGCTTATTTAATAGATCTAGATTCTAGATCTACATTTTCTAATAGGTTTGAATGGGTTTTTCATTTGTATAACTAGCTTTCACCTGGCATTTACCGGAAAGAGGAAACGCTAAGCAAAATATACCAGCGTCATCAACATTAGTCGAACTTTAGTCTGTATTTCATTTCACTCTACAGTATTGTGCAAATTTATATCTAGCGGAAACCGGAATTGTGGTAAGTCGCACTCAGATAACAGGTTGGGGCGAAAATAACCGGTAGCCCAAGATATTTTGTCGTATAGCAGACCATTTCTGTACGTAAGGTGCGAGAATTTACTAGTCTAGACTCTAGATTCTAATAATTTATTAATTTAATAAGTTTTTTTAACTAAGTAGTAAGTACAGTAAGTAGACTCTAGTAAAGTAGTGTCTAGGTAGTGGCTTAGCCTAAACCTAAACTAAGGCCTAAAGTAACTTCTAGAATCTAGTTATTCTAGTACTAGTCTAGAAGATAGATCTAGATCTAGAGTCCTAGAATAGATCTAGACTCTAGATCTTGTAATTCTAGATCTAGGCCGTCTAGGGCATTCTAGCTAGAATAAGAAGGGCCTATAGCCTACTTAATACTTAAGTAAGGGCAACTTACTAGAACTTACTTACAAGTTTAATGGACACCAGCGAGAAAAGTCTCAAAGGTATTTGAGAGGTGTATAAATTCATTTAAAAATCTTGCACGGCGTAGTTACAATTAATATGGTTATAAAATCCTGTCTGTCTGGTTTTTTTCGGACTTTACTAAAGATTGGATATATTTGATGTTTTTAATATTTTCGGTAACTAAATAAAAATTAAAAAAAAAGAAAAAACAATTTGGTTTTCACGTGTAATGGCGACATAAACAATGGCCGAAATAAATTTTATTGTACACATTGTAAGCTAAAAATAGAAACAATAGGTCATGGTGTTTAAATTTGCATAGTTATTTAAAAATTTGATCTGCAAAGTTTTGTAAACAAAATAACTATAAAGTGGGGCTGTCAGAAATCGATCACGGAGTTCCTTTACAGCCAATCACTGTTTGTCTTACGAAAGTGAAACATCGGGTTATAACTTAGGCTTGATGAAAATAAATAGAAATGTAGCCTTAAACTCAACAAATTATTTTCAAGTTCTCTGGATCTGCAACTTGTATAGCATTGATTCTAAAACTATTACATTTCTAAATTAATTTTAGGCTTAAGTTTTTAATAAAATTTTATCTTTTATTAGTTTTATGGTCCTAAATCTAAAAAAGCACATTTTTATTCCATGTCAACAATATTACGGAGGGAATCTTGTCAACTGGCTGGTGTCCATTGCGTTTAACTCTGTGTGACTGTGTGTGCCATGTAATAATATTAATATACATCACTGTTCTAATCAATGTTATACAGTTATGAGTTATACAGTACAGTTAGGCCTATAGTCTGTCAGTAGTGATTGTGTGTAGTGAACTGTTACTGTAGTGACCAGTACTGTACTCAGGACATCTGACTCACACCTGACTAATCACACATTAGTCACTGAGTCTAGAATTATTTATAAGAATGGATCTGGATCTAGATGAGATCTAGATCTAGTAGGCCAAATTTAAGTAAAATTCTAAATTAATTAGTGCTGAACTGTTGGACTGAACAGACTGAAGTAAGTATTGGTGTGTGATTTAATATATAATCAAATATAGGCCTATATAGGCCTACATACATATTAAAAATCTATATATATAATTCTCTTCTGGGAGACGCTAGAAAACAAGCTGTAAACGCGCTCCCTACCACCCCACCCCTACATGGTCTTAGTGAGCTGTGTTCACTCTAAATTCTAAATGTTTACAAGCAGAGCCGGGTTTAGTGACGACTATTAGGGGCAGATAATTTAGTTTGAAACGATTTTAAACGTATGGGGGGGGAGGAAAGGGGGTATGGTCCTTAAAGAGCTACTTATAGTGTTTTAAAGAAATATGTTCAGTGGCAGCGTTGGTACTGTCGAATTCACAAACTATGAATTACTGAAAAGTAGAAAAAACAACAACTAAATAGCGGCGTATGTTATGCCGCGGGCCGGCTCGTATTATATATTTTTTTGTAGTTTCCTGTGTTTGTTTTATCCCAAATTTGTTTCAGCATAAAATTATTTATTTTAAAATTTGCTTAGTAAACAATATACATACATGATAGTGATTATAAATATGACATCATCAATCTAAAAACAATGGGGCTTATTTTGGAAAATCATGACAATTTTAAAATATATAAATATGTTGGTTTAAGTAATAAAGGTAGCTAAAAACATGTAAACTGATCATGTGTGAAAGAAAGGGTAGGCTTTTTAAAAAATGTATATAGGCCTATGGTAACTTAAAAACTTGCTCATTTATCTTGTTTGGTTTTGATTTTTTTTTTATTTATCTTTTTAAGGAAATAATTTCTAAGAAATTTTTTTTAAATTTTAAAAACATTTATTTGAACTCTTTTATGCAGTAAAAACAAATGGGTAAATCTTCGTCAAGCAGCTCATCCAGTGGCTCTTCTGATGATGAATGGCGCCACTTGCCTAAGCATGAAAAGAAGCTAAGAAAGAAATGGAAGAAGCATCACAGAAAGGTTACTAGAATTTTAAGTTGAATAGTCTACTATGTAAATGTTGGTGTTTTAAAATATAATAACAGTTAATCACGATTTCGCTGACAGATATTATATTGTTGTTGCTCTTAGTCTTAAGTTATGAAATGAAGCTACGTGGTTAATTTAAAAAAATTAATGTGTTGTCACTCTATTTCAGGGGATGATTCCTCATGGATCCTTGCCAGTAAGTAATAATATGATTATATTATCTATTTCAAGCTATTTCAAGATGTAGTTAAAATAATGTGCAACAAATTGGGCAGCTTTTTAGAGTTTATTAATGTTGAGTTTTGAAGAACTTTGTTTGTACAAGTGTTTATTTTATGTCACCCCATTAACTAATTTTGATAATTAATTACAATAATAATTTAAAAAAAAACTTTTTTGTTCACAGCCCTGGCAAGGGGGTCCTGCTTGGTGTCCACCCCATGGAAAACATGGTAAAAAGAACAAGCATGGACACGGTGCCTACCCTGGTGGTGGCATGCATGGCGGTGGCATGCATGGCGGTTACCCTGCTGGGGGGATGCCAGGTGCCTACCCTGCCGGTGGAATGCCCGGAGGTTATCCTGCTCCTGGGGGTCACTACCCTGCAGGTGGGCACTACCCAGGCAACCCTGCCTACCCCCCAGGTGGCTATCCTGCTGGGGGTCACGTCCCACCCCCTAATCCTTCCTACCCTGCACCAGGCTATCCCGGAGCCCCTGGTCAGTACCCTGCAGGCGGTGCCCCATATGGCCATGGAGTTGCTCCCTCAGGACCATTTCAAGGTAAGTCTCTTGCGCTCTTATTAAAAATTCATTTTTTAAAAATCAAATTGAAACTAAATCAAATCAGTTTTCCATTACCACTAGCTTCATATTTTTAGCCAATATGCTACTGTTTCTTTAGCAGTACTGATGACATTTGTCTGTATGTATTAGTTCTTACTTGTATATATATCTGCTTGAAGACCATTTTTTAAAATATTCCAGCACCACCTGGCAGTGGTTACCCACAAGGTGGAGGTTACCCACAGGGTGGAGGCTACCCACAACGTACGTATAACATACATTTTTAATTGACTCTTTCTCTTTGTTCTGTATTTTAACCCTGTATTCAGCACATTCTTAAGCTAATTAATTTTTAATTGTTTACAGAGTATCCACGTTAGATGATCCCAAAGAGATGCACATCCAGGTTTTAGCCTTCTATTTCAAGTGATTATCCTATTGTTTTGTTTTAATCTGGGGTTTCTATTGTAACATTTAAATTAAGCCTCACCTCCTTAAAGATTGAAAGATGTGCTCTTTCTGGTATGATACTGTGTATTTCACTCGTAATTTCTGTTTTGATTCTCAGATGATGTATATTGTTATACAATTTATTTTCTGTTATAGACAGACACTTGCAAATTTGATGCAAACTTGTTGTTTATCATAACTATTTATGTAAACTAAACAATTCTATTTCAAATACAGCTTGCTGATGTTATGTTATTATCTAGAATTTTACCTTTCATTATTTTTTTTACATTATGAAACAACTTCACTTATTGTTCTGTATGTTTGTTCATGGAGTAAGAATGGATGCCATTTTCACTTGTTAAACATCAATTAGCAATAGCATTGATTAGTCAAATAAAGTTAAACATCTTTATGAGCAATATTTTTACACCAAATTGAAATACTGGTAGTTAGTGATTATCATGGTTTAAACTAATGATTGTGCCAGTATCTTATATTTGCTCGTATTATGAAGGAAAATTAACATGTCTGGTTTTAAATTAATTTGCTGTGATATTTTGACATTGTAAATGACAAGCCAATCTTTGACAGTTTTACTTTTTATTGCTTAATTTTATATTATTTTTTATATGCTGCTAAGAAATAAGAATTTAATAAAATTAAGATAAATAAATGTACTGTGTTTGTCTTAATTAAAACAATGGATTTGAAAACAAGTATGTTTATATTTTAAATGTCCCAAGGCTGCAAATTCTGTTGCATTGTTCTTCTGAGAGATGTGTTTCTAGTTGGAGTATAGGTAAAGATACTCATGCTTGCAGAAGCTTAAGATTTTATTTACGCTGTACTGTTTTGTTTTTCAAAACAATTTCTGTGTTATGATCAATTATTCCATTTATTGGGTTTTCTTATTACTATTCATATTAATTTACTGTATGTAATATGTTCAAAATTAGAACAATAACATTTATTATATAGTGGTTGAAGTATTTTAACCTTAATAAAATATATTATTTTAATAAATAGTCTGTTTTATTACCATTCTATATTTACTTTACTCGTTAGTCTACCAGTAACAATATTTGTTTAGGCTTTAATCATTGATTAAACAGTCAATCAGTACTTGAAGAAAAAAGATATAACATAGAAAAACCCTCTAAACTTACTAAAGTTTAATGATAGAAGAAATGTTGGGACTTCATTTTAAGTTAAATGATAGAGAAAACATTAAGTAATACAAGAAACTTCTATACATATTTTTTTTGAGTTAAACTATAGAAGAAACCTCTAGACTCACAACTTGTTAAGCTGCTTGGGAAGCCTTCAAACTGTAAGTGCTAGAGTGGAGAGAGCAGCTAACACCTCTGTAGCTTACACTTGTAATATTATTACCAGAGGTATGCAAGGGTTTACACCTTCATATGCTAATTACAGAAACAGGCAGGTTTTATTAGACTAGCACTGGGCCAGTAACATGTAACAGTAAATGACCTGGCTGCTTAAATCATTATGTCATGCAAATGTCTAGAAAAAGGCCCTAAACATGGCAATGAGACTTCACCTGGAAAACAAAAGAGGCAATTGGGAACATGTAGGAGAGAGAAAAGAAGAACACTGGTGCTAATAACAGGCAGAACCTGACATAAACTTTGGCTAGCCCACAACACACCCATTCTTACAGGGTTACAGCACAAAGTGTTAGAAAAAGCTAGTATTACTTGCAAATGTTTTTGCTGGCTAGTTATTAAATAACAGTGGTACAGGGGGAATATATAGAGCTACCATGGAAATTATGTTTCAGGTTTGACAGTGGTATTACAGATTATTTAAGTTTTCTTAACCAGAAATGGTTTTTAGCAACAAAAGTTGAATTTATTTTTCAATAGAAGACAATTTTTTTTTCAAAACAAAATTAGATAAATAACATTTCATTGATGTGGGGAAAAAAGACATTTCATTACAATTTTTGAAAAATGACATTATTTACACTTCAGATCAATTTACTTAATCAAAAATCAACTTTAAAAAATATATTGTTATTTAATATAAAGGTATAAGATTATCAGTTACAAAAAATCACATAGTTCAATAGATATTTAATAAAACTTGCTATAAAAACACTGCTTTATGTTTTTCAGTTTTCTTACATTGTTATTTACTCAAACATTAACAGACATTACAATCTTTTATGGAATGCTTTACCACTTCTTATTCTAAATAATGCCAAAAGAATATTACTAAACTAACAAGACTTTTTAATACTATACAAGTTATTAACTGACAAGTTTTAGGATCATTTTATATATAAAAATCTTAATAAAGATGATCTACTACTTAAATTTAAAAAGTACACAAATTTTTTGTAATTATATAAACCATAATTTAGATTTCATATTTTTTATCACATTAAATATTTTCTCAACTCCAGAAAAAAAATATATAAATTTCTCTTTGATTTTAAAAATAGAAATGTTTCAAAATTAAATTGTAATAATAGTGTATAATTTAATTTTAATTTACTATCAAATACTGAACACCCAAAAACTGAATTTAATAAGTTTGGTTAGTAAAACAACCATATTCTGAATTAATAGCCGAATTGTTTAATTTATTTGTGACCCAGATGCTATGTAAGTTATTTACAATGTACATGTTGACCATGAACTGGCCAGAAACTGCAAACAGCAGTACACTGTGATCTGAATCAAACATAGAAAGACAATTTATGTAAGTTCTTAAAGACTGACATGGCCAACATGTTGAAAGGGCAAACATTAAAAGAAACCTCATTTCCCGTTTCATATGTTCAAGTGTCAAAAACTACTATATTTACATACTTAAAATATATGTAATTATTTTCAAGGAAATTGCATACGGAGACCCTGAACAGCAACATGAAGTAGTGATTTATCAAAAGTCTTGCAACTACTGGCAAAGTGAATCTGTATTAAATACAACTGTATTTTCATGTCCTAAATCTGTCCAGATATTATGTGATTTGAATGTATAAGAAAATTATCAGTGCCTACTTTTCTGCTTATCATTTATTAAACTTATATATGGATATTCAATTAAAAAAATAAAAAGGTATTTTAAATTAAAATAATTGAAGAATTTTAAGCTTTCAATTCATAACAAGTGTAAGAAATTATTTTTTCAAGTTGTTTGTTTGATGGACTGTTATAATCTACAAAATTAAAATCAATTGTAAAATACAGAATACATTCCATAATATAGAACTCCATCTAATAAAAAATTATATATCAATAAATATATAGACACAACAAGTGACTAAATACAATATTTCAGTTTCAATATATAAACCATTTATGAATTATATAGTAAATGCAAGTTAAATGAAACTGACAATGTTAAGAACAACAAACTACTTGTAAAATCTATTAACATTTAAGTTTTGAAACAAAAAAAAAAACAATCTTACACACAACCAATTAATTTACTTTAGTTATTATCTCACTGATCTATCTCCAGAAAAAGGACATGCCTTTTGAGGTTATTATTTATAGATAGGCCTCCATCTCAAAACAGTTAATTAATAATGTAAGCTTTCTTTGTACAACAAAAATAAAAGTTTAATAAAATACATTAATAACAAGAGGCACTTATGTCAAGGATGACAGATAGGTTGTTGGTTGGGCAAAAGTCTATTATTAGAGGAGTTGTTGGTATGTATTAGTATAAAGGCTAATAATTGCAGCAGTTGTAATTTATTATGACATAAAACATAACAAGGCACAGACTACTCCTAACATGTCAGTAAACAAGTGATAGTAATTTATTATGAGAATCATAACAAAGTATCCACAAAGAAGCACACACACACACACACACACATATATATATATATATATATATATATATATATATATATATATATATATATATATGCCACTTGACTAATTTTGCATGGCTACATGCCATCTAAAACTTGTATTATTATGATTCATATTAAAATTAACAAATGTATGATTTATTTATCGAATGTCTTTTTTAACACAGCATACCTACATGAAATACTAGTTATGATACTCAAATCTGCAGCTAGAATTTATACCACCAGTTTTTTAAGCAACATTTAAAAATGAATTCTGATTAAAGGCAAATTACTTTGTAATAAGTTTTGTTAGATATTTATCATCACTAAAGGAATAGAGTTTTTGATTCTTTTTCATCTTCATGTCAAAATATTACAAAAAAAAATTCAAAAAGTAAAGATTTGTTTTCCAACCATACAGATTTTTAAATGTGACTAATCATTTTACAAATTGATTGAAAGCAGTACAGTAGTTGTGGGGGGAAAAGTGAACAGCAGCATTTCACACATAGAATATTTATCTTCTGGATTGTCTTTCATGCTGTCTCTGTGGTCTCCTCTCAGTCCTGCGGCTAGATGAGTGAGACAATGTGTGTATCACACGGGGTTCAGGTGGGTGAATAGGAGGGATGATGGTTGGTGTATGAGCCTTACACATCAGCACTCCAGCAATGACTGGGATGCTGGCGCCAGTAAATGACATGGCGAAACCCCATGAGTAGTATGCACCTTTCGCCACTAAATCAGCAGTCATCACCATGAAGATGATGATAGCTAAAAAACTCAGAAAACCTGGAATATAAATAAAAAAATTGTTTAAATCAATGGTAAAAGTTAATTTTTATGGAAACAAGCTATTACGGTTCTGGCTGAATCTAACTAAAATTATAATAATTTAATCCATATGTAGTTGATATTTAAAATTGCTTATGAAAGCTTAAAAAAAATGCTATATGCTTCTTTTTATCTTGTTCTTTTCTTTCCTTCTTTTTTTTTTACAAGTATGGTCATTCAAACAAAATTTTTATTTAGAAATGTTTAAAAACCAACTAGTGATTTTAAGAATTATAACTCTATTTTAAGTTAAATTTGCTGAAATTACAAGATTAAATAGTGCAAGAATAAACAACTAACACACAATAAACAAGAAATTAATTTTCTAAGTATACAGAAACTCTTTCTACCTGCAATAAAAGCAAGATCTTCTGGAGTCTCACTGTCTTTATGTAGTAAATGGCGGAGTGTGGGAATATGAAGTGTACGTATCCATCTTCTAGGAGTAAAGTTTTGCAGGATAGCCATTGCCAAAGATATAATGTAGAATGGTAGTGCCAGGGTTTGAAATACAACAACAGCTAAAAACCAATCTAGAAGATAAGACATTTTTAAAAAAAAATAAGGTTTGCTTTTTTTGTGTTCATTTTAACAACACAGAAATAACTTTGTGTTTGATGTTTTATTAAACTTTAACTATATGGGCTAACATTAAAATTGTGATTTTAATTTTATATAATAAAAAGTTAAAACTGACTACAGTATAAATATGTTAACAGGTATAAAACTACTACCTTCTACAATGTCATTCCCAAGTACATCATTGCTCGAACATTTATAATCCTTGCAAATTTCCCATAACCCAAAAGAGCCATCAACATCTGTTTGGTTCTCTCTCCGACTAAACCACAACCAGTCAGGAGCAACAAATCCAATCAAAAATGGACAGACGCCAATGATCAAAGAGATCAGACACGCCTTATATGGCACACGTCGCTGACTCCAATTTCTATCCATCTTTACAGGATAAAAGAACTTGCATATTCAGAAGGACAAAAAGGTGTTTTTAGCGCAGCTTCAGCTTGTCAGTAATTGTCATCCAGGCAATTTTAAAATTCAGGTTACCTCTTGGACCTTGGTCTTGTAGGAAAGCAGCTACCAATAATGTTAATTACGGCCTATATATAATACAAGAGGTTAGTTTAATATTGTAAAAAGGAATGGTTAACTAAATTTATAAATACACTTCTTAACTACTAGTCTAGTATTACTTAGATCTTAGATCTAAATAGTTATAAGTTATAAGTTATAGTAGGCTTAACTACTACAAGTACTACTGCTTGTCACTAGGACTAGTAGTACTAGATCTCAGTACTAGTAAAAGTTAATATAGATCTAGTTACAACTTAACAACCCTATTTTTGGAAGAGTCTATTTAATTATTAGTGGACATTGGTATCTTCAATCATCCCAGAAAACTAAAAAAAAAATCTTTGATTTAGAATTTAGACTATTTTTGATGAGCATCTAACTAGTAGTATCTAGATCTACTATCTAGATCTAGATACTTCTACATTCTAGAGACTTGGTCACTTAGACTCTTACTTAATAGTAATACTTAATACTAATACTTACTTAATAATACTTAAGTCTTAGATTACCGAAAAAGAAATTTAAGAATTAAAGAATGAGTGTCGTTGTTTTGGTTTGTTACCTGCAGGCACTGAGTTAATTTTTAATAACTTATTTATTAATTTTATGTTATCACAATATGAACAATCAGTCCTTACGTTTTAAACAAAAGTAGTATATTATACGAGGCTGCTTTGTAAGTTTATAGTTTATAGGGTCTAGAATCTTGGCTTCTAGTTTCTAGACTTTCTAGAATCTATTTATAGATCTAGAGTCAATTTGTTTTAGTACGTCATGAAAATCCTCGATTTGCCAGATGTAAATGCAGAAAAATTGTGAAATGAGGTTTTGACGGCGGACCTCCCCCTCCTCTCCCCCCTCCTTTCCATGTCTATGCGGTTGATTTTAATATTATCATTGGACCTATTTATTTATCAAGACTATTGACTTATGACAATCTTGATCTTGTTCTAGTTTTTGCCAGCAAGGGTAAGCCATTTATTCGCTTAAGTTCATGATGGGATTTGTTTGAAAAGTTAAAAACTTTATTTTTGTGACTTGAAGATACAGGCAGAGGCGTAGCGACCCTTCCCGGCGCCCGGGTACAAACTTTTCGATTTGCACCCCCCCCCCTCAAGATTTCGATTTGCACCCCCCTCAAACTTTCGATTTGCACCCCCCCCCTCAACCTTTCAATTTATTTTTCCAACCCATTTTGGCGCCCCCTAAGGTCGGCGCCCGGGGACATATGCCTCCCCCCCCCCCCGCTACGCTACTGGATACAGGTTACCATAAACTGAACAGAACCCAATATCAGTAACGTAACACTTCCTTTTGAAAAGGTTCCATTACTGTGGCATGACGCCCTTAACGGAATTCTCCGTACAGTTAATAAAAGCTTGTAATCAGCTAAAGAACCCGTTTCCATCCCATTCGTACTTTGCTTCTACTATAAACTATTAATTGTATCATAGTCATATGCTTGTCTTTCGTCTTAACTATGTCTATATAAAAGCATTTTACTAATAAAATACAATTGACAAATAAATAATAAGTAAATAACAATCATTACCATACGAAATTTAAACAGCAGCAGGATTTTTTTTTTAACCGTTCGAAAGGAAAAAAATTGTTTTCTATTTCTTGTTATTAATTATTAATTAAAGTTATTATTAAATTCCATTGCATAGTTATATAATTAAATAGCCACTTCAGTAATTAAATATAGGCCTACTCAGTCTTTTAATAGTAACTATATATAGTTTTATAGTATAGTAAATTAATCTATATTCATAGCCTATACACACACTTCTGAAGTACCCATTCTTCAAAATAATGTCGACGTCCATAAAGTAATACCAGACGGCCAGTCTAAAAATAAAACATTCTCTAGATCTAGTCTAGATCTAGATCTATTAATTGGCTGGGCAATATTCAGAACAAATTAAATATTTTAGGCTAACTACCTCAACTGTGACCTAGTTTTACTATTCCAAGAATTTAGGACCTTGGCTTAACCAATAACAGCTCGTGTCTTATATTCTTTTAAGAGCAACCAATCAAATTGTCTTTTTCTTCCATAACACTTAACATCATGTGATGGCGATCTATACAAGTCACACAATTTGACATGGCCTTGATTCAACGTTTTTTTTCTAAAAAAACTCAAAGAAATGTATTGAATAATGGAGGAAATCGCAGAAATGACCAATTACAGTAAGATTACATATAAATCATAACACGTGTCTCGATTTATAACACTATCAGAAAAAGTATCGCCTACACACATTTTTAGGAGAGGACATTGTCCTTAAAAAAAATAGACAATGCTCTCTATCACATGACGATGAATGACTGTCATGTGCTTGATGTAAACAAACACTAACACGCACTTATCTTTTGTATGATGGGCCAAGAAATTAAACGCTTATGCATATAGGATTATTAGAATATTATGATAAATCATATGACATATAGTCATATAGATCTGGATTCTAGATATTCTAGCTAACTAGTACAGTACAAATCTTAAGACTTCAACTTCTTTAAATTTAGTTATTATTATAATATTAGTTAAAGGCTTTTGTTTAAGTTTAAAAGTTAGATCTAGATCTAGAATTATTATTATTTAAATATTTTTTTAATAGGCCTAACAATTTTTTAATTAACCTGCAGAATTATTAAGAATCTAAATTCTAGACTAGGGCCTAGGCTAGTGACTTTTTATTTATAGTGAGGGCATTAACTCATTAGGGCCTAACTATTTTAAATAAAGACAAAGTAACTAGGCTGAGATCTAACACTTAGAATTAGATTTAGATTAGAACTAGTTTAGTTATAATTAGTTATAAATAATAAATAAATATAGTTAAAGTTAAGGCAGTTAAGTTACTAGAGTAACTAGACTAGAGCACTTCTCATCATAGTGATAAGATCTAAAAACTAAAATCGAAGTAGTACTACTAGAGTGTCTAGAGTTAACTAGAGAGACTAGACATTTTTATTTGTTACAGTTATTGTCTTAGTTTAAATAAGTTCACTAATTAATTAATCTAATTAGAATAGATCTAACTAATTAGTTGGTTATTAGATTAATAGATTTTATACAAATCTAGATTTTTTAAATTTAGATATGATAAGTAATTGATAACTGATCAGTGATAAGTGAATGGATTAGTAACAGTAGGCCTAATAATTAGTTAATTGTTCAGTTCTTCTAAAGTAAAGTTCTGTAGTAGTAGAGTAGTAAGCTAGACCTACTTTAGTATTTTATTATGAGCAGTATAGGATAGATGGAACACCAATATTCTAGAATAGATTATAGTATTTTCAGATAGGTATTAAAACCTGTCCTCTATCAGATAAAATTTAACCATGGTACTTGATATAAATGCCTTGCTTAAAAATGGATATGCCTCTTTCATCACCATCAAATACAGGTAATTTTAATTTTAATTGGTGCATGAATTTATTCAGTTGATCCTCTCAATTTGTGTAGGCCAAAATACGTAATTGCACATTTATTTCATAATCATATTTTCAAATTTTGTGTTTTTATTTATTCATTTTAGTTCATTCAATTCATTTTATCAAATCTTATAAACAGAGTGAGTAATGTTTTTAGGCAAGTGTTGTGTTGTTGTTTTTTCTGAACATGTAAAAATTTAAAAAATCAGTGTTAACTGGAAATACAATCAAATAACTTGAGAAATTTAGAGTCAAATTTTATAAAGTGGAGATAAGTTTACAATAGGCTTTTTTGCTGCTGTGAGATATTTTTTTGGTAGTAAAGAAATTATTTGGTTTACACTTACAGACATTCTATGATCTGTTTTACTGTGTACCTTTAAATTATAATTCAACCTCTCCTCTTGGTATACTTAAAGATTATGTTCTTTTCTCTCTTATCAACATTGCATTTATTTATTGTTTGGTAAAAATTATTACAATAGACTTTATGCCCCTTCTGATGAAACCAAAAAGAAAGAGATAAAAATTGCAATGCCCTTATTAATCCATAGAAAACTGATAAATAACTGTCATGTTTTCACCTGAGATATGTGATCACATGCTCACTTATCATCATATGATTACCATGTGCCTAATAAAAAAAAAATGACTTTTACACTTAAAGGGTATGATTACATTTTTCATTCACTGTCTAAGATGTTTTAACTTTTGAATTAGCTTTTCATTTACATTTGTCTACACCTAGTTACAGCTACTGGATTATAATTCACCTTATCTTAGTTGGATTTAACTTAGCCTTTTTTTGTTTATCTGACAATATATTTGAATTCAAGTTAGTCAACATTTTTTTAAAACAATTATGGTTTGTAACTGTTCACATGAAAGGACTAATTGTAAATCCATTCATGCGCCAGATAAAAGGTAAAATTGAAGATTGATTATAATTTTTTATGTACTATCTTAGACCTTCTGCCATATCTTAGTCATGTTCCTGGCTGCTTTTGTAACTTCTCATCTAGTAAATTAGGATGGAGTAGAATCATCAGAGATAATTATTAATTACATAAAAATTAATAAAATTATATAGCCTAAATATTTCTTTTGCTAAAATTATTCCCAATAAATGATCAAAGCTTGATTTTTGATTGCATATAGGAAATTACCCCTTCATTTAAAACAGTTATTGTTTTTATTTTCATTAGGAAGTGCTTGTATCAATAATTGTAAATGGTGATTAAATAATAATGGATCTAATAGCATGGCAATAGTTGTGTAGATAGCTTCAATGTGGGATTATCTCCATGGTTGCACAAGCATGCCAGATTTTTTTTTCGATTCTGCCTATTACTAATGTGGATGAATCTTTTCCAAATTTAGAAAAACTGTCCCACCAAAGTTGGACAAATCAAAGATACGATTGGTTATATATTCTGATTCCGATCGAGGTAGAACACCATATTATGATTCCGATGCCATTCGACCAATGGAAGACACTGATAAGGTAAAAAAAGTTTCTATGAAATTTTTGTTTTAAGTTTCAAATTCATTTTGGTATTGTAACAATTTTGTATTATTGCTTTTAGAAATGTATAGGATGATATCTACAGTAAATCTTGATCATTGTCTGGGGTTAGAGTGGGGTATTTGGCTTAAAAAATAATTTTATAATTTTCTCCTTGTACATATAACATTTAGTGCATTTTAGCTCTAGATGTTTAGTGATTTGACATGCTAGAGTGATCATGAGATAGACATTGTTAGGTTTTATTTGGGATTTCTAATTTTTTTTAATACATTGAGTGGTTGGGAGGGGGGGGTGTCAGGTCTAAGTCTTATTGTTATGCAGAGGCAAAGCGGGGGGGGGGGGGGTCAGGGGGGACATATGTCCCCGTGCGCCAACCTTAGGGGCACCAAAATGGGTTGGAAAAAGTAATTGAAAGTTTGAAGGGGGGGGGGGGGGGGCAAATCAAAAGTTTGAGGGCGGGGTGCAAATCGAAAGTTTGTCCGCGGGTGCCGGGAAGGGTCGCTACGCCTCTGTTGTTATGGTCTCATGGAAGTAGTAATATAGTGCCTCTTCTGGCATCTTCCTTGTGCTTGCTAAGTTTGGCTCATACTCTTTGGTTATCAACAGACACTGATGACATAAAAGAATAATTTTCTTTATTTAAAGTTAACAGAATCTCATTCTATAAGTATTTACATTTTTTTTTAGAACATAATGAAATCAGCACCAAAGACATTGCGAGCTAAAGGGTTAAACTACTCTTCACAAAAAGAATCATCATTACCACCACAGAAACCACTACCAAAATATCATGTGAGTCAAAGTTTTGACAACCACAATATATGTGGCCATTATGTCAAACTAATAACCAGAAAAATGAATAAGTTATGAAAGTCACCATTCAAAGGTTGAACATGTAATGCTTATTTTTTAAAATATTTGTTTCATGACGTTTTAAAAAAGAATTAGTTTGAGAATTAATTACTTTTTAAAACTTTGTAGTTTAGTCGACTTGGAAGTGATGTTAAAGTTCTGGAAGAAATGATGTTTGGAACTGCTGCCATGGCATTTAAGGGCTCAACTCTCAAAGTACATGTACTAAGGTGAGTTCAGTGTCTTTTTCTTAACCAGTATAATGTTAATTGAGTTTGATGGATTACTTATATTTTGTTAAACCAATAGGTAATCAAATGACTTTAAAATATTAAGTTAGTATATGTTGTAGATAAATTTGAAAATTGTACACATCTTCAGATCTCCCCCAAAATTGATGGTCTCAAAAGTGTTTATTCCAGAGAAGCCCTGTCGAGATAGTTTTGGGTAAAAAAAAATCAGTATATTTTTTTAAAAGAAATAATATAATCAGTTTTGTGTTTAAAACCCTGTTATGAAGACTTTGTTGTTTTTTTGGTGTAAATTGAAATCTACTAACTTGGGACATGATTTTATTTTCCTCAGAGAATTAGAATCAGACAACAGTAGTTTACCTGGATCTTCTGCTGATTTTTCCTCTGGAGAATTTTCACTACCAATTCGAAAGACAAAAGAAAAATATGGTTAGTAAAGTTGGGGCAGATTTGTTTTTAGTTTTATTTTTATTTTGATTTGCAAAAGACTTGGGGGAAAATGTGCTGAGTTTAAAATTGTTTTTATTTTTCAAAAGTGAAGAGCATCCCTGTAGATGTCCCAAGCAAAGAATTACTCTCTGATTACAGCACTGATGATGACAGTGGACTAGCTTCATGTGAGCTAAACCTTTTGTTTTACTATCTTTCATCTTAATGTTACAGTAAAGTTACAAAAATTTGAATGAGTCTGTCCTTAAGCAATTATTTTGTCATATTTGAGTTTGGTTTATTCTGGTAGGACCAGGCTTATTCCTGCACACACACAAAACTAAAACTTGCTTGCCAAACCAGATGAATAAATGTAAGAGATGGCCTTGTGGCTGCATGGTAGTTATTTTAAAAAAGGAAAAGTACCTTAAAAATACTACAGGGCAAGATGAAATAGGAATATCTGTTCCTTTTTTTCTTTTTCCTTAATTCTACTGTTGGAAGGGATTCCTTCCAACACAATTAAGTATTACGTGTCAACTTGTCAAGCCCCAAATAGACAGTTAACTCAGATTTCAGCCTGCTTTTCTTTTTGGATTTTGATTCCATAGCCTTTGTCCAACCAAAAACAAACCAGAAGGCAGCAGTTATTTGATTATGGAGTTGTCTCTCCTAGATGAGTTGCTGTCAGCAGCTATCAAGCCCCATCTGCCAGGGGGTTCAAACTCTGGACTTCTTGGTTCAGCAAGCATAAGCTTAACTGATCTAACCACGCAACCTCATCTGTTTTTTATACCAAGGCATATTTAGGGATTGTATTCAGCACAAGGCCCAGCTGTCATTACTTTGCTGACAGATACCCAGCAGGGAGGACATTGAGCCCAGTTGCAGCACCCAACACTTTCCTCTTAACAATCTTATGCTCTACTACTCAACAATGCCGACCTATTAGTATTTGTAAAATGTCTTTAAGGGCTTTTTTCTTAAAATGTATCATTTCTTTGGTTTTAATCAGTTGTTATGATATATATTTTTCTCAGTTACATCAAGCGGTAGTCTCAGAACATCATTCCCCTCTCCCAGTAACAACAGCAGCTACAACAGTCTACATCGCAGATGGATGAGAGCCCAAACCACATCACTGGATGGACACCATCACAAGCGGTTGAATCAAAGTTCTCAGTCCTCTGATGTAAGTCACTTTATGGCTGTAGCAAGGAGCTTTTATATCTTTTAAACCTATGAGATTATAACTTATAATATACTTAGGCTGTTTGGATTGAATGTGTAATGGTTGTTTTCAACTAAAAATGAAGTCTGTTAACAATTTCTTTATCCTTTTCAGAACTCATTGAGTAGGCCAAGCAGGAGCAAGTTAGCTATTGGAATTCTGTTTGGAAATGATGAGAATGATGAGGAAAGCAACAAGTAAGGAAGATTGTTCTAACAAAAATTACTCACCTTTATAGGATTATCACACTTTCTGGTGAATTTATTCTTTAAGATTTTAATTTAAATATATTTTTTTTATCTGTAGCCTGTTCCAGAGTTTTTTCTTCTCGCACTTTGCGCTCATTGAAAGTCATGTGGAAAAACTCCGTTCTGTTGTGGAGAAGGCATATTTCAATACTAGAAATTTCATACCCACAACAATGGAGGTAGGTTTGTGTTGTGTATTCTTCTACAGAGATAAAATTCAATTTAAAAATTTGTCCCAAAATTATTTATTTATCATAAATTCACAGTATGTACAGATTAAGAGAATTTCCACTCAAAAACTGAAAAGCTAGTTTCTTAATTACGTGGTATTATTGAATCACAAATTTGATAGGCTTAAAGTAATTCCACTTGCGCTATATTCAAGGCTCTGGAAAATTTCCGTGACTCCATCTACGATCTGTACATGGCCCCTCGGCTGACTGAGCCCGTATGGCTTACTATGATGTCTACAACCACATACAAGACAAAATTGTGTGAGAAGTTCATGGATACATTTGTGGGGCTTGTGACAAAGTTTGATAACAAAAATTGTAAATTGTAAGTTAAATTATAAAGTATAACTAATTTTTACCAATTAACTTTGTTTATTTAAATATTTTAAACCTGTTCAGTTTCTTTTTATTAGTTAAGAAAATCAATAATAAAATATGAAACTACTTAATAAAAAACGTTTTATTATTACATTTTCTGTTGCACTTTATTTACTTTATACAATAGAGCTACATTCTTTGTAGAATTTTGAACCATTGTAATACATGATAAACCCATATAACCTTAGCATTTTTTCTCCTCCATAGTTTTGTGAGTACACTGCTGTCTGCTGTGTTGACTCAGCACTTGGCTTGGGTTGCCACGGTTACACCTGCTGGGGGAACACCCTCGCGTACCTACCTAGACAAACACACTGCCAAATGGGTAGGCTGAGAAGTCTTTTTTAAATAATTAGATACTCTTCTTAATTTTAATACAGGCACTCGTTTATCTCTTATCATAAATGAAAGAAGAAAAACTAATTTCTGCTGTTTTCTTGTTATAAAACTAGCTGTGCATTAGTTTTTTATTTCACTTACAATGTTATATTTGTTTGTTTTTATTTGATGTAGCTATTGAGGACATTTTCTTCCTTTTAGGTTGATACATTAGCTAAAGCACATCCATATAATCCACTCTGGGCTCAACTGGGGTATTATTCCATTTTATTACTCAACATTGTTTATTTCTTTAATAATCAGTTTAAATTAAAAATTTGCATTAAGAAGCAGAAAATTATATAAAACAATTGTGTTGAAATTTTTTTAAAGAAGTATTATACTTTCTGTTATTCAAATATTAATTTGGTCTTACTTTTTTCATCTAGAGATTTATTTGGTGCTATTGGCCTTCCACTAAAAATTTCAAGAACTCTTGTAGTTGGGAGGAAAGCTGACATTGTAAAACGCTTCCTGTATGTTTTAAGTTATTTTATTCGCTGTAGTGAAGTCCATGAGAACTCCGATCCCCAGTGCCTGAGTAAGATTGTCAATGACCCCCAGTTTGGCGTCTCACTCTCTCCTACCAGTAGCGAAAAGACATTAGACGGCCAAGAAATTAGCCCAGCTGGTACTCATTACTTCAGGCAAACAAGCAGCGGACAAATCAAACCAACAGATAAAACTTTCACCTGGGGTAACTGTGAAAGCGGGAACCAGGCAAACAGTGAACTCTTAACATCTCCAGGCTACAACTGTGAAGAGAAACATAGTGATTCTTTCCAGGACAGGAATAGTGTTAATAGGTTAATTACCAGTGCTGGAGAGTTTGACTCTTTTAGTAGCTCTTCTTTTTGTTCAGTGCTGAATCAAAAAAATGAGGCTTTTGGCAGCAATAAATTAATTAGTCCGTCAGATGAGGCGGTACAAAGACCTGAATGGGCCAACCCAAATGGCGTTGTGAGTAATGCTAATGTTGGTATTAGTGAGCTACACACGTACACTCCAAATTCCCTCCCTGTCTGCAGCATAACATCTGCCAAAATTGTTGAATCTCCCAGAATAGAAAAAGTTATCAATGTTTCAAAGGCCCCTCGCAGTCCAATAGATTTCTCATCAGAGCATAGCTTTGTGAGGGCAGAGTCTTTCTCGGAGGGCAAGTCAACTCGCAAATCTCGCTTGAGCCAACAACTTGAGAGCTCAGCTGACACGCGAACAACAGTGACGGACAGCCCTCACAGCTGTTTGAATGAGGACGCTGAAACAAAAGTTACCTCCAGTGAAGCTGAATTCTCTTTAGGATCCAACTCATCTTGGCTGTCTAATGAAAGCAGAAAAGAAAATGAACCTCTAGCAAAGCTGAGCATCAGCAGACAGACAAGTCAAGACCATAAACCACCTCGACCGACCACTTTAACAAGGGGCAGGTATGATTGTTTCATTTTCTACTTTTCATTAAAGATTGGGAACCTAAAGCTATACTTAACACTTTTTTTTTACTTCTGTCATGCTATCATCCCAAACCATGATAAATTGTTGTTCTCGAGCAGTATATCATTGGAATGCTCAGGATGAGATTTATGAGAGTTTGTGCGTTCTTATGTGTTACTAACTTTTGGGTTCATAACTGGTTAAGTGAAATGAATTCTTTCTTTTTTCAAGCATGCCTAACATACTAAACTCTACCAAAGCTCCATATGTTCTGTCATAATCATATAACAATTTAGTTAATGTATTTTAAGAGTAACTTTTGTACACTTTTAAAATAAGATACACATATTTTCAACAGGTCTATAACTCCTACAGAGCTGAGTAGGAGGCGCCATTTGTCTTCTAATAGCAGCATTGATTATGAGGCCTTTGACCCAGAGATACACTGTACAGAAATTAAATTACCTAGGTGAGACATGAGGTTCAAACCAACATCTCCAGCGTCCAAATGTTAGGCTTGCATATAAGACCCCACTGTTGGACCTACATACCAACACTCTACAGATACAACACTCTACTGTTAGACCTACTTACACAACACTCTATAGTCTAGTTAGTTGCACAAACCAAGAAAATATGACGTCACAGTCTCAAAACCTTTCGTTTACAAAGAAAATAATTACGTCTACAGCCGTCTACGCATAGCGCATCAAACGGCTTTAAAATAGATATCACGTGATTCCGTAACCCGTTTTAACTTTAGTCGGAACGACTTGATGCGGCCGCTTACGGCAGATTAATTTTTTCTTCAAGACCCCTTTTCTATATGTCAAAACAAAAGCCACTTAAAAAGGTAAGTTTTCAAAAATTGTATTAAAATATTTTAACACTCGGACTAGCTCTGTATTTGTTAGGATTATTTTAATAATCCATTTTTCTGCTTAAGTCTAATTTTTTGTAATATTTTACGCTTTAGCAGACTACGAACTTCGTCTCACAAAGCAATCCTCCGAATGACACTATTTAAACGGTATCGATACTTTTTAAACCCCTTTCCGCGCCGATTGATTGATTGTAAAATATAATAAATTTTATGACATTGACGCTTTTAAAAAAAAAAGAATACTTACAAAATTGGAGTTTAAATGTTGCTAACGTAATTATCTTGTGTTAAATGTTAATACAAAACACATTTATGTAACGTTTTGAAGGCCCGCTCTAGTTGTAACTAATTCGCTGTAATCATGATCGAACTGGGAATCGAGCTATTAAAATAAAATACTGTAAAAAGATACACACTTAAACTAAACATGGATCGAGTGTAATATATTTATCTATTTAATTAAATGCACTAGTAGACTTCTTTTTGTTAATTATTAGCAATGTAGAAAATATTGAAAATGGTCTCACAAAGTAGACCAATACTAGTAATATCGATACCGCTTAACACGCATCTCCGTTCAGCCTTAAATCTAGTTTTTAAGCCCCGAACTTACTAGTTAATTAATTAGCTCTAAAGGCTTTATATATGATTAATATTTATAAAATTAAAATAAGCTATTCAATTATTGTTTAAACTGTAAGGTTCTTGTTAATAAAACACCATATTGCAATGTCTGTCAACCTATTAAGTAGGCCTATTAAATATACTAGATCTATATATTTTAAAATAGGCATATCGTTGTTTTCGACTTACTAGATTATTACTACTCAGTTGTTTTTTTAAGCACTCACAAACACACTAGCTTTTGTTTAACTAATAACTGTAATAAATATATTAATATGTTTAATATTATTAAAGTTTAATTAACTTTATTAAGCCTATAACTTGATATATTAGTAGTAACATATTTTTTGCGGACTTTACAAAACACAAAAACCAGTCACTCTTTTAATTAGTGGTATCGATGCCCTTCTTCAAAAGGTCCGTGTATTTTTTTTTTAAATAATAAAATATATTATAAGTAGAACTATTAATTTTTTTTTAGCTATCCATTGTCAAAAATTAAATAATATAACTATAATTAACTACTTATGATTTCATTATTTATAGGCAAGACAGAATGGGGAAGAAGAATGCCTTGAATGTAGTCAATCTCTATCAAAGGTATTCTGGTGTAAGTGGTGAAGTGTGAATAGGCAATGTAGTTTATTTGTACTATATAAAAAATAAAAATATCTCCAAGGTACTTGATGAGCTATTAGATAGAAACAGACATATAAAAACAACAAAAAATTATTTTGCTAACAGAAACTCTGTAAACAGAATCATAAAAAAATTCATGCTATTAAAATCAAACCCTGAAAGAAATTGGCAACAGCTGGTTAGTTATTTCAATGAACCTTATTTAGGAATAAACACACAGGCAACACTACTATCTGTGAGAAAAGGTTAAAGCTAAATTAAATAAATTAATGGTGTGGCTTGATGCAAAAAGTATCAATGAACAAAATCAGCTAATTGATTTTGCTATAACTGAAGGTGCTCGCAGGCGAAGATCACACAAAACCCAAAAGCGAGAAATTGAAAGTGAAATCATACAAAGAGGAGAAGAATCAATTAAAAAGAAAGAAAATAAAGAAAGAAGTTAAAGATAGATGTTGATAAGTTGGCAAAAGGTCAGTTATTTATTAATGATAAAATATTCTGCAATGTGGAGACCAGACAAAAACAAGTGTTAGCTAAAATTATCAATGGAGAAGATATGACTGGCCAACTGCTAAGTGGGAATGTATAAATGAAAATGACACCTTGTTTTTTGGTAGAATAGTCTTAAGACTCTCAGCTAGTGAGACAAAACTTGATAGATTTGTAATTGCTTATTGAAAGTTATTGGTCAATTGATGAGGAAAATAGTGAAGACTCAGAACTCAATGTAGCTACTTTAATAACTGATATGATCAGTAAGCATCTGTTGTTTGAGTTTTAATTTACAAGTTCCTTTAGAAGTTATATTGTATAATTTTTAATAAACTAAAGCTATATCCATTGCAATGCTCCTTTAGAAGTTATATTGTAAAATTTTTAAAATAAATTAAAGCTATATCCATTGCACTGCACAAAGTTAGTCTCTTTATAAAACAATTTATATATACATTTTTGTGACTGCTCCTTGTTCAACAAAATAAAATTCTAAGTTCATATTTGTCAAAATCATAACTATAAATCTAATAATAATATATGCATCTGATTAGCAGGACTGACCAGATATGTAGTTATGATATATCTGATTATTCCTGCAAATCAGATGCATGTATTAAATGTATTAATATATTCATAAATAATCAGCCTTTAGCTTATTAATTTGACTTTGAGACTACACATCCTACACTGTACACAAAACTAGCCAGATTATTGCTTCTATTAACACGTGACTCTTAAAATTAAAAGCTTGTAAACTTTGGGACTTTCCTTTATATTTAATAAAATAAACAGACACACTCTGTTTGTGAATTTGTTTTATTCTATTTTTTAATGTAGGCATAAGTTTCCATGTATGCTATAATTTGCTATAATAAATACTGTAACTTGTTCTGTTTCTTAACATTTTAAACTACTCTTTATTGAGCCATGATTTAAACCATTAATAATAATATCCATGTTTACTTGTTTAGGCCTATTTTTAATTAATCAAGTTTTGTCATGATGCATATTTTTTTTAAATGTCTCTCAATACTCAATAGATCTAGATCTAGAACGCGCCCTTAAAACATCGATGCTGGTTGCATTCCACCAACCCGTAATAGATTTCGCGTAAGGCCAGGGCTCATCGTAGATCATGAACAATCAGGGTTGAATTTTGGAGTAGAGCTAGATCTAGATCTTTGTTGTTTTTAATTAATTTAATTTTAATGCACCATGCACACTACAGGTGTCCGTAAAAAATTCAATAATCGTGAATTTCATTTAAATCTAGATCTAGATCTCTAGTTAAACTTTAGAGTTTAGACATATGATGGCGATGGGGGTTGAGTCTAGGTCTAGATTCTAGGGTAGAGTCTAGCTATTTAGAATTTAGTACTAGATCTAGATCTAGATATCTAGATCTAGATCTATTTACTTAGTATTTACTTTACATTTTGTCTTATTAGTAATTAGAATCTAATGTTAAACGGTAAACCTACTTAATTTTAGGCTTTTTTATTATTAAGCTTTCATTGACAGTTTAATCTAGCTTTGGTATTTCCTTAAGCGTAAATATATTTAAAGCTAATAAACTAGATTGTTTAAAAACATTTTATTACAATTTATTTAGTCTTACGTAACCTACTCTCTTCGCTCTAGACTAGACGCGCGCAAAGTTAAACTGCGATAATGTAATAATTTTGAGAAATTATAATTATGCCTTTTATTAGAAGATTTTCCCATTCGCTTTTTTCGTACTCTCGACGTGACCAACTTTTGGTTTCATTCTCCATAGGCTTAGTTGTCCCCGCAATTTTTACACTAAAACCGTCATATCTAGAGAACCGTTTATCCAATAAACATAAGTTTGGTATTGTTTTGCAGCATTTAGTCCCCTTTATACAACCCTGTCGTTATTTTTGTCATTTTCATCAATTGAAAAATTGCGTGCAACTAACTACTATAGTCTGACTTACAGTCAGACCATACATACATAATGCTCCTGTTTGTTAATTAATTCTTTTTCTTTCCCTGCAGTGCACTCACAGATTGTGGTCAGTGGCAGATTAAGGCATTTGATCGCAACTTTGGCAGATCTTTGCTTGCCAGCTACACTGACCATTACATGTCAGACTTTGTCCTGCATGGAACTTCAGATACTGAGTATAAAACTCGTTTGCTCAATGACCTACAAATGACTGTTAAGGTTTGGATCTCATATTTATCTCTACCATCTCATATTCTTCTTGTTCTTTGGATTTTTTACTTACACCTCATGCTTTTCTTGACCAGTTGGCAATAAAATAAAATTTTACTTTTTCAGCACTCAATTTTAGATGAACCAATTGATGAAGCTGTGTGTGTCATTGCAGATACAGATCACTGGTAAGGCTTATGTGTAAACACAACACATTTTCCCCCCCACACTCTAGTAATTAAATTTCCCTCATGCTTCATGTTATTGTTAAGAATGCTACTATTTTAAACAGGACTGTTGAAGTGGCTAGTAGCAAGGTGATGGGAATGTCCCCCTCAGGTTGCACCCCTTGGACAGCATCTAAACTAGTAGCTGATATGATTGAGTCTGTTGTTGAAATTTCCAAGCTCAAAATGAGTGCAGAATTTGTGAGTTTTTTTTCTTCCCATTACTCTATGTACAATAAGTTGTTAATTACACACCCTCCCCATGTGTCACAAGTTGTACCAGACCACCGCCCTCGTCTCTATTTTTAGTAAGCTTTAATGACAGAGGTGTTTATGACAGTTTCTTTTAAGTCAAGGTATTCACACATGTGAAACTTTATGCATATAATAGTCACTCTCATGGTAATTTCATAGGATCTTATTATTAGCTTTTAAGCTGCAAACATTTTATTGTCTTTAAAGATATTGTTAAAACATAAAGATTCACTGGTGATGATTGTTTTTCTTTTAAGTGCCTGATGCATTTAGAGGACAGACTACAAGAAATTTATTTTAAAAGCTCGATGCTGTCTGAGTATCTACAAGGTGCACCATACAACCAGAGAGAGCTTACATCAATGCTCGGGTAAGGCAGAATCCATTTTATTCCCGGCTCACATCCAAGCTAGTGTATAAGAGAATCTTGCTTGTTAGTGCCAAAATTACAATTAAAAAAACATAATTTAATGTGACGTTTTTTTAAAGAAAATTTTTACTGACTGTTCTTAAAATTTACTTTCTTAAATGCAGGTTTGAAAGCAGTGATATGCCTTTATTATTGGCCATTGCTGGGACGCACAATCCAAACCTGTTGTCAAGTTCATAGGACACTTGATACAAAATGCTCTCATGATACAAAATCATTCAAGATGATCCATGGTACAAGATATTTATCATCATTCAAGATGATCCATGGTACAAGATATTTATCATCATTCAAGATGATCCATGGTTCAAGATATTTATCATCGTTCAAGATTATCCATGGTATAATATTATTTTGTGATACAGGATTCTTCTTTATTCTAAGTGCTTAATACAAGATCCTTCACACAATATGCTTCCTGATATGAATGCATTCTGATAATCTTCACAATCCTGCTTCACGAAGTATATGATGCTTCATGCTACAAGGTGCTCATCAATATGTATATTTTGATGCTGTCAGCACATTTTGACTGCTCGGTTGCCAACTTAAAGCAGTTCACCAAGAAATTGTAAATGTGCATTATGGTCAAAGCTCATGGCTGTGATTTTTGTATATAGCTAGGTTTGACATTGCATACACCATCAGTCATACATGTTAGTCCATAGGAAAAACCGACATTAAAAAAGATGTTTTTCTATCCCCATCTCAACTTATATTTATTATAAATTATCTGTTGCAGTCATAGTCATGAAGTGTGAACTAACACTATTTTAAAGTGTATGGGTGAAATATTTCCTGCTATTGCTTGATGATAACAAACATTTGGTTTTGATAGCAGATATCTAAACTAATCTTAAGAAATGGAACAAACTTATAATTTATAGAAGCATTAGTTTCATAGTGATTCACAGTGTGATAAACACCTACTAAAGAATTCAATGTATATTTTGAATATTTGTAGGGATTAAAATTCAGATTGGAAATTTACAAATCTACATAGATAATTTAAAAGAAATAGCTCATGTGCAGTTAGATTTATGCTTAAATTTACATTTTTTTTATTGTGCCTAATGGTGTTAAAATATAGTTCCTGTTTTAAGGAATTAAATGATCAACATAACATACCCTTTAATTAGAGCTTCTTGAAAATGTCCACTATTAATAATAGTAATGCAGCTAATTTATTATAGACTTTTACAAATATCCTTAACATTCAGGAAAATGTGTCTGTGTGATGAAAAGAATGATTGTAGTGTATTTATCTTGTCCTCTTCAACTTGGTTTATTGAAACAAATGTTTTAATAGTATTTACCCACAAATATAACCTTTTAATTGAGGGAGTGGTGCAATTGTTTCAAATCCCATGTGATAACTTAATGTAAATAATGTTCTATAATGTTTATGTTGAATTCTTTCATGTACCGGTCTATTGTTTATCATCAATGTTGTAACTCTAATTACTCTGAACAGTGGTCAAATTTTCTGAAAACAAATGAAACAATACCAATCTTACTTGTACATAGATTCATGGCCTTGATTTATAAGACATGAGAAATCAGAATTTTTGGCTCAACAGTTTAGAGAGTTAGAGTACAATGGTGTAATGGTAAATGATCAAATCAACTTTCTTACATGTGGGTAGGAAAATATTTAATAAAGTCAATTGAAAATATTTTGTCTTTATTCAATCTGAAAAAAGTTAAAAAGTAATTGAAATTGTGAAAACTTGCTGGTTCTTTCTGTTACTCTCTACCTCCTGTGTGGCCATGGAAAAGTATTGTTCTCTCTCTGATCATCCCACTGTTCATTCTAAAGATAATAAATGAAAACTTCATTTGTTGATACAAAATTTAAATTTATGTATGAACCTCCATGATAGCTGCTTCACTGTATGGCAATACTGTTTTTCATTAAGATCTTAGACTTTTACTAGTGAAAAATATTTCAAAAGATGTCGATAATTTCAGTACAATATGTGATTCTTAGAAAAAGCTTATTTTCTGACTAGCTTTATATTTTTTTTAAGCTTATTAAATAGAAATTGAAAGATTATTTTTTTTAAATTAGCGATAATTTATATTAGCCTATTGCACCAATATGTGCACATGTGTGACATATAGCGCCCCCCCCCCCCCTCCCTGTTAACTCTAGCCTCAAATTACTCAAGTTGTATTTTGTCATGGAGGGTCATAGGTACATCTTAAAAACATACTCATTTGTTTGTTTTTAAACCAGGTACCTAAAGTATATGGTGAATGCATATTAGCATACTTTTATTTAAGAAAACAGATTATTATACTAGATAGTTTTTTACTAGAGACCAATATAAAATATATTGGCCCAGCACAACAGAAATTAACTTTAAATAGAAACAACTGAAGCTTGTTACCACAAGTAACAAAAAATATGAGGCTTACTTGTACATCAATCAAATTATTCATATGACAGTAAAATAGAGTAATAGATCAAATAAATCTTACCCAAAAGTCTGGGCATAAAGTTTTATAAACTTTTTTGAAATATTCACATGGCTCATGTTCTTCTCCATACCTTTCATGACAGCGAAAGTAGTCAACATAGTTCTGCCAACATCTCCTAAAAAGGGCGTGACATTTAGAACAAAGAACTGATCATCCTAAAATAAATTATTTTCACTAAAAAAACATGTTTGGTTTCATGCAATTGTGCTAAACTGCACTGTATCATAAAGCATGCATTTGTTTGGAAAATCAGGCTAACAGAATCAATACAAGTTCAAGAACTTTAAACAGAAGGTGACAGCATTTTCTTTTAATCGGAAAAACCCACTATCTTAAAGTTTTAAAACAATTACATGTTGTTCAGTACAGGTCAATGTTTCTTATTCCAAAGACAAGCCTTTTTAATGTGGTAAATTATGTATGTGTTAATAATTTGTTTTCAACATACAGCAAAATCATTGCAAGTTACACAATGATTCACTTGGTAATATCAAATTACCTGGTCTGATTTGTATTAGGAAATCTAGCATCAAAACCAGGGTTGAATCTACATTTTTTTTCTTTGACTTCTGTCTTATCTTCCGTTTTAGGACAGGACCTGTGGGGAATATAATGTGATTTTACAACCTCATTTCATCTGCATTGATGATTGATGTTAATTGAAATCTGGACTGTACAATTAATTTACCATTAGTCTGCCATTAGATGTCAGAGCAGAGGTTTAACTTTATAAAAATGAGATAAAGTCAAAAAAGTGGAAATGAACAATACATGAATAGGGTTAAGCCTATATATAATAATATAATAATATCAGGCATAAAGGCTAAGGGGTTACACTGCGGTTACAGAACAACAATAACAATAACATGTTTACCACATGGTGTAACCACCCCCTTAGTCTGGATCATCTCATGAACTTTAAATAATTTTTAACTCTAATTAACCATTCATTGAACTGGCAAGAAAAATATTTATTTTATATATCTTGAAATTTTTTTGCCTTGGTGTCATTCTCATAAATGGTGTCACCCAGTGCGGTTGACACTACCCGCCCTCGCCTCGCCTATCGGTTAAATGTAATCATGAGTAATGTAATATCATAGTAATATGTATTAAAACTTTTAATAAAGATTCTAAACTCTAAACTAAAGATATTTGTACTTAAATGTAATTTGTATCAATTATTTAATTAATTAACCTTAGAATTAGAATGCCTTAGCCTTTACTAAGTCTAAGCCTTACTAAATACTTACCTAATACTAACAATTAATTAATAATTTTAATACCTAACATTGTTCGGTAATCTATCATTTTAGGTACGTAAAAACGCCAGCAACTAGTAATGTGAAAAACAGGAGACTCCTTAAATTTTAATAATTATTTCACATTTTGAGGAGGATTTATGTTTTGAAAAATACAAAAATGTTTCCTTGTTTCATTTATGCACCTGTTTTTAAACAATTGAATTTAAACTTGTCAGTAATAAATGAAGACTAGCGATGTATTCAACAGATGCAACCATGCACATTTACTATAGCAGCTATCTTGTTTAAAATTTTTTTTGTAAACTTATAGCGCGAGATTTAAGGGGAAGCCACTCTATTTTACAAATGGCTGCTGTTTATATATTATATAGCTCGCAAACACTACTGTTTAAAGTTAATTTCTGGCCTATATTGATATATTTAGCCATTGATTTAGGGTAAAATCACGATATCTGGTAATGTTTGTTGAGTTTCTGTAACATTCGTTAAACCATAGTTTATTTGACCGTTGAAATAAAAATAGAGTCAAGTGCATTAAATTAATGTTTTAACTTAATTTGATGTTTAATTGACAGAAAATTAGCAACAATTAGTAAATCTAAATATTATTAATAAAGTCGAGTAGTAATTAATGTTTTTTTAAGAAACACAGAAAAAACCTGCAGAAGATTTGTGACTACTAGCTCTAGTTCTGTTAGTAAAATAAGATGATTAGATTTACTGATTTACTTAAGTTAAAAGTAGTAAGAAGAACTAGAAAAATGTTTAGTAGCATCAATAATTAGCACATACACTTAAAATAATTAGAAATACAAAATAATTAGCAAAACAGTATTTAAAATGCAAATAAAATCAATCCTTGCACATTTTAAAAATTATGTATTAAAAATAATATGGCAGAAAATAAATGATGGTTTACAGTATTTCCGGTTGTTTCCGGAACGGCTCTACAGACTACGCCATGGTCTTACTGTTTTTTACTGCTGTACAATTCCGGAATAATAACAGACGCTATATCGTGATTTTACAGATTTAGGTTTATTATTCATTTATCTATATTTGACACAAATAAATCACAATTCAATATACTTCTATTAAAGCCTTGACAATGAGGTAACTTTTTCGTACATTACTAGCCGCAGGCGATTTTAAGTACCTAAAACGATAGATTACCTGTTAGGTCCAGGTTAGTTTCAGATAAACAACATCGCTTCGTGACTACGTTCGCTACTTTTATTCCGTCTCAAATATATACTAGTCTAGAACATTCCAGAGTAGCCCTCGTCCTACCCGCAATCAACTAACCCCTGACAGTCATTCACTCCAGCTTTTATACCTCATTCGTCCTTGGGATAACAATACATAAACACACCGGGGTTAACAAAACTCTAGCAGCTAGCTACTAGCTAAGCTAGGGCTCTTCTAGGGTAAACTCAACTCACGCACGCACTCTCCCCTAATTTTAGATTCTAACCAATTTTTATCTAACATACAACTGAACCAACAACTTGTTGAACTTAGCTCAGATGCTAAGTTACTTAGATTAGATCTAGAGGTAATCTATCGTTTTGGGTACGTAAAATCGCCCGCGGCTATTAATGTACGAAAACGTTACCTCATTGTCAAGGCTGTAATAGAAGTATATTGTGATATGTTTGTGTCAAATAAAACTAGATAAATGAATAATAAACCTAAATCAATGGCTAAATATATCAATATAGGCCAGAAATTAACTTTAAACAGCAGTGTCTACAAGCAAGGTTTGCTATATAAACAGCAGCCATTTGTAAAATAGAGTGACTTCCGCCTGAATCTTGCGCTTTAAGTCTATAAAAATAAAACTTTAACAAGAGATGGCTGCTATAGTAAATGAGCATGGTTGCATCTGTTGGAAACATCGCTAGTCTTCATTTATTACTGAAAAGTTTTAATTCAATTGTTTAAAAACAGGTACATAAATGAAACAAGGAAACATTTTTGTATTTTTAAAACATAAATCCACCTCAAAATGTGAAATAATTATTAAAATGTAAGGAGTCACCTGTTTTTCACATTACTAGTCGCGGGCGATTTTACGTACCCAAAACGATAGATTACCGATCTAGAACTTACTTAAACTAAACTTAACTAAATAAAATAACTAAGCAAACTTCTTAATCTTAGTATTAGTAACTTACTCGGTCTCAGTTTTTGTTTCTTTCTCATTCTGTGCAGGACAAGCTTTTTTTATGTTGGGAGGGCAGGGGTTTTCAAATTGAGGCTTACAAGCGGCGTTTCTATTCGAATTTTCTGCCATATTTTGTTTATCAAACTTTCACTGGGCTAAGTAAATCTAGATTCTAGATCTTTAGTCTAGTTCGGAACTCCTGTGATCATCAACATCAAATATTAATTACGGCTTGAAAGTAAACCGCTAAATAAGTTGCTATGGCCAGGTGCAAGGTAAAAATGCAGATCAAAAAAAGATTAGCCAATATTTTAATGCATATTTTAAAATGTAACGCATATGCTTAGTAATTACTTACGCCATTAGGGCTTAGGGTTAGCTGGATTTTTCTTTTGCGATGGCTTATGTTCAGATTATTAGCGTTATATATCTCACACGTATGTACTGTCACAACTATTAAGTATTTTCTATTAAATTAATTGCATTTTATTCTTTCTGGCAGTACACACACCATTTTAACTTGACAAAGTAGGCCTAAGCAGTGTTTCTTCTAGTCATCTCTTCGGGGAGCTCCGACCAACCTCCCCCCCCCCCCTAAAAACTTCTAATGCCCCCCCCCCCTCAACGAAATGTAATTTATATAGAAAATATACACTTTTACCAATGTCCGTCCCCTCCGGAAACATTTAGTCCCCCCCCCCCTCGAAAATCGAAAACGTCAAGTGCCCCCCCTCTCCCCCCGAATAAAAAAAGTTCTGGAAGAAACAGGGATCGTCTGTTACGTCTACTCAGAACTCATTTAGTCAATTTAGTATCGACGATAATAATAATTAATACGTGGAAGAGCACTCCTTCGTGGCATGTCAAACACCCGCTCCTTTTTTACTTTCTCGTATATACGAAGTATAGAGAAAGTCTTGTAATCGTGCAAAAAAAAAAATCGAGATTTTTACAAATCTCGACGTTTCACACCTCACTGATACGGAAAAACATAATTTTGCAATCTTGTCCGTATGTCTGTGTGTCTGTCTGTGTGTCTGTGTGTCTGTGTGTCTGTCTGTCCGTGTGTAAACACGATAACTTGAGAACCGTTACAGCTAGGTTGATGAAATTTCATATATAAGTATTTTATCAAAATCGTAGATCCGTATCAACTTTTGAGCGATTTCCGATAACCGGAAGTGGTACTTTTCCTACTTTGAATTTTTCATAAGCCTATAACTTGAGTACTATTTCAGATAGATAAATGAAATTTCATATGTAAGTAAAAGATCTAATTCTCTACCTTCTATCAAATTTTGAGTCATTTCCGTTGACTGGAAGTAGTACTTTACGCTACTTCCGATTTCTCAAAAAACTAATGTAAATTTTAAAAGTAATAATAATATTGCGCACCATTATGCGCTTTTTTATTTGGCGTTCACTTGGTGTGCAATTAATTTGTCTACGAGATTTTATTCTATTTTTAAAACTTTAAGTATTTAAAATGGATTAAAAATCATGTCTATAGCACGAGTTCCCATCCCCTGTTATTTTATATAAGAATATTCGAGAAAGTTTAGGGGAGATCACTCCCGGTTTATTTGACAAAATAGAAAAAAAAAAGAAAATGGTGAAGCATCTCTAAAGCGCCCAATGGCTGTAGACAGCGGCAGCGTAGCTACCGCATAGCAATCATAAGCAAGGCATAAGGACCCAATGAAAATAGAGCGGATAAAATTAAAGGCCATCTTCTCTTTGAAAAATTTAAAATTGGAAATTTGAAATTCGTTTTATTTAAAATATTGTATTTTAAATATTGAAATCCAGTGTCTTTTCTGCTGTAAAAAATATTTTAAAATCCATAAAGGGCCCCCAGTCCTTCAATAGTGTAAAGGCTGTAGCATGTAGAGAATGGTGTGGGCTGCACAGTCCTATCCGTATCATCGTATAATCTTTGCATATGACCATCGCGGTGTACAGGTCCGCATTTAAAATGACGATCCGTACTGTGAAAGGTTGTGATACTCGAAGTGGCAGATATTAATAGCAATAGACGAAAGTCAAAAGTAATAATAAAATTTAATTGGAATAGGTCCTATTTATTTAATATTTAGATATAGAATCTAGCTCTAAATCTAATCTGCAGGTATTCTCGGGCAAGCCGTTTAGCATAAAGCTAAGTCGAAAACGTGTCAATGGTTGTGTGTGTGTGTGTGTGTTGATCAAATTTGTCTTTAATTGTGACGCTGCTTACAATATAACTTTTTTTTTTTTGGCTGTCCGATCGCCACAACACTTTGGGAAAAAAAAATGTTGAGAATTCTCCTGACAGTGTTTTTTTTATCATAGACATTTTTCTCTGGGGGGGGGGGGGCAAGAGATGCCTTTAAAATGTGACTCCTGGGAAGATTTCTGCCATTACCTATTTTATTTATTTCGGAAGGCGGTACCCCCGGGGGTAGGGTGCAATTCGCCACCCAGAGTTTTCTAGCGGATATCTTAGCACCTGAGATCTTTGACTGAGCGTCTTGAACATCTGGTAAGGGGTACTACGGTCAAACTACACCAAGCGCATCAGTCGGCATCCCGGCTGTCGCGTGGATTGTTAGAAAAAAGTCATAGGAACAAAAAACACAGGAAAAAAAAAACACAAATGTGTATTTGCGTGGAATTTGTTAAAAATTTTATATTATCAGATAGTGCTAATCAACATACGAATAATTAAATGTAGTGCAAACATTTTATATATTTGTGTGTAGGTTGTATTTTTATGGTACCACACGTGAAAATATCTAGTTTGAAGTTTTTAGATTCTAATTGTAATATTAAGTAGAATGTTCTAACCGACTCAGTTTAGATATTGTTTTTAAAATACAAAGTTAGAATCAGCGTGAAATAGCAGTAATACATGATTTGTTGTCCACAACTCGTCGCAGCAATAGTTCAGCCACCTTTACTGTCCATATTTACCGCCCTCATTACATCACAAAGCATAGGATCAAGCCGACACGGTGCAAAGGCCATCATTGAAGAAAAAACAAGTTAATAAAAAGTCTAGTGACAATTTAAGCGCAATTTCCTTATGTTATCTAAAAATAGATAGTGATCAAGTTTGTTTTTAAACAACGGAAATAGTTTTATTTTAACGAGTAGGCCTACACGATGCTCAGTTTAAAAAAAGTAGTTATTAATTTTTTGTGACCGAACGAAAGGATATTTTTGGAAAACTTTCTTCGGCAATATTGTTCAAAATTATAACAGAAATCGATTGGTAAATGTTTCAAGTCGCTAAGTGGTCTGGTTGCCGAGATATGGGCCAAAAACTGCATTTTTCGAGTTGTTTTGGCTTTTCCGGGAAATCTAGGAAGGAATTCCGGGAAATTTTTGGCCCACAATCATCCTCGGAACTTGCGTAACATATTTGCTTTTGGAACTAGTCCTCGATATTGCTTCGTTGAGGAGGAGATACCACTTAAAGCTGCGGACACACATCCATACATCCAGAAATGACGAGTTAATAATCGCAATTGTCCGTATGGAAATTGCGCTAAAAAACGTCAATACTACACAATGTGGAAGACTAGGCTAACAGACAAAAGCTCTACGCTTAAAAAAAAACATTTAAAAGCTACAAAACACAACGATGTTGCTACATTTCTTTAATACTTAGGTTTTCTAGTAGGTATTTAAATAAGTATGTAACAAAATTTGAGGTGTAAATTATCTTTTGTACTTTTACTTATTGTGAAGATCAAAGTTTAATTATCATTAAAAACCATACAAAAATAATGTTTTACAGTTTATAAATATATTACTTAATACACCACCCATACTTACACACCCAAAGTTTTACAATTCTCAACAAATAAATCAAAAAATTTCTTAATAAACATTTATGAATTCTTTGTGACTTTTTTTCTGATAACGTTTTTCCGTTGTGACTTTTTTCTTTGACTTTTTTTTCTAACAAAACATGTGACTTTTTTCTGTTTTTTTTTCCTGTTCACCGTCGTGTGACATATGACTCCTATATTTGTTTTAATAGGCGCCATACACTAGATATAAGAAGGATAAAATAGGTAGTGTACAGTTAAGCGCCCCGAGTTTCCCAGTGGCTACCTGCGTTCATGGGGACTGCTGATTGGGGCGTTCTTCAGGGCCATGAGTACAACTTGATTCAACTGTCAGACTGCAACAGTGGAACCCGGGCGGTCGGGTGACATGAAGCTCAATTGGGCTCCCATATGAGGACCATGACACTACATTCGTTTGAAAATACATCCTACGAAAAGTGGGTCATTATATGGTCTGTATGTCTGTGTTTTGTGTGTCAATACGTCATTCATCCGCTCATTATGAAATTTTGAAGTACAGTCCCCGAATGTATTTGGAATACTTTTTTGAAAAAATAATCGGCCCTCCAGCTAGGGTTCATATAGCCAACTCCTGGTCCTCAAAATATTTTCGAGTTCTCAAGTTTAGATGATTTTGCCTAAAATATAGATTGTTTCCGTTCGAAAACAACATGCCTTTTTATCATATAGGCCTTACTTTCGCGAGGGTTTCTGGCATTCAGCCGATCGTTATTAAACTTTGGAAAGTTGTTGAGTACAACACCGCAAAGTTTTCTGGCAATATATTTTTTTACATAAATATCAGAGGAACGTAATCCCGACGGTAGTGTATAGTTAGGCACCCGAGTTCCCCCGCCGTTACCCAAGATCCGAGGTCCATTGTTTGGTAGTCCTGCACAGAGGGGTCATGAGTTCTTCTTGAATCAACTTTGAAACTTTTTAAAGGGGGCACCCTCAAGTTGTATAACCTGGAACTTCCCGGACAACCCCCTGAACACTTTGGCGCCTCCGTTCATTTAAAGAGCACCCCACACTTGGTACACAGTGAGCTACTACATTCGATAATCAAATGAAAACAGTCGAGGAGGAGGGTGGGTTGTGCGGGTGAACAATTGTAAAAGTATACATATTTCCTATGGGTTCTATAGGCCTATAGTTTTAATAAGTTTACTACGTTTTTATTTCAACCTTCGATCATGGGGGGGGGGCAGTGTCTCAGGAAGAGATGCCGGAAATAAACTAATTTTATAGATGAGCACGCGAATTGAATTAAAACGACACTAGCATTATCATCACTTTGAAATCTATTGAATATTAAAATGAATTTTCCTTTAATCTTAGATAGCAGCAACGCGCAACGGGTATGCTAGTCGTCTAGGCATATACAAAATAATAGTGGTAAAGCTAAATTTTAAACATAATCGTAAAAATTCAATTTTATACATTTATTGCATTTTGTCTGCATCTTGATTAAGAAAAAAAAACCAACTAAAAGCCTAGGATGTGTTCCGTAAAATAAACTCGTGACACTCAACTTCTGATATTTGGAGTGATCTTTAGCTATAAGATAAGTTTCACCCATTTTATCCTGTTGCAAGGTCAAGCTGAAAATGTAAGCTCTCATAAAATGATTTCCTCATCAATCTATTTTCAGTTTGATATTTTATCTTTCCTTTTTAAGTAACAAATGGAGGTATCTAAATAATCTGGCAAAATTTTTAGAATCTACGTTTTATAGATTCTAGAAATTAGCCCTCCGTGGCCTCGGTAAAATAACAATCTAAAATCTAATAAATGGAAGGACACGAGTCTCGACTCGAGTCACGTAAACTTAAAAAAATTTGAGTGCAGGTCTAGTTAGGTAATATTTGTGTAATATATTGAAGTTTACTTAGTTTGGTGTTAGTTCAAGGTAGTCTAAATCTGTTTTAACTTTAAATTCTGTGAAAATGTAGCCTAGGCCTACTATCTAGTTTGTTACTAGTACTACTCAGTACTTAGTACTAGTACTGCCTAAGTCTATTACTCTATTTATCTATTACTATTGTTAACTATTGTATTATAGCGAGGCTCACTAAATCTTAATTTTAATTATTTATTTTTTTAACCAATACCAATAAAAGCTAGAGATATTTCTCTAACTAACCAGGCACTACATTTGATGATTTTAGCTCATTTTGAACTAAAATACATGATTTTAATTATTGGTGCCATACAGCTTAGCTGGGAAAGATTTTTCCATGACAACCATTCAAAGATCTGGTTCCTAAAGTTGACCTGAAAACGACCAAGGAGGTTCGTAAGGATCATGTGTGGGGAGGGGGAAGTGGAGGTATGCTGCAATAAAACGAAATCGAAAGGATACTCGTAACTTGGTTATGTAATCTATTTACTGTATTTCTAGTAAACGCCAAAGGAATGAACCAAAAAAATCACGTATAAATGTTTAAAAATATATAGATCTAAACTTTTTAAAGGTATTCATTTTCACTTTTATTCAGTCTTGATTAATCAGTGTAAATAGGAATGTTTAATTAGGACAATTAGGCCTAATAATAATAGATTGAGTTAACGGCGGAATCTAACCCTCCTCCCTTATCCAGCATGGAAGCTTTGTCCAGGCTGAGTTTTAAATATTAAAAAAAAGTAGATCTATATAGACATAATAAAATATCTGTTTTTATTTTTAAAACTGTCGTTGCATTAAATTTCATCACATGTGAGCGAGAAATGCATTCCAAACATCGCCACTCATAGGCTGTGCGTAGTGACGGCTCGCTCGCGTTGTTTTGTCAACGAGAGAAACATCGCCCGTCCGAAGCTAGATCCAGGTGGAGTTTTAATACTTAAATTTGTATCTAGAGCTGGTGTGTAGATCTAGATAGATCTATTTAAAGATTGTTAGGCTACGCCTATCACATTAACGTTGATCACTTGTGAGTGAAAAATTATGCAAATTCGTCACGAGCCCGCTTGCGTTCTTTCGTCACGCGAGCGTGTGCGCAAGTCCAAGTACTGTGTCAACTAGATCTAGATCAACTTTTGTTTATGCAGGCTGTCCTCTAATATGATTATTATAATTTATTAGCCTAGTCCTTCTGGATCTAAATCATAATAATCAATTATATAAAAAATGAAAGCAAATGAAAATAATATTAACTATAATTCGATCAAGTCGTAATTAGTAATAATAAAATCAAGTAAATAATTTAGCACCTAGACTTTACTAGACGTATCGAGATCGCGTTTCACCACGAGATCACCGGTTTACGGGCTTTTACAGAAATACCAACTAATTCCTATCTTCCCATGTTCAGATCGAAATACTTAATTAATTTGTCCACCAATGTAAAAATCAAAATTGGAAAATATTCACTTAACGCTTGTCAACATAAATAACAACACAAACGTAGTAAAGAGTCGATAGAGCCACCTAGGCAAACGTCTCCCGCCCAATAGCGGTCACGTGGGTTATGGAATTTTTACTTTTGGTGGTGACCGTTTTGGAGAATTTTTTTAAAAATTAGCGCATGTAATATTCGATTTATTTTTACACAGACTGCTAAATCTAATATTGATGTACTTTCGGTTTCCGATCTACATCGTAGAAGCTAATATTTAAAAAGATCTACGAATGTTTGTCGGCACCACTTTTTGAGCTTCGGTCTTCATTATCCAAAGCAATTTATAGCGTTTCTCTGGCATATTTAGCACTGCCATTTATAGTTTGTTTACATTATGTGAAAAAAACCGCCATTTTTCACGAGGTAAACATTTTAAAAACGAATTCCTAGAAAGTCACTTGGGCAGACAAGAAAAATGTCCGAAACTAAGCGTCCGGTGTAGGACGCCATGTTGTTGTTAGCAACCAGAGACGCTTTCAAGTTAGTGAGCCTCGCTATAATGTATTACTTTTGTGTAGGCCCCTAAGTCAAAATGAATTATTAGTAATTTATTAGATCTAATACTTAATAGTAAGTTAATAGGCCTACAATCTCTAGAATAACTGCCTAGTCTAGATCTAATCTAAGACAAAAATCTATGCTACTAAACTGACAGACTTTTGCAACAGGAATTGTGTTTGTACCTGTTCTCTGCCCCCCCCCTCCCCCCCCCCCCCCCCGAGTATGACAGTGTAATTATAAAATCAATAGGCTTAACGAAAAATTGAGTTTTCTTTTAAAAAAATCATTAGCAAGTGATATTTTCTGTATTTTGTAAATACAAATATGACTTGTTAATGTCAACACTAAACCTAACACGTCTTACCATAGTGCTAACCCTTATATCTGACCCTAACGCCAAACCTGAAATCACAATAGATCTAAAAAAACCTAACACTCCTATTTATGGGAGAGTATTTTCCGATATCAATGACACCAATATCAAAGTTCTGAAGGCCCAATTAATAGTCTTCTCAGAAACTATACAAATATCTCATTAAGGCCTAGCTAAACTCTGAATAACAAAGTAACTATATTTATCTCCAAATTGTTTTGCGCATGTAGCACAATTTCAAAAAAGTTTTAGAACCTGGTTTCCATGGGGCAGATGAAGTAGATTTCACCTATTTCTGTGACCTAGGCATATAAAGGATGTGGTCAACATTAAGCCTAGCCAGCCTTACATACCCTAACTACAGATTAAGACCCTCGTTTAGAAGATATTTGGTTTAGCACTAACATTTGTTCACTCTATTATCTGACTCATAAAGAGGTAGGCTACTGTCCTTGAAAACAAGTTTCTTAATTAAAATAAAAAATGTCTGGTTATTTGGTTATTTCTGTAGATTTTCTTGTTAGACATCCTAAGTCTTGATTTTATAATTTTTTCCCTTGTTCAACAATATAACTTCATTTCTGCTTAATATAATAATAAAATATTTATAAGACATGTTAGGTTTGTTTAGTGAATTCCATCTTAGTTTATTTTATCTTGTGTTATATTTGTAAACTTTGAAGGTATTATAAAGTTCCATTGATTGAAATGTCACACATTTTAAAGCCACTTATTTATTTTCAGGTCAGAAGTTGAGTTGAAAAATAAGCCTTGGTCACCCCCTTTTGATGCTAGATTCCCTAATCAAAATCAGACAAGGTTGGTTTTATTATTGTGCTTACAGTTTTATTAGATAATTTTATCTAAGTATGTTAATATTTTAAATGATGGCGTGGCCTAGTGCTAGACTGCTAACCTGAGAGTCTCCAGTTTGAATCTGGGTTCTATTCAGTGTAACGTCCCTGAATCCACCTAGCTCTGATGGGTACCTAACTTACATTAGGGAAATAAAGGTAGCTGGGCATAGTGCTGACCACACTATCCCTTCATATGCTGAGGTTTCTACTTCATCTGCCCCAAGATGTCAGTATTTTAAAATTTATGTGTACATGTCTTTTCAATTGTGTGTTGCAGAAACTGCTGGCAAAACTATGTTGATTACTTCCGTTGTCAGAAAATAAAAGGTGAAGACTATGCCCCTTGTGAATACTTTAAAAAAGTATATTCACATCTATGTCCTTCTTTCTGGGTAAGATATTTTAAAGTTAGCTAGATTATCTTTTGTAGTATATATTTTATATTGTTGGAAGTAAAATATCTGATTATGTTGTATTTCTTTTATTTGACTTGTAATTAAAATTTTCTATTTCAATATTTAGGTAGAACAATGGGATGATCAACGTGCAAGTGGTACTTTTGCTGGCAAAATTTAACAACATACTGTATTCCTTTCAAGTTTGGTGTATAGTCTGATCAGCAGCATACTGTTAGTACAGAATTTATGTATGATTGTCTTCAGGATAAGTGAATAAATTTTTTTGTTAAGTTTTCAATTTGTTGTTACCTGCTTACTGAAGTGTGAAATGAATATGAGTAAAGAAGTAATTTTTTTCATGTACTTTGTAAGAGTATAGCAGTAAGATGGGTCCACCAGTGAGTGCCTATGACAATGTGGTTGAAACTTCCTAAATTGTATGCACACAGCTCCTTTTATTGTGCATTAAAAATGTAAGAAATATTTAAAAAAAAATGAATATATTTTCCTACCAGCAAGCTTAGTCTGAATTTTAAAAAGCAATTTTTGACTGTGTACGAAGAATACTCTAGAAATTGCCTAAACTTCTCCATTAACTTGTGAAGCTACTTTATTGAAAATATTTTCAAAATTATTTTGAGTTAGCTACCCTTTTGTACTTAACAGTCAGTAGGCAATGAGTTTACTGGTTTCTGTAACTCCTGGCATCATTGCTGATTGCTAAAACATTGACACTGCTAGGATATGCTGCTATATCTGGTGAGAAAAGTTTGTAAACTACAATAAGCTCTCATTGATTTTAATGCACAAAATAAAAAATGTAGGATGGGTACTAATTCTAGAACACACTGATTTAAGAACTGTTGATTAGTATTGACGAAAAAAATGCCAACTCAACAGAATGAACTTTATTATAATTTAAATATAATGTATAATTAATAGATAACAAGATTATAATAATTATTACATCATTTGAATCATCTTTTTAGTTTCAAATTACAAAACTTACTATCCTTCTAAGTCTAAGACGTTATTTAGATATTATTCCAAGGTTCCAACTGTAAAACGTATATCTTCAAGAAACCGTGACCGGAAAAACCGCTTTCCTGGAGGGGGGGGGGGGCGCTTTTCCGAAGACTAAAATCGGAAAAATTCACACCGGATTAAGGAATAAATAACCGATATCAGTCAGAAAAGAAACACATTAAACTAAAGCGTATTTTACGATTGTGTAACATAAAAAGAGTTAGTGACGTTTAAAATCCGCTCTACCATTTTTGTCCAAGATGGTAGGAGGGGGGGGGGGGGGGCTTTTTCACCAACCAAAAACCGCAGGATTTGTACTGGATCGGCTGCTAGATAACTCTTTTAACACTTAGAAAAGAAATCAATTGTATTAACACTTAATGTACGATTTCACTACCCAGTTTTGTTCAGTAATAACGCGACTAGTTCTTTGTACGATTCTTACGATTCTCTCAACTTTATCGTGAGAGATCAGATACTTTACTTGATTGCATTACATCTTGCCTGGATCACTGCATTAAAGAGAAATAAATATAACGAGCCGACCCGCGGCGTATCATACGCCGCTATTTAGTTGTTTTTTCTACTTTTCAGTAATTTATAATTTGTGAATTCGACAGTACCAATGCTGCCACTGAAAATATTTGCTATAAAACACTAAAACCCTCCTTTCCCCCAACCCCTGCCCCACCCCCTCGTGAAAGCAGCCTCCTCTTAGTTACCTCCCTTAAGTTTAAAATCGTTTCAAACTAAATTATCTGTTCCTAATAGCCGTCACTAAACCCGTCTCTACGGTTTGTAAACATTGAGCGTGAACCACAGCTCACCAGAATATGTGAGAGGGGGGATGGTAACGATAGAGAGGAAGAGAGGGGACTGCAAGGCGCGCTTGCAGCTTGTTTTCTAACGTCTCCCATAAGAGAATTATATATATAGATGGATTCTTGTATCGCTATCCGATCAGTAAAATAGACTGTCGGAGCGGGTGGATGGGAAGAGACACTCTTTGCCAAAATTTTAAGAGAGAAGAAAATAAGTATATTGCACTGATTATTACTTTGTTCAACCTAACTGATAATTCAAAATTGCAATATTGGCCTACTATTATAGAAACTGTTCTAAAACTAGATCAACCTATAGTTCGTAGGAAAATTAGAATCTATCACTTATTCGTCTGTTAAAAAAAAACGTCATTTTTCTCAACCCCGCTTTTCATCCCCCCACTAAGCACAACGTCACCAAGTTCGCGGCGCACGTGACGTCATTTGTCATTAGGCTAATGTTAAAGAGAGAGATACCGCGTAATTAAAAAATCAAAACTGGCACTATTGCGTTGAGACTTTAGCGACGTTTAGCCTGACGAATAGATCTAAATGACTTACATTTCATAATGAGCGGATTAATGATGTATTGATGCACAAAACACACACATACAGACCATATAATGACCCACTTTGTGTAGGATGCATTTTCAAACGAATGTAGTGTCATGGTCCTCATATGGGAGCGCTTCATGTCACCCGACCGCCCGGGTTCCACTGTTGCAGTCTGACAATTGAATCAAGTTGTACTCATGGCCCTGAAGAACGCCCCAATCAGCAGACCCAATGAACGCAGGTAGTCACTGAGAAACTCGGGGCGCTTAACTGTACACGACTGAGGCACCTATTTTATCCTTCTTATATCTAGTGTATGGCGCCAATTAAAACGAATTATAGGAGCCATAGGTCACACGACGGTGAACGGAAAAAAGTCACATGTTTTGTTAGGAAAAAAAGTCAAAGAAAAAATTCACAGAAATTCATAAATGTTTATTAAGAAATTTTTTTATTTATTTGTTGAGAATTGTAAAACTTTGGCTGTGTATAAGTATGGGTGGTGTATTTAGTAATATATTTATAAACTGTAAAACATTATGGTTTTTAATGATAATTAAACTTTGATCTTCATAATAAGTCAAACTACAAAAGATGATTTACACCTCAAATTTTGTTACATATTTATTTAAATACATATTAGAAAACCTAAGTATTAAAGAAATGTAGACACATCGTTGTGTTTTGTGGCTTTTAATTGTTTTAATTGTTTTTTTTACCGTTAACGTTTTGTTGACGTTTTTTTTTCTTCAATGATGGCCTTTGCACCGTGTCGGCTTGATCTTATGCTTTGTGATGTAATGAGGGCGGTAAATATGGGCAGTAAAGGTGGCTGAACTATTGCTGCGACGAGTTGTGGACAACAAATCATGTATTACTGGTATATTTCACGCTGATTCTAACTTTGTATTTGAAAAACAATATCAAAACTGAGTCGGTTGGAACAATCTACTTAATTCTATTGTATATTACAATTAAAATCTGAAACATAAAAGTATTAACAAATTCCACGCAAATACACATTCAGTGTTTCTTCCAGACTTTTTTCTCCGGGGGGGCACTTGAAATTTTCGGGGGGGCGGTAAACTTTCTTCGGGGGGGCGGACACTGTTAAAAGTATATATTTTCTATATAAATTATATAAATTTCATTTCGTTCGGGGGGGCGGTAAAAAATTTTCGGGGGGGCTTCGCCCCCCCGAAGAGATGCCTGGAAGAAACTCTGTACACATTTGTGATTTTTTTTCCCGTGACTTTTTTCCTGTGTTTTTTCCTGTGTTTTTTGTTCCTATGACTTTTTTCCTACTATCCACGCGACAGCCGGGGGGTGCCGACTGATGCGCTTGAAATTTTCGATATTTTTTAGGGGGGGGGGGGGGCGGACTAAATGTTTCCGGAGGGGACGGAAACTGGTAAAAGTGTATATTTTCTATATTAATTACATTTCGTTGGGGAGAGGGAGGGGGGCAATAGACGTTTTTGTGGGGGGGGGGGGGGTGTGGGGTGTCGGAGCTTCCCCGAAGAGATGCCTAGAAGAAACACTGCCGACTATATAGGCTTAAGCCTACTTTAACAGTTAAAATGGTGTGTGTACTGCCAGAAAGAATAAAATGCAATTAATTTAATAGAAAATACTTAATAGTTGTGACAGTACATACGTGTGAGATATATATTATATAAGGCTAATAATCTGAACATAAGCCATCGCAAAAGAAAAATCCAGCTAACCCTAAGCCCTAATGGCGTAAGTAATTACTAAGCATATGCGTTACATTGTAAAATAATTTTTTTAAATATGCATTAAAATATTTGCTAATCTTTTTTTGATCTGCATTTTTACCTTGCATCTGGCCATAGCAACTTATTTAGCGGTTTACTTTCAAGCCGTAATTAATATTTGATGGTGATAATTACAGGAGTTCCGAACTAGACTTAAGTTTTAGAATCTAGATTCTAGATATCTAGATTTACTTTGCCCAGTGAAAGTTTGATAAACAAAATATGGCAGAAAATTCTAATAGAAACGCCGCTTGTAAGCCTCAATTTGAAAACCCCTGCCCTCCCAGCATAAAAAAAGCTTGCCCTGCACAGAAAGAGAAAGAAACAGAAGCTGAGTAAGTTTGCTTAGCTAAGTTTAAGTTTATTAAGTAGATCTAAGTTACTTAGCCTCTAAGCTAAGTTCAACAAGTTGTTAGGAACAATGTTAGGTATTACAATTATTAATGGAGGCGAGCGAGTTGACGAGATTCCGTCCCCAATGTTGTTGACATGGAATAAAAACGTGCTTTTTAGATTTAGACCGTAAAAAAAAATAAAAAATAAAAACTTAAGCCTAAAATTAATTTAGAAATTTTATATTTTTAGAATAAATGTTATAAAAGTTGCAAATCCAGAGAACTTGAAAATAATTTGTTGAGTTTAAGGCTACATTTCTATTTATTTTCATCAAGCCTAAGTTATAACCGGATGTTTCACTTTCGTAAGACAAATATTGATTGGCTGTAAAGTAACTTAGTGATCGATAACTATTTGTTTACAAAACTTTGCAGATCAAGTTTTTAAATTACAATGCAAATTTAAAACCCCATGACCTAGTTTTCTATTTTTAGCTTACAATGTGTACAATAAAATCAATGGCGGCCTATCCAATAGCAGGATGCCATTGTTTATGTCGCCATTACACGTGAAAACCAAATTGTTTTTGCTTTTTTTTTAATTTTTATTTAGTTACCGAAAATATTATAAACATCAAATACATCCAATCTTTAGTAAAGTCCGAAAAAAACCAGATAGACAGGATTTTATAACCATATTAATTGTAACTACGCTGTGCATGATTTTTAAACGAATTTATACACCTCTCAAATACCTTTGAGACTTTTCTCGCTGGTGTCCATTAAGTGTTAGTATTTTAAGTTACGGCTTAGACGGTAATCTAAGGTTGGTAATCTATCGTTTTGGGTACGTAAAATCGCCCGCGGCTATTTATGTACGAAAACGTTACCTCATTGTCAAGGCTTTAATAGAAGTATATTGTCATACTTTTGTGTCAAATATTATAGATAAATGAATAATAAACCTAAATCAATGGCTAAATATATCGATATAGGCTAGAAATTAACTTTAAACAGCAGTGTCTGAGAGCAAGATTTGCTATATATTATATAAACAGCAGCCATTTGTAAAATAGAGTGGCTTCCCCCTGAATCTGGCGCTAAAAGCTTATAAAAATCAAACTTAGACAAGATGGCTGCTATATAGTAAATGAGCATGGTTGCATCTGTTGGAAACATCGCTAGTCTTCATTTATTACGAAAAAGTTTTAATTCAATTGTTTAAAAACAGGTACATAAATGAATCAAGGAAACATTTTTGAATTTTTTAAAACATAAATCCTCCTCAAAATGTGAAATAATTATTAAAATTTAAGGAGTCACCTGTTTTTCACATTACAAATTGCGGGTGATTTTACGTACCCAAAACGATAGATTACCCTAAGGTTTTAGCGTAGGCGTAACCGTAATCAATTCGGCCGTCACTAGATCTAGTATTAAATTAATAATTATGTACTTAAATTATGTACTAAATGTAAATAATATGTAGATGTAGGGATAAGGTAACTAATAAAATGGCTTAAATAAATATGAGTGTATTTTTGCCTATTTTACTAAAATACTAAAGAAAAAAAAGATAATTGAATATTAAACCAAAGTTATTAAGTTAAGGGTTAAATTTAAATCAATGAAAATGTCATGAAATTAAGGTTTAACAACAATGTTCCATCTAAATTTTCTATTAACTTAAAAACAGCAACCATCTAAAGAAAATATTATTTTGAGTCATTTCCCTTTAATTTCTATTTGTATGGAAATGTATTGATGTTTGCTATTAAATTTAATTAAATACGATTGTCTTGTGTTTAAATACAAAGCATGCGTTTTTTAAAAAAAAACAAACAAACATTTTGTCCTTTGAACAATTTATATTGACCGACAATAAACATCAGTTCTAGAATTATTATTATGAGATACAATTTATATACATTAAGAGAGTCCCTATTTTTTATTGAGCTACCACTACATAGATCTATCTAATGTTTATAAATATTGGTTTGAGTTAATTGTTAATTGTCTAATAGGAACGGCGCTTGTAAACCTCAATTTGAAAACCCCTGCCAAGCTTGTCCTGCACAGAATGAGAAAGAAACAAAAACTGAGTAAGTTTGCTTAGTTAAGTTTATTAAGAAAGTTACTAAGCCTCTAAGCTATGTTCGACAAGTTGTTAAGAACAATAAATACCAGTTCTAGAATTATTATTATGAGATAGAATTTATTTACATTAAGAGAGTCCCTATTTTTATCGAGCTACCATTACATGCCTAAATCTAATGTTTATTTAAATATTAGTTTGAGTTAATTGTTATTGTTTGTTTGCTATTTTCATTTCATATTTTCATGTTTAATTAGTGATTTAATCATAAATGACGTCACGTTTTTCGACCTCTCTTCACCTAACCACCCCTCCCACATTTTCGCTGTCACGAAATAGTCGTAATGTCGAAAATTACCTTTTTGCCCTGCCTGTATTAGGCAAAATACATAAAGTTTCACTTTTCTTACCCTCCCCCTTCCCACGTAAAACATTGTCTCAAAACCAGTTACTCCACCCCTTAAGCGCGTGATGCCATTTATGGTAGTATTTTATCAAAATCGTAGATACGTATCAACTTTTGAGCGATTTCCGATAACCGGAAATGGTACTTTTTTCACTTTGAATTTTTCAAAAGCCTATAACTAGGGTACTATTTTAGATAGATAAATGAAATTTCACATGTAAGTAAAAGATCTAATCCTCTACCTTCTATCAAATTTTGAGTAATTTCCGTTGAATGGAAGTAGTAATTTACGCTATTTCCGATTTCTCAAAAAAAATACGCTTGTAAATTTATAAAGTACTAATAATATTCCGCACTATTATGCACATTTTGTTTTGGCGTTCGCTTGGTGCGCCATTCTTTTTTCTATGAGGTTATATTCTATTTTAAAAAAATTAAGTATTTAAAATGGATTAAAAATCATAACTATATCCCGAGTTCCCATTCCCTGTTGTTTTATATAAAAATATTCAAGAAAGTTTAGGGGAGATCACTCCCGGTTTATTTTACTTTTTAAACATTTTTATTTACCAAAAATAATACATTTAGTAAAAACCACTAATAACCTCACAATAAAGGTTTCATAACACTTAGGTCTATTTTAAATTCTCAACATGATTTTTAAAATGGCTGCATCTATTTGGACCCGGGTCCTTATAGCCTAGGCCGCTATTCAGACCAGCCAATAGATTTGTTAAGATTTAGTTCAACATGTCTTTTAAGATACAGAATATATTTTGTTGATGCGATTTTTGTTGTTGTAATTCCACATATCTAGAGATCTTGCTTTAAATACCAGATGTATTTTCTGCCAAATGTCACGGTGAACGGGAGTCGTTAAGTCTATGGTATGAACTTCTCTGACCAAGTGAATGTTGAACTTGCATGAAAAAAATGTACTTTATTTTTTTTTCTTTTCTTCTGTTAAACATAATTTGATTTATAGGCCTATCAGTCCAAATAATAATAAAAAAAAATTGTATAAATTGCTGAATGTAGGCTACAGTCTACAACTTCCGGGTCTGTTTTCTTGAACACTAATAATAATCGCATGCATGGTAGTACGCTATATTGGAAGCAATATATAACATGACCCCGAATACGTTTTCATCATGCTGGGTTGGGGGAGGGGGAACATTGAGGTCTCTAGCAATGGTCTTGCTATGACTTATGCTATACGTCTGCACTATTCATATCTAAAACAATGTGAACTCACCATGAGCCTAGCTAGACAGTGTCAGTATATTTCTCGCGTCGACAAAAAAAAACAACATGTGCAGCGATCATAGGAGCAATCGTGTTTATATTTGGCACATTTAAAAATCTAAATCTAAAATAAAATTGATATAGAATCTTTAAAAAACAGTTTAAAATAAATAAATCGTTAAAGCATCTTTTGAGGCAGAACTACAAACTTTGTTTGAATACTTTTCTTCTCGCACAAAACTGTTTTAGATCTACCAGGAGCAAGCAGAGGGAAATCCTGGTTTAGAACCAATAACGCACAGCATGCGGGAGGCACAAGAATCCTGATTAAATAATTTTGTATATAGAGCTAAATATAGGGTATTTAGAAACAGAAGCCACTAACACAAAACAATTTAACACACACAACAAACTACTAACAAACCCACAAGAAAAAAAAAAAAAACTTAAAAACTTTAATTTTAACACAGGTTATATAAATGTGTAACTAGACCAACCCTAATTCGGGTCCGAATAACAGCCATGGCTATCGGGGCACAGGTCCTAATAGCGACCGGGGTCCGAGTAGCCACTGTCTTTTAAAATATTTAGGCCTAATTTAAAATTTACCATTGATAACTATTAAAACCAAGTTTACTTAGTTTGGTGTTTAGTTTAAGTAGTCTAAGTCTGTTTTAACTTTAAATTCTGTGAAAATTCCAAATAGAAGTGTGTTTAAAATATAGATCTATCATTTCTGTTTAATAAAATATTTTAAATAGGCCTATATTCTTTGATTTTGATGTGAATAATTAATTACTGAACAGTAAGCTGGTACATTCTTTTAGGATTGATTTACATAAACTTCAAACTATTTAGATCTATAAGACATGTTAGATTTGTTTAGTGAATTCCATCTTAGTTTATTTTATCTTGTGTTATATTTGTAAACTTTGAAGGTATTATAAAGTTCCACTGATTGAAATTTCACACATTTTAAAGCCACTTATTTATTTTCAGGTCAGAAGTTAAGTTGAAAAAGATGCCTTGGTCACCCCCTTTTGATGCAAGATTCCCTAATCAAAATCAGACAAGGTTGGTTTTATTATTGTGCTTACAGTTTTATTAGATAATTTTATCTAAGTATGTTAATATTTTAAATGATGGCGTGGCCTAGTGCTAGACTGCTAACCTGAGAGTCTCCAGTTTGAATCTGGGTTCTATTCAATGCAACGTCCCTGAATCCACCTAGCTCTGATGGGTACCTAACTTACATTAGGGAAATAAAGGTAGCTGGGCATAATGCTGACCACACTATCCCTTCATATGCTGAGGTTTCTACTTCATCTGCCCCAAGATGTCAATATTTTACATTTTATGTGTACATGTCTTTTCAATTGTGTGTTGCAGAAACTGTTGGCAAAACTATGTTGATTACTTCCGTTGTCAGAAAATAAAAGGTGAAGACTATGCCCCTTGTGAATACTTTAAAAAAGTATATTCACATCTATGTCCTAAATTCTGGGTAAGATATTTTAAAGTTAGCTAGATTATCTTTAGTAGTATATATTTGATATTGTTGGAAGTAAAATATCTGATTATGTTGTATTTGTTTTATTTGACTTGTATTTTGTAATTAAAATTTTCTATTTTAATATTTAGGTAGAGGAATGGGATGATCAACGTGCAAGTGGTACTTTTGCTGGCAGAATTTAACAACATGCTGTATTCCTTTCAAGTTTGGTAATAGTTTGATCAGCAGCATACTGTTAGTACAGAATTTACAAATGATTGTCTTCAGGATATGTTAATAAATTTGGGTTAAGTTTTCAATTTGTTGTTCCCTGCTTACTGAAGTGTGAAATGAATATGAGTAAAGAAGTTATTTTTTTCATGTACTTTGTAAGAGTACAGCAGTTAGATGGGTCCACCAGTGAGTGCCTATGACAATGTGGTTGAAACTTCCTAAATTGTATGCAAACAGCTCTTTTTATTGTGCATTTAAAAATTTAAGAAATATTTTTAAAAAATTAGTATATTTTCCCACCAGCAAGCTTAGTCTGAATTCTAAAAAGCAATTTTTTCTATGTATGAAGAATACTCTAGAAATTGCCTTAACTTCTCTGTTAACTTGTGAAGCTACTTTATTGAAAATATTTTCAAAATTATTCTGAGTTAGCTACCCTTTTGTACTTAACAGTTAGTAGGCAATGAGTTTACTGGTTTCTGTAACTCCCGGCATCATTGCTGATTGTTAAAACATTGACGCTGTCAGGATATGCTGCTATATCTGGTGAGAAAAGTTTGTAAACAGAGCGCACACTACAATAAGCTCTCATTGATATTTATGCACAAAATAAAAAAAGTAGGATGCATACTAATTCTAGAACACACTGATTTAAGAACTGATGATTAGTATTGGCGAAAAACAGACTGAACTTTTATTATTATAATGTGTAATTAATTAATAACAAGGTTGTAATGTAATAATTATTACATCATTTGGATTTGAATAATCTTTTTAGTTTTTAATTACATACCTTTCTATTTATTTATCTAAGTTATTTAGATGTTATTTTAGGAGCAGGGTAAGGTTACAGCATTTTGTTTGTTACAAGGGAAGAAATAAAAAAAAATGAGCATAAAATTAAAAAGCATGACACATTATGGACTTAACTTGGAGTGATCTCCCTAAACTTAATTTGATGTGGGCTGTTGTTGATTCCCTATGCTCCATGAGAATGATGATGGGGGGAGATGGTGTCATTGATGTGAACATGCATCACTTTGGCCTTGAGTGTTCCATGTTTTGGTGACCAATTTTTATTGCACTAAGTCAAGCTTCATACGGCAACACAAAATCTAAGTCTGTTGTCAATTTAGTAATATGACCTGGAAGTCTCGAGTTTGGGTCCCTGGTCTGAGTCTGTAGAACATCCATGACCATCCTTTTATAATTACAGGCAGAGGTTAATTAGCATACGAACTCTACTTCATTTGCCCTATGGATAGTTAAGTCTGATAAGGGAATAGTTTTTTAAAGTGAGAAATTAATACAAGTAGGGATGTTGTTTTTACTTTGAACTTTCTAATGGTACAATATTTAGCTGAGTAAACCAGTGAGTGTCTGAGACATCTTGGTTAAAGCTTAGTTTTTTAAGCCATTTTATTGTTTAAAAATATATAAATAAGAAGCCACACTTGAAATAATTATTTAATTTTTCCTACACTCAAGTTTATTTTAAATTACTTAAATTAACATGAACCGATTGTCCTGTTGTGTCTCAAGAGTAGTCTAGGAATTGTCTGATCAGCTCCAATAACCCTTGGAGCCATTATATTGAAAATGGTTTAATTATTCTGGGTTGTTACCCATTTCGACCTGGCTGTTAATAGTGAAGATGAAATTGAGTTCACCTATTTCTGTGACTACAGCATCATCTATAGGGATAATGTGGTCAGATATTTGCCCAACCACCTTCAATTTTCCAAATGTGTAATGTATATTTCATACATAATTGCATTAAATAAAACTAAAAATGAAAGAAGAAAATTAATCAAAATAAAATAATTACGGTACCTGAATTAAGATATTCAGTCATTTAAGCTAGTGGATCTGTTTGCAATTCAGCATTTATAGATGGGCCATTTCCAGTTTCATTTAGTTTTCTATCTTATGTTTGTATATTTGATATGACATATAGACTGGGCTCATGTGCGGGGTGGAATTTGATGTTTCTCATAGTCTGGAAAGATTACTGGTGATTCCAAACAAATGCCTGAAAGATTTCTTGTGTTACAATATTCAGGTAACACTTTGTGTGCAATGTCATTATGTACAACACCATAGATAGAATAATTGTGTAATGTTTTAATGTTTAACTTGAAAGCAATTAGTAGGCTAAAATATAACTTAATTTTATGTTTAACATTTATAGTTGTTTAGATTTATAATTTTTCACATTATTTACATATGGGGGGGGGGGGGTAAAGAAAGAAGATGTGTAGAAGTGAGATGGTGGAAGTTGAGGAAAGGCTACTGTATGAGTATAAGAAGAAATATTACAAGTTAATTGTTTTTATTAATTTAAAAAAAAGTACCATACATAGATGTATGAATTACAGATCTTTTTTTTAGCACAAAATGGACGGAGACATTGTTGTACAATCAAAATTTTTAAAATGAAAAAAAAAAAAGAGATTCATAAACCTTTATCATTACAAATATCAAACCATGTTAAGATGTATACAAAATAATTCATACCATATTCACACTTCTTAGAAATGACTTTCCATTCAATCAGGAGACGGTTGGTGCAAAAAAAGTGAACAACAGAGCTATCACAGATAAGATATTCATTAAAAACAACCCAAATTAAGTAGCATTTAACAGAACAAACCAATGGATAAACTGTTTCATAAAAACATGATCCAAACAATTGGTATAGAAATGTATTGACTTATCTGATCAGGTAGGCTCAACTGCTGTGCAGACCATTAAAGTCATCAAATAAAATAAAAATATTACTTTAAGTTAAGTAGCGACTGGAAAACAGAAAAAATCAAAGTGATTTTCTTTAATGGGCATAAAAAAAGCAGCTTAGTTAAATGCAAATTTAGGTTTAGTGGTTTCTTGTCGTATATAACATCACAATGATGGATATTGTGACAATAAATAAAATACAAGTAATTTTGCTAAAAACTAACCAATAACAGAATATTGGATTTCTTGCCTATTATAATTAGGTTTATCACTAGTAAGAAATAATACGCAGTAAAAATTTAATTTATACTGATGACCTGATAAATCTTTACAGTAAAACATTAAGAATAAACAAGCAAAGAAGTGTACAAGAGATTATTCAGGTTGAATTGTTTCACTGCATTGAACATGTCCACATTTTTGTTCCTTAAAGCTTTCCGTTAAGATCATCTTGCTGTTTTTGTCACACTAGTTTTGGGTCTTAAAGCTGAAAAATTAAAAAGAAATTCTTAGAGATAGTGGAGCGTAGTGGGTAGTGGATGTATAAAAAAAAATCACCAGTTACAGGTATGGCTGATAACATTTAATGTGTAAAAATGTTACCTTGATTAACAGGTTTGCTTGATAACAAATTGGTGCCCCTGGTGACAATTTTTTTATCATTCATTAACTGGATGTCCTGGTCCTCAGTCTGGTTGCTGAAATAATTTGATTAATTTAGAACATTGTGACATTAAAATAAATGTAAAGTTAGATAATATTTATGCAGCCAGTACAATTTAAAAAAAAAGTATCAACTAAGCTTAGTAAGATGTAATTAAAAGATATATTTAATTCTGTAGCGAACCAACATATGGTCTGACATCTTATACTTGAGGTTTCCTACCTGATGATAGCATTTTTTTCTTTAGAAATGATGTCCCTATTTTCAGAAAATAAAATGGTATGATGAGGTATAGATGCACTGCATGTAGGCAGGATACCAATGGCTCCTCCTGTAACAGGCTGCAGCGTGCCATTGTAAACCAGTAGATCATCCACCAGCAGCTACAACCAAGTATTGTTTCATGAATGATAAAAAAATCAATGCTAAAAAAAATTGCATCTAAAATTACCTCCCCACCCTCATTCTACATTTCATTTCACTGTGAGGTCACCACTTCTAGACTAATCTCATGCCACCACCCACTTCAATATGCAGTATTAAATAAATAATTCAAGACATATTTTTATATATTGGTAACTGGTTATAGCAAAGAGTTAATTAATCTGAATCTATAATATAATAGTTTTGTAACTAATTAAAGTAGAATATATTTTGGAAAGTAAGTACAGCGGTACTAAATGACACATGTGCATAAATGATGATAAAAGATTTTTGGTAACAACTTACAGCGAAGTCTTTAACACCACGAGAGACAGTTTTACTGTAGTTCCACAATTTGATCATAGAAACAGAAGTTGGCTGGTCAAATATTACATAAATCCGGTTTATCTGAAGAAGAGGGATTTATTTAGTGAAATTATCTGTGCAATTAGTTGTAGAGGAGTTTTGTTAAATAATCTAGAAGAGATATTTTAGTGAAATAATCTAGTAGCAGGATTAAGTTAAATAATCTAGAACAGGGATTTATTTAGAGAAATTATCTAGTAGAGGGGTTTATTAAGTGAAATAATCTGGGATTTGCAACTATTCTAAACAACAAACTAAATATTATCTTGGTTACAACATTTATAAAGAGTGTAAATGAATCAAACATCTTACAATGGTTGGAAGGATGGGAGCCAGCCACATGTGTCTGCCATCATTGGTGTCATTAAAGCCATCAATGAGTTTGTCTGGCGTCCTGGCATCATTGCTGACGTTGTCTAAAACATTGACACTGTCTGGATATGCTGCTATGTCTGATGGGCAAACAGAAGTGCAAAGGTCAAGCACACACTACAAAATGCTGTCATTCACTTTAATGCACAAAATAAAAAAACAACCAAATGTATATCAACATTAAAACACACTGGAATTACTTAACTGATAATTAGGACTGAGAAAAAAAAAGAGACGGGATATTTTAAGATAACAAAAATCTATTGGATCATGAGATTGACCACCCTTGCTAATCAGAAAAGGAATATTTACTATTCTGTGTGAGTTCTATTTTTTGAAAAGCTGCATCATAACACTCCAGTCCATTGAGGCCAATGTAGTACTGATCCCCACAGGAGGAAAACAGCTGGAACTGAAAGATAACTGTAGACCAGTCAAGGAAAGTACAACAATTGTGGAATCAATCCAGCTAGCACGTTTTAACAAATATCAGTCGTAAAAAAAAATAAGGTGAATATAGACTAAAAAAATTAAACTGTATTTTTCCATTCAAAAAATAAAATAAGAAAAAGTAGTCCATTTTAAAATACATATAGATGAGCTAGATTTGTTTTTTAATTATATAAGACTTGAAAGCTAATTAGTAAAGTATTAAGGTTAAAAATTGTTAACACAAATAAGACTGAATTCTATAATTATTAATGTATAAATAAGGTCATAAAACTAATTACATAAGTTAACTAAGTCCTCTAGCTTTTAAAAAAGCAATCATCCCACTAAAATTTGAAAGATTATTTGCTAATTAAAATTGTATTGAGAATGTAAGATTACAAATAAAGCAAATAAGTTCAGTGTACACTATAGATATACTGATTACAGCAAGCAGTATAAATTATACTTTATATGTAGTGATGAAAGTAAACACATAGCCTCATAATAAAGGATACACCCTCTTGGCAGTTGTACAACACTCTCATAGTTATCATTACCACTCCTAACCCCTGACCTGTCAAGAATACATGAAAATTTAAAATTTACTAAGTGCTAAAGTATTCATGGTCATGTAATATGAAGTGGGGATTTTACAAGTAAATCATCATACTAAATAAAAACTGTTGTGTAAAGAAATTGCTGATGGTTAAAATGGTTAACAGAACTTACCCTTCTAAAACTCCTGGGTGATTATTTACATTGCCTGAGTTTGAGAAACTGATTTCTTGAGCAAAATCAAAGTGACACACACCAGGACCTTTCCGAAGTAAATAGCCTTCAGGAGGGGAGATGACTTTATCATTGATGTAAACATGCATCACCTTGGCCTGAGGTACAGTGTAAGGTTTAGTCAGAGGTTTTATTGGGTTCAACAATTTTATCATGGCTAGTTTTTATTCTACTGCATACCACAACACAAAATCTTTAATGTAGTTTGTAAAATATATTTTAAAAAATCAACAGATAAAGAAAAATTCTTATCAATAACTAAAATTCGTGACATGACAAAGATATATATGTAACAAAACAAAACTGCTTTAAATGATACACAAATATGGTTATGATCTTTGTTTTTTATTACTTCCCATCCCAACCTAGACATAAGGAGCAACACTAAAATATTTACCTACACCTACAACTAAATTAAAAATATATTTATACATATAATTTTTCAAAATGTGTGTATGAAGCGTTAATCAAAAAGATACCCTTATGTATGAAGCTATAAGCAAGAAGTTACCCATCCTCATGAAGCTATAAGCAAGAAGTTACCCCTCTGTTTGAAGCTATAAGCAAGAAGTTACCCCTCTGTATGAAGCTATAAGCAAGAAGTTACCCCACTGCATGAAGCTATAAGCAAGATGTTAGCCTTCTGTATGAAGCTATAATCAAGAAGTTACCCCTCTGTATGAAGCTATAAGCAAGAAATTACCCCTCTGTATGAAGCTATAAGCAAGAAGTTACCCCTCTGTATGAAGCTATAAGCAAGAAGTTACCCCTCTGTATGAAGCTATAAGCAAGAAGTTACCCCACTGCATGAAGCTATAAGCAAGATGTTAGCCCTCTGTATGAAGCTATAATCAAGAAGTTACCCCTCTGTATGAAGCTATAAGCAAGCAGTTACCCCTCTATATGTGTCTTCAGGACTTTTGTTATAGTTCCACACACGAATCCCAGTCAGCAAGGTCTGTTGTGGAAAAGTTATTTTAATGTTGTGGCTTTGTCCTTCTGAAAATGGTATTAGCCACATGTGGGAGTCTGTGCATGTCACATTGAAACCATCCAACAGTCTGGAATTGAAAAGAATAACCTCAGGAATAAATTAAATAAGATATCTGATCTAGGTTGAACACAGTTACTACTTAAAAGTCCAAAAATAGTTCAATAAACAAAAAAACAACCCCCCCCCCCCACCAATTTCCAATTTTTTTGCTAGTTAAGTTCATAAAAATGGATTTGATTCCAGAATGTTCATTATGTAGAATTTTAATCAGCAATGGTGCTCATCAAAATAAAAAAAAAAGATGGTCAATTATATGCTGAGATAACAACAAACAAATATGTTTTTAAACAAAATGTGCTTTATTAAATGCCAGTTTTCAATAAGCATTAAGGGAAAAATGAAAAATAACCATGCAATTATAAACATCAGCTACACATGCACTTACTTGTCTAATGTCCGGTCATCTCTCTCATTACCCGGCAGATGCCGCAGGTCTCTGGGTGTGGCGGTCATCATGTCTAATGTCAAGGGCACAGCTTCTCCCTCACTGCCCACAAGTTCAAGGCCAGTCAAACCCAAATAATGATGGTCACCCCATGTGGACGTGAACTCTAATTTCAATTCTAAAAAATAAATTTCATATGCACATGAAGCATTATGATCAAAGATAAACCAAACAAAAAGGGATCCTAGGTTATAATTAATATATGAGTTAATTTTTAAAAAAAAAAGTGAAAGAATTTCTTTAAAAAAATTAAATTTAAAAATAAAACAAAACAAACAAAGAATTATTTAATCTTGTATTACTTATAATAAAAAAATTCTGCAGCAACTCACTGTGTGTTTTGTAGACTAAAACATCCCCTACAGATGTAACAAAATTACTTGGTCGACTTTCTCTCACTTCCACCAGAGTGCCAGCAGCTCTTGTGAAAGGTCGAGTCTGGGATGGAATTAGAGTCAAATTAAACACACCAACATTGAACAAAACCAAATACAATGTACACATAAGTAAATTTTTTCTTTTAATTGGAGAACTGGAACACTGTGTGTTATTCTATGCAGCTGTCTTTAGTACATACATTTGATGTAAAAAAAAAAACCACCCCAGTGATTTAAATTATTTGATACCCAAAGAAATCCTTTGTTGACAAGAGATCAGAAATAAAACATTTTGATATAATGATTTTCTTCCATGTTTTATATTGGCAGATGCAGTCAATTTGTGCAGGCTACTCACATCATCATCACCAACATCAGCTGTGCTGGGTCTCTTGATGGTTTCCTCCTCCTCTGTCTCGCTGAACATCTCTCCTTCAAAGGCATCATCATTCTTGGACACGGCTTCAAGGATGTTTTCATCAGTTGTAAATAAAATTGTCTGGACAAGATAATTTGTTTTTCTTTCATCAAAATCTGAACATTATAACTAAGACAATACTAAAACAAATACAAACTAAATGAGTAAACATATCACATGCCTCTTCAAATGCTGAGAAGAATCACAAAAGAAAACTAGTCTTAAATCAGAAAATAATTCTGCTAAAGAAGACAAGGCTCAGAAGGGAGGCAATGCACGAATCAACCAAGTAAAAGAAGACTAAGTTTACATAATCAAATATCTAAAAAAAAAAAAAAACATATAGGGGAGATAACTAAGACTCACATCACCAAATGCTTCTGTTCCTCCCTCAATGCCACCACATGCCCTGGCTATTTCACCTTTAAAGATTTCCTTCCCATCAAGGGTGATGACCACATCCCTAGCTCCACGGAAAGAATGAATTCTCGACTTATTGTAATTCTGAAAAACATGACAAAACAAATAAGATAAAATTAACAATTTACAGCGTAACAGACTCCACACAACCATATAAAATAAAAACATTTTATAATACACACCCAAATGCGCATGAGAGCCAGCTGACAGGGTTTTGTAAATGTGATGTAAACAAAATGGTTATTTCCTGGTGTGTAGGGAGCCAACCACATGTGCACATCATCACGTGTACGATTGACATTGTCGATGATGTTGGTTACCACGCGTGGGTCCCTCTTATATTCTGGTAATATGTTGATGTCACTGGGGTCTGCCCAAATCTAAAAATTAAAACAATTTTTTTTAAAGAAATGGTTTTGTTAAAATAAAGACATTTGGATAGAAAATGTTTGAAAATCTGGCTACCTTGGCAACAGTGACTTGCTCCCCTTGGCTGGAGAAGAGTTGTATCCCTGTCAGACCCACATAGTGATGATCACCCCAAGTTGTTTTGATGTTGATTACCATTTCTTTCCCATAAGGCAGTTCTGGTATAGTAAATTCAGAATCTCTGCAAACAAAAATTGAAAAGGTCACTGTAATGAGCTGTTTTTTTTTAAATTTTTCTTAAAAGGTCATCTGCTTAACTAAGTATTTTAATATGATAGAAGTCATTTATTTATTATAGAGTTCTTGTAAAAAAAAGGGTTGGGGCTATACTAATCAGAATATAAATGACATCAACTGGCAACTATACTGATCTAACACAACATGTTTGGTCCAGTTACTTACTCGTCTGACCACCCATCTTCTGGTATAGAAATTTTTGCTGCTACTGAAGGCAATTCCGACTCTGCTCTCTCTGGTGGTTTTAAGTATTCATCAAGCTCTTCATCTAACAAAGTAAAAACAAAGAAAAATTGTGTGGCAGAAAAAATATATGCGAATAAAATCTTAATTTATCTTTCACTATAAATAGAACACATCTATACACATTTATAAAACCATAATTTAATATGTATATTTAGATTCCATATCAATAGAAACCATTCATCTGCATGACATATAAAAGTAAGCTGACCTCCCATATCAATAGAAACCCTTCCTCTATGCGACTTGTTGAAGAAGGACAATGAACCCCAAGACTCCTCCAGATCTTTCTCTTTCCTCCACTTTGCTCTTGTCTTTTCTATTTTCTTCATGGGGGTTAAAGTATCTTGGTCTTCTAATCAAACAAAAAATTTGATAAGGATCAAACAGAAAATTACACAGCTTTCATTTGTGTATTTAGACAAAAAATGGAAGCTGGAACAAATGTAAAGAATGTTTTAAAAAACAAAGTAAATATTTACCTTCATTTGACTTAGAGCTTGAGCTTTTGCTGTGGGTGATAAGATTCAAGTTAATTTCATAAAGAGAAAAACAAAAGCTGTACTTCTTGGGTTGTAAGCTGGTTACTAACATTTTTTTAACAGGAAAGATTTAATTCATACAGTTAGGCACAAACAATTTTTACCAATAAATATGTGCCGCTTACACTAAAATAAAATATAAAATTATGATCTCACCCTGTTTGAGAAAACCTTTCAAATTCTTCATCTAATTGTTTCTGTAGGTCATCTTCCTCTTTAGGGAGACTACTCTTGTTGACCTCTACAAATACAGAAAGATGAGTTGTACAGAGCTGTATATAAAATAATTGTTAAGCTATCAAACTAGAATCTACCAACAAACAAAGGTTAATCTAAACAGGATGTTAACCAAGGGACAACAGCACCTGTGATGTTACTAAATACACTAAACATTACTTTGATCCTACAATAAAATATTCTAAACTACAATGACTCTCCTTAAGGCCTTCAAATAGTACAATGATTCTACAATAATTCTCCTTAATTACTGTGATTCTATTTATGACACCAAATAGAACAATGAATTTACAATACTTTATAAGAGCAATGATTCTACAACAGACACATCTGACCAGCATTAAATTGTCTTACCTGAAGCATTGTCCCCCTTGAGCCATTTTGGAAAAGATTTTTTTCTCTTACTTTCACTTGAAGAAAAAAAAACATTTTCAAAACCAAGGTAATCAAATTTAAGCATTTACTTGTGGCTCAACTAAATGGAAAATTAATTAAAAAATCTATAAAAAAAATAAAGTCGTTGCCTTATTATTACTATACATATAATGAAAAATCTCTAATTCCATTCCCTTCCCAGGCTAGGCCAGTTAGACATCACTGTATCAACTATGATAAGCAGAAGATTGCTGGGCAAGGTGCTGACGACACAATCCCTTTTATACATAGGCCACTCTACTTCACCTGCCCTAAACAAGACTGCATTTTGCCCGAACAGATGCTGCTCAGACTGCCAGATAACCCCACTAAGAGAAAGTTCACAAATGGGATGATTGCTATGTTGAGAACAGCTCTTCAGTTTGTCTACAATGTTGGACAGAATCTGCCCAATTAACCATCAAGTCCTGAAAATATTACTGTATAAAGCTAACCTTTGACTCATACTCTTCAGGTTGTCCACCAAAGGGTTGTCCCTCTGGTTGACATTGGTGTTGGGTTGACTAATGGATGTTGTCAGGTTGTCTGATGATTTCATTGCCTTAGAACTGCTCACAGATGCCTTGTGGGCTGACTGTATGGGTGGCTTGCTGTCAAAGCTAGGGAAGATATTGATAGTAATGGTGGATTGCTTTCAATGAGGGGGAATATATTGATAGTAATGGTGAATTGCTGTCAAAGCTAGGGAAGATATTGATAGTAATTGCTTTCAATGCTAGTGAAGATTTGATTAAGCATTTTCTATAAAGCACAGATGAGGAAACACTGTATCAAGAGACAGTTTAAATGTATTGAAACTATGGACTATAATTAAAGCTTTATTAAAATTAAAATGAATTATGTCTTCACCTGTCTGATTTGCTGTCTTGTTTACCATTTAGTTTAGCAGCTACACGTCTGCTCTTCATTGGTGTTTGGGATCTCTCTGGGATTTCTGCAAATATAATGGACATAGCCTTATGAAAAGCCTTATAAAAAGTAAAAAACAAAGATTCCTCTTTAGACCTAGTGATCCATTGGGCAGATGAAGTTTCTTGATCTCGGCATATGAAGGGATAATATGGTCAGCACTATGCCCAGCCGCCTTTACTTTCCTTAATGCGAGTTGGTAACCCATCAGAGATGCGTAGACTCAGGGACGTTCCATTGACTTGAACCCAAGTTCAAAATTGAGACTTTCAAGTAAGCAGTCAAGCACTCTACTGCTAGGCTAAGTCGTCCCATACATGACATTAATAAACATAAGTGCTGGATTTAGACTTTCAGTCCTTACACAGTTATCTTTTCCTATTAGTATATATGCTTCATAAGAAATAGTATATAACTTGTTTATGTTTTCATTAAAAATTATGTGTGAAATGAAAAAATGCATTTTTTCAACTAAAAAACAAACAAAACCTAATTGATATCAAGTTATTAAAAGCAAATGAATTAAAACTAACAAACAAAAAAATAACATATAACCATACATTTCTCCATAGGTGAAATGAAATCTATTTTATATTTACTCTAGATATCAACACCTCCCATACTAATAATTATGCCATGTGGCTTCAAACAGCTTTATGCCTAAAGAAAAGACCCATAGAAATACTGTGTGCAGAAACCTTTCAATACAGACTTAAACAATCTATTCAATGGGTGGTGTGGTGGTATCAACTTTCAATGGAACATTTAAGTGGGCTGAGGGGGGGGGGGGGGGTTTGAGGGGTTGACACATTTACAATTTGAAAGTTAATTTCATTAGCAACAAAATGTAAAAAGTTATTATTTTCTCAATAAACAAATGCATCTAGTGCTTTTTACTTAATAACTGGCTAATTCTGTACGTTTGCTTATCATAAACTGTTGCAGTAGTAGGTTTATATAATAAACAAATATAATGCTTAACTTCAGTATCAAGTGTAATGAGGTAGGTTCAACTTAAGAAACATGTGGAGTATGGCAGGTTCACTCAATATTCCACTGTGTTCAGAGATGTTATACTTAATAAACAAACATAATGGGTTAGGTTTACTTTATAAGTAAAAGTCAAGTAAAAGTTAAGTTATATAAGAAATATCCAATAGATGCACCACATAAAATAACCCTAAAACATGTTGCCTGGATAGAATATGCTAGAAAAATTTACATGGCTTATGTTGTGGTAAAGAAATTTGTGTTTAACTTATGTGTGTGATGAAAGTGACAAATTAATCTTCTGAGTTACTTGAGATTAAAAACTTTTAATACATAATTCAGCATGTTTGGTTTTATCAACAAATTTTACATGGGAAGATGGAAGTGTTTCAGAGTCTACAAAATACGTTTGTGGATATCACTGATAGCAATAAAATAGAAACCTATCTCAATAAATGGTTATATTTATTTTAACAAGCAAAGAAAAAAATTAACAAAAACATCTTAAAATATTTTAAACAAGATTTTAATTGCAGTCAAGACACTTTTTAAAAATAGTTTTCCACTAGGAACACAATTTAAGTATTAGGTCCAAATTAAGACTTCATAGGTGTAAGCTTACCATTAGCCCAGATATTATTTATGTTACCAATGCTGTTCTATGGTCTATGGAATTTTCATTGGGACAAATAACGGAACAGTAAATTTTAAGCATTCATAACTATTGCTCATTCGAAAAAAAAAGTGGGGGCCCTAAGCTTTAGATTGTATAGCTTATACATAAATCTGGCACTTCCACACCAAAAAGGAAACTACAAGTTAAAGATGATTTGAAACAAATTTTAATACTTTTTTAAAGTGCACACAACTGAGTTAAATAGCCTGCAAATCTTGGAAAATTGCTCAAAATAATAGTGTCCAGCAAAAAAAAAAAAAACTCATCTAAAACATTAAAAAACTATTCTAAATCATAAACAATATCAAAAGATAAATCCTGGAGTGAAAAAATTAACTATTCTATCATGAACAATACAAAATGATACACTCTGGAGTAAAAAGGAGCTAATTTAAATCAAGTCAAAGAAAACATACCTTTAGATGATGCCTCTATCTCTGGACTAGAAAGACCAGACCCTCCGGGATTCTGTTTGAATATATTACTGCGCACAATGGTGCGTGTTTCACTCCGGATGTGCCCCTCCTCAACCCTTTCCTCACTCTGCCCCCTCAGTTTCCCCGAACCAGAGGAGGAGGCTGACGACTGCGATGAGCGGGATATACTACGAAACGTGTGGTGGCTGCCTGACGGGTCTGAATGGTCTCCCTCTACAGGAGGGGACATAAGTCTGGGACTATTCCCGCCGTACCGTGGTGCGGCTATGTCTAAAGAGTGACCTGATGCAGATTTCTTGAGTAGAGAAGGGACAGTCTTGTCTGTCTGAGAAATGATGATGTGCTTGCAGTAGTCAAACACCTGGTTGCCGCAGCCTTTGTCCACTTCACCATCATACAGCAGTTCACCCCGCAATGATATTCTAATGTGCCGAGCTCCGATATCTAAATTCTGGGGATCAAAGGTCAGCTTGTTAGAACTAAATCTTGTTTGAGTAAATCAGTATTTGGTTGTCAAGTCACACTACATCTTAGTGTTGGGTATGGTGAAGTGAAGCTAAAAATAAAATTTAATCATAACTACTATAGCGTGGTTGAATGGTTGAGTACTCAACTGCTAATCAGTAAGTATCAAGTTCGGATCCTGAGCTTTGATGGATATTTGACTCACGATAAGGAAAGTACAGGCGGCTGGGCATAGTGCTGACCACACTATCCCTCCGTAAGCCGAGGTAAGTGAATCAGGTGGACTCTACTTCACCTGCTACATGGACCGTAAGGTTCGAGGGGGTACCTTCATGATAACTGCAAATATGTAACTTTCAACCTCCCCCACTTAAAAAAATTCCTATAAATATATGTAAAATGTAAATTACTTGAAACAGGATAAGTGTTTAGATAAATTATACCATAAAATGTATGACTTAGAATTTGTTAGCACTTGTTTTTAATTTGATTATTGAGAAGGAACCTAGGGGACTGCCCATTTGTGAATCTAGATATAAACTAGAGCATAGATATGCATATCTTTTACTCTGAGATCGTGAGATGGGAATTAATTCATTAATTAGGGTGTAAAAAAATAGCTGTAAGGTATCAACTTACACTTATTTTATTATTCCAGTTCCAAACTTTGATGGAGCCTAACTGGAAACTTTGACTAGGTTTTGAATTCACGAGTAAGATGGACAACTCTATAGGTCGGCCGTCAAATGGACAACTCCACATATTACGCTCTTTTGTTGTCTGGAAAAATATAAGCCATATACAATACTTATTACTTACTGTACTATACTACACTGCACTGTTGTTTTTACTAACATTTTAGAAGAAGAAAAAAAAATCACATTTATTTTTACAGACTGACAAGTGTACGATTTTATCAATGTGGGTTATTTTTAAAATTGAACAAATTTAGTTTTGAAATTTGAACAGTATTCAACAACCTTGTGAAACATTTTCTTGTTGGCTATGATAAACAAGAAGTTATTTTTATCTTTCTAAAGTATAAGTGTTAAAAAGCTAATTATTATTAGTGTTATTAGCTAATAATCTGGTAAAAACATAAGCAAAAACTCTTGCCTTGGACTTCCCATTGAACAAAGCTTCAAGCTGCTTGGAGCTAGTCTTAGCTCCTTGTATGGAGATATCAGTTGGGTTTACAGGAATCAAGCATTTTGATTGGTCAAAAAACTGCAACTCTGTAAGACCAACCAATGAAGAGTGTCCCCAGTTGGACAAAATTTCCACAGTAACCTCAAACCTATCTGTCACTGGACTTTTATTTGACTAGAATAAACGCAGGAACATTGGTTTTAGTAATCATGAAAAGAAACATTGGTTTTAGTAATCATAAAAAGAAACATTGGTTGTAGTAAACATATGAACATAGTTTATAGTAGACATAATAAGAAATATTGTAAACAACACAAAACATCATCACAGCCGGAGGACATAACGAAAACAATATAATATCAGCTAAGCCATTTGGTAAAACAAAATATGGAGAAGCAAACTTGCCCATGATGATGTAATAGACTTTAACTGTTGTGTTGGGATCATGTCACCTTCTGTGTCAATGTGATTCAGTGTGTTGAGGAGCTCTCTCTGTTGTCTAAAAAAACAATACAGGTAGCCAGATAAGACTGACTGTGGTTTAGTGTAAAAGTGATTGTTCTTTGTTGGAAAAAACAAAAACCATGTAAATAAATCACTCTAAAAAGTTTCTAGATTATCTCTACTGATTTAGAAAATATTTTGTTTTGCAATTTTCTATTATGGATAATTCGGCAGCCATTGATCTCTAGCTGTATTGTCCTTAGCTTGTATTGGTTTTGCAGTTTAGGTATTGCACAAGGGTGATGTATAATAAGGGTATAGTAGTGGAGGTGGGTAAAGGCTTGCTAGATTCATGCAGATTTTTTTCTGTGTCATTAGCTTTTCTCAATAGGTGCAGATCATAGAGCATCCCCTCCACTCAAATAGGCTTAAATGTGCTAAGCTAGCATGTGTTTCCATAATTGTTAGGCCACAGCTGAACTGTGTACACAGAAACTACTTACTTAGGATTCATTTTGAGAACTCTCTGTATAACAGTGTTGATGGGCTCGGTCTCGTCATCAATAGGAGATTTATTTCCCTTGCTAAGGTTCGGGTCAACATATGACTTGACAGGGGAGGGAATTCTTATTTTTTCATCTAAAGGTACCGAGGTGGGTCCACTTGGAGGATTCTAAGACGCAAAACAAGTACATGAATATTGATATTTATAATATATCACAAGTGAATGACTGAATGATACTAAGATAAATTTAAAATTGCAGTACCCATAAAATGTATGGGTCAGTCATGTCTTGATAAGCATGGATGTGGTAAGCTCAATGTGAACTTAACTACTTTTGGCTAAGGCAGGTAAGTAATTTGATATCAGAGCTTATGGGTACAATTTTAAAAGAATGTTTTCCAAACCTAGAGCTCAGATATGCACAAATTACTATTCGATGACTATAATAATTGATCAGATAATTTTTAGAGTTCGAATTATAGATAGATGATACCGCCATTAAAAACAATTGTAATGCTTACCTTTGGGAGTGGTAGTGGCCTGCTCTTAGGTTTCTTTGAGAAATTTTCAACTTGTTTGTTTTCTTCCCTCAATGCTCTAAGCACTGCGTCTGCTTCTTCCTTAGGGTCAGCTGATGTATCAGAACTCTTACGATTGGCTGAGAGGGGTCGTGAAGATTTTACACTATCTAAAAAAAAATTATTAGAACCAACTGTTAATGAAGCTTTTGACAACAAATACTAACCACAACACATTGCTAAAATTTAAAATGAACTGATACACAGAAAAGATAAATTTTAAGACTTTGAATGTATTGTTTGGGGGGGGGGGGGGGGGAACTGATAAAATTTGTAGTCAACATACAGCATGCAACACAGGGCATGTACTCACCTGATCTGTGCATTATGGGTGATGGTGATGGTACAACACTAGGCTTGGTAGATTTAAATGGAATGGATACATCAGAGTCTGTTTTCTTCTTCACTGAAGTCACATTTGTCACTGTTTTATCTGTAAGTTATAAGGTAACCACTAAGTTTTCACTAACACAACAATAGGTTGGAGTGTCCTATCTCCACAAGACATATAGAGGCACATGAAATGAACACAAGACATATAAAGGTTCATGAAATGAACACAAGAACTGAAGCTAATAAAGATAAGGCAAACCAAAATATTGATGATCAAATAACAACAAATAAAAGAGAAACAAGGTACTTACTTCTGCTAGGGAGGGGCTGGAACTCTAGCACTAATGTGTCACCTGGTCGAAACAGTTTTTGACGCTCAGGTTTGCTTTCTTCTTCACTAGATAAAACTTCTTCTATTTCCTCACCAATAGGAGATATTCTTTCACCATCAGATTCGCTCTTAACAAAAAAAAAAGCTAATTTATTTATGTGGCCTATCTTAATTAAAATTCATTTGAACTTATTCTTAAATAAAAATTTAGATTCAATGCAAAATTTAACTGGAACTATTCACTCAATTTAAAACCTACATAACAAAGTTGTCAAATATTTTCAAGCACTTAAAATAAACAACTAATTTTTAAAAGGTTGAAAATGATTTGCTTTAACTTTTAGATTAAAAAAAAAAAACACTAGATTCATTCTACAAAATCAGAATTTAAATTTTTTAAACTATGAAACAATAATCATACAATAAATAGCAGACCTACAGCTATGAACATTAACACAGATGCTTTAGTATTGCAAACAGTGATACTAGATACAAATAAATGGCTAGGGTTCACTGATAAGGACCAATCATTAAACCAATTGTATAGTGAGGAAAACATTAGCAATTGTATAACATATTACTAACAGAAAAAAATATTAGAAAAAAGTGTGAATACTATTCATGCAAGAAAGAAAGACAGAAATGGAATGATGGCTATGGCACAAGGGTAGGACTATGAGGAACTGATTACTCTCAAGTTAACTTAATGTCAATAAACTAGAATGACACTGGCTAGGGTTCACTGATAAGGACCAATCATTAAACCAATTGTATAGTGAGGAAAACATTAGCAATTGTATAACATATTACTAACAGAAAAAATATTAGAAAAAAGTGTGAATACTATTCATGCAAGAAAGAAAGACAGAGCAATGGATGATATCTACAACAATACAAAATCAATATAGTTAACAGCCTCCACAATGTTGCTTTTAGTGATAAAATAACTAGATATTTTAAAATTTAATTTAGCAAAATAGTATTTTTGGCAAATTAGAGAAAAACTGAGATGCTTTGTAATAAAGTGCTAATTAAGGTTTCTTTAAAAAAAAAACCTACATGAAGTCTCTTCATAATTCTTTTTCACCATGTATTGTGAGTTTGAAGGAAAAATGACTCCTCAAAATCATATTTGTCTTATCGCTATTTTACATTATATAACCAATACTTGGGACTAAGTCAAAGTCAAAACAACACAAAAAGTTATGGAACATCATGCTGCATCAAATGCAGCCTACTTTTGAGAATTTACGAGACACAAATTCATCAAACAGAAAAGTTTGGCCCTTGTTCCAAGGTTACCAAAAGGAGAATAATTTTAACAAGAACCAAGAGGGTAACAACATGAGATGCAAACACATTTTTTTTTACTACAACAGTGTTACAAAATCAAGGGGTAACAACTCCCAACATCAGATGTAAACAAACCTGGTGCCTGTCTGAGTCCCCTGCATCAAAATCCTAAACAAAACATGTCAGATAATAAACTTTATAACAAATAGTAATTGCCTATACAATGCCATTATGCTACAACTCAATGCCTCATACAGACCTCAATAAAGAATATAGGGTATAGAGAGCACCTTAAAATAGGTTAGTATCACCATGTAGAAACATTTTTAAAAATAAATCTGTATAAATCTAGGGCTGTCTAAAAACAAACATGGTATCTGCCTAGAAATAACAGGAGCAGGACATTACCCCTCCCCCACTAAAAAATGTTAAATAGACAATATCTAAATATACAAAATAAAAATATATCATACATTTCTATTGTATTAACTCATGGTAACTACCTAGAAATAAAATAGTGCTAACTCTAGAGACATAAAACTGATTATGTCCTTAAAAGTCAATATCTGAAAATAAATGGTAATTATCTTAAAAATAGAAATGGAATGATGGCTATGGCACAAGGGTAGGACTATGAGGAACTAATTACTTTCAAGTTAACTTAATGTCAATAAACTAGAATGACACTGGCTGAAAATGAAACTAAACATTCGTTTAGAATAGTGTTAAGTATTTCATCCAAGGACTTACAGAATCAGAATCCATGGCTATACTTTGGCGTATTTGTTGATTCTTTTGTAAGCTTTCTCTAAGTTTCTGTGAATGAAAACACAATTGCTAAGCATTTAAACATCAAATTATTTTAATTAAAAACAGACGAAATAAATGAAAAAGTTGTTATCCAATAAAAATTGATAAATATTTGATACCAAAAGTGACCCAAGCCATAATCATACAATTAATAACTAAGCCTTCCACATATATAAATATAAAAAAAAATGTCCTAGATCATTAAAATAATAATAATAAACATCATGTGAATGATTCGATATGAGAGTAGATACCTTCACATCTTCCATTTTTATTGTGACACGGTTCTCCACCTCTGTTTCCTCTCTCTTGGCTGCCGCTATCCTCTTTAAGTAGCTAGTCTTGTGCTTGCGGGGCGTGTCCAATGACGCGTCCATAGAGCTGTACTGTGATGACATGCTGCCGGTCACCTGACAGACAAAAAAAAGTATTTAAAGTCTACTTCTGCTTATAGTTTCAAAAATACAAGGCAAAAGTACTGATATAAAGTTAAATAAATTAAATACAAGAGTAACAAAAGGACTGTTCATGACTTCTAATGTTATTGGTCTAAAACTGACACAAAGCAGTGATAAGACATAGATTACCAATATCAGAAAGGTTGTAGTTTAGTTACTTTACCTCATTGTCATCAGGTTCAAAATCCTCATCATAATTTCCTGTTAATATTTCTGAAAATACACATTTGAGAAAATTATACATGGTCAAACTCAGCCATTAAATATAAATTACAAAATTGGCTTGGTATATTTACAAAATTTGACAAACCATCTTCATGATTTGGATATATATTTGGCAAGTTTTACTACAACAATAGATGAACATTACGTGACCCAAGCCTACCTGGGGCTTTGACTTTCTGTTTCTGACCGTCTGATGTAGTAACTTCTATGGAAGAAAACTTCCAGTTTCTTCGCCGTTCACCAGTCTCAAGTTTCTTGGAGGAATAGTCTGATGGATCTAAAACAGTCAAGCCACAAACAATTTAAAACTCTGGATGAAACTATCCCTTGCATTCATGTTTATATGATAAAGCAGTAAAAAAACTGGTTCATGTTTATTATAAACATGAATTAGCTTCAGTATGTTACTAATCTAAACTTTTACTGAGAATCTAAAACTGTGGTAGAACTTTAACTGACTATTCCAAATTACTTCACAATTTCAACTGACAAAGTAACGATGAGAGAAGGTACCAAGAGACACTTGTCCTTACCAGCTGTCTTCCTCCTTTGTTTACTTTTGTCCAGCACAACTTTAGGTTCCCCTGGAAATGGTGTGTTGAGATAAAGGGTGAAGCCTTTCTCTTTTTTCTCGAGTTCAATTTCTTGTCTGTCTTTCTGGCGAAGTCGTTTAACAAGTCTGCAAATAACGTTACATTCTAGTTGTAAAAATAACGATCACAACGACTAATAAAATAACCTTATTTTAAATTTAAGATAACTTCACAGACAAAAGATTTGCAGGGTTTACTTACCGATTTCTTTCTTGTAATAAATGTAAATAATGTTCATATTGCGGAGGCACTTCTTTGGTTGCTGTCACCTGGACATGAAGTTAAAGAATGTTTACACCAGACGGTTTCTATAAGACACTTATTATCTAGCCTTGATATACTTAGCTATATATCAAAGATAACTAATTATATTTCTAAATAAAAGTTTTGTTTTTGTCTTTTTGCTTACTAAGCATATTTTAAAAAATCTTTGTTATTTCTAAAATTCACATACTTAAAAAAAAATTGATTATTAAAGACAGATAACACATACTTACATTTAAATGCATTTGGGGACTAAGCTCGCCATTTGTCCATTTTTTTCTGCTAGAATCTAACAAAAAATGATACACTTTATTAAAATTGTAATAAATAAAGAGTCATTTTAAGGTCAATTTAAGGCAGAAATACTTAAAAAAGGACCGATTTAAAGCAAAAATACTATATTTCTGAAGATAATCAATAATGACTGTATGGAATAGTAACTCAAGACTTTCAGGTTAGCAGTCTAGAGCTCTACCGATAGGCCACACTGTCCTTCATGTAACAAATAATAGAGTAAATTTGTTAAGTTAAAGATGTCTAACAAAAAATTTCATAATAAATTACAAATTTGATATGATAGAATAATCTTTAATAACTATTGTTATGCTATAGTAAAATTGTTAACAAAAACACACTCATGCATATAAATATATATATTAAGCAAGCAAGCAATATACAATGTGTCATATAAAGCTACAAAGAAGCCTACAGTGACTGGAAAGATATGCAACAGAAAACTGTGCACAAAAAAGTGTGCAAGGGCATTTTTTTGTTTTCTAAAATCAAGCATTTACAGATATTAACAAAGAGTGACTACAGTAAATTGTAGAATAATAAAACATATTTTCACGAAATATGACAAAATTTAAATGTATTAAAATAATTAGTTTGTATTTGCATATTATTCTGTTTTTTGAAGTTTTCCATTGCACATTTTTTCGATTGCAAATTTACAAATGGAAATTAAAGCTAAAAATGCAAAAATAAAAACAACATAAAATTATAACTAAAAAAAAACAATAAAGCAAACCAAATAACTGATAAAAAATAATTTTGTTGGGCCTTATGATGACTTTAATTATGCTGATAACTCAACATAATTATATTTATAATAAATAGGACCAATAGTGCCCATCCTAAAGACCTAAACAAAAATAGCAGAAGCATTCCAATACCAAATTTCCAGAGTTGTAGATCTCAGTTTTACTTACAGTAAACTAGAAGCCCTACTATTTTAATTTCATTATTATTAATACAAAATACCACTACTTGTTGGTCTGGTCCAATTGATTCATTATTTCCAATTTACTAAACTTTACTGCAAAATAAATAATATACGCCTAGCCCAGGAGACTACAGTAAAGGCTAGACAAAGTCAATTTAAACAATTAGGCCTAAAGTTAAATTTATTTAAAAAAAATTATAATGACTAGTTCAACTAATTTACTACTAACTTTAAGTTCAAAGTAAATAAAACTGCTAAAAAAGTAATTTTGTAGTAGTTAGCCTACTAAAGTATAAATGTAGTAGTTGGGCCTACATTTCAGATCTATTTGCTATTCTACATAACATTAAAAGTAGTAATAAAAGTAGGGCTTCATTGTTTAGACCATCACTGAACACTTGAACTTGATTACTGACTAAGGATCACACTCACAGGTGCAGTGAAGGTGTGTGTGTGTGTGTGTGGATGGACACAGAGGCGTAGCTAGGGGGGGGGCGGGGGGGGGGGGAGGGGGGGGGGCCGCCCCGGGCGCCGACCCTATGGGGGCGCCAAAAGGGGTGGGAAAATTTTTTTAAAGCTGATTTTATGCTGCAGTTTTGAATTATAAACTGTCTAAGTTAAGAAATGTAATGGCTACACGCATTTACATACTGATTTAACTGTTTTCTATCTTGATTTCTTAATGTAAAACATATACTCTTAAGAAACAGTGACCGGCAAAACCGCTTTGAAGCTTATCCTAGATGGGGGGGGGGGGGGCGCTTTTTCGAGACTTAAAACGGAAGAATTTACACTAGATTGTTGAGTCGATAAACGTTACCACTATTAAAAGAAACCAATTGTATTAAAACGTATTGTACGATTGTTGAACTGTAAAATACGTTAGTGACTTTTATCAAGATGGTGCAGGGGGGCGCTTTTAGGCTAAATAAAATAGCAAAATTACACAGGATTCTGAGTAAACAACCTTTAGCTCTCAGAAAGAAACAAATTGTACTGTGCATTGTATAATTGTGTAACATTTTTTTTTAAAAAGTTAGTTACGTTAAAAACCGCTCTACAAACTTTGTCCAAGATGGTTGTGATGAGTGTGTGTGGGGGTGGGGGGGGGGGGGGGCGCTTTTTTCGCTAACAAAAATCGCAAGTATTTGTACTGGATTGGTGAGTAGATAACTCTCTTAACACTTAGTAAAGAAACCAAGTGTATTAACGCGTAATGTACAATTTCAATAGCCAGTTTTGTTAAAAAAAAGACGCGACTAGTTCTTTGTAAGATTCTTACGATTCTCTCAACTTCAACGTGAGAGATCAGATACTTTTGATCAGTGTTTCTTCCAGACTTTTTTCTCCGGGGGGGGGGGGGGGGGGGGGGGGGGGCACTTGAAATCTTCGGGGGGAGGGGGGAGGCGGTAAACTTTCTTCGGGGGGGGGGCGGACACTGTTAAAAGTATATATTTTCAATATAAATTATATAAATTTCATTTCGTTCGGGGGGGGCGTAAAAATTTTTCCGGGGGGGCTTTGCCCCCCCGAAAAGATGCCTGGAAGAAACTGTGTGCGAGAAGGCAGGGCAAATCTGCGAAATCCAAGACTACGAGCTGTTAACATCCGTTGGATTCCAGTTTGTTTTCTCTAGCTTGTTTTGTCATACCATCAACCAATCAACGAAATACCCATGTCGTATTCCAATGTGAACAATAAATATTTCTGATAACTTCTTCTTGTATGTCACTTGTGTGTCCTTACTCTAACAAACTTCGAATCCAACTATGTACCATATCACAACAGAGATCGTTCAAAACTAGAACATAAAAGGTTGGTCTAAACATATTAGCGTTAGCTACAAACTACCCTCTAACACAGATCAGGCTTATTTTTTTAAACTGACATTACTAATCTTTCGCAAAAAAAGTTAAACGCATCTTAATGGGAATTAGATTGTCGTAAAGTTTTAAGGAATGAAAATCATACAATGTAATTATTAAACCTTGTCCGGACTGTAGCATACACGCTTACACACACGCTTACACACACAAATACACTCTTACCCACACACAAGCTTATATATAAACACACTATCACACACACATAATTATACACACACACACACACACACACACACATATATATATATATATATATATATATATATATATATATATATATATATATATATGTATATATATATATATATATATATATATATATATATATATATATAAGCGGGGGGGCGCCAAATTGAAAGTTCGCCCCGGGCGCCGGGAAGGGTCGCTACGCCTCTGGATGGACAGCATCAGCCTCAGGGGATGCCAAGGCAAAACAATGCAAAAATGAAGAATGATGCATTTTGCCAGTTCAGTTAGTAGTTAATGAAAGTTAAATAGAAAAGAACACTAAATCCAGCTGACTATAGATATTAGAATAACATTGTTACTATTCAATTAACTACATACATAGCTTAAGACTGCTTAAGTATAACCCAGGAGGGGGGAGGATAACTGATTAACACCAACTACAATTTGAAAATTTACAGAAGAAAATGTTTTGTTGAATATTTAAAAAAAAAAAACTATGAAAACTTTGAGGAGGACACATCTAACTATGAAAATGATGCTTTTTCCCACTTGAATTAGGCTAATTAATAGTGTATTTAGAATTTAGGCAAATTAATTTTTGACTTATTGTTTATGGTTAAATTAAATTATGTTGCTTTATTTCTGTCATTCTCTCTGTTCTGTGTTTCGAGTTTCAAATTATTATTTGATGGATAGGCCTATTGATAGTATTGCAAAAAGCGATGCTAGATTTATATTGAATATTATGAGATAAATACTTACGATCCATAATTTTTAAAGTCCAAATAAATCATCCAACATGCTTTAAATACGAATAATACTCATGTGCAAACCTGTGTTGTTAAGTCCAAAATTTAGACATTCCATCCAAACATTTTGTACATTTGTTGTTGCGCATGTACACTATGGTAAAATAAAAACTATCCCCCTGGAAACATTTAACGAAATTCGAGACTATTATACTGACCCCTTTAGGGGGGGGGGGGGGGGGGCTAGGTCTATATCAAAACTGGAGCTTAAGCTCGGTATCAGTAGTTGCATTAGTTAATTACAATGCAGTACTACAAACATAATATCATGCTTGATGAAATACAAAACGATACACGTAAAGTGTACCTCACTAAAAAAAAACTTAAGATTTTTAGAAACTCGTAATTTGTTTTAAAAAATGCCTTGTAAATTATTTTTAATATTAATGACATATATTATCTTCACTTATATATATATATATATATATATATATATATATATATATATATATATATATATATATATATATATATATATATATATATATATATATATGTATATATATATATATATATATATATATATATATATATATATATGTATATATATATATATATATATATATATATATATATATATTTATATATATAGGCGTAGACCGGTGGGTGGCCGGAGGGGGGGGGGGGGGAAGGGAGTGGTTAAAAAAACTTAAAGGAGCATGAATTTAGTAGTATTTACCCGTACTTTTGTCTCTTCAAGCAAATTACTTTAACGTACGTGATATAAGGCTAGATCTATATTCAGAGTTTCTTCCAGGCATCTCTTCAAAGTCTATCGCCCTCCCCCTCACCCGAACGAAATGGAATTTATATATAAAATATATACTTTTGACAGTGTCCGCTCCCCACCCCCCGAAAATTGTTGTCCGCCCCCCCCCCCAGAGGTGTAGCGACCCTTCCCGGCGCCCGGGGACAAACTTTTCGATTTGCACCCCCCTCAATATTTCGATTTGCACCACCCCTCGAGATTTCCATTTGCACCCCCCCTCAAACTTTCGATTTGCACCCCCCTCGAGATTTCGATTTGCACCCCACCCTCAAACTTTCGATTTGCACCCCCTCAACCTTTCAATTTATTTTTCCAACCCATTATGGCGCCCCCTAAAGTCGGCGCCCGGGAACATATGTCACCCCCCCCCCCCGCTACGCTACTGCCTCCCCCCCCCCCCCGAAAATTTCAAATGCACCCCCGGAGAAAAAAGCCTGGAAGAAACACTGTCTATATTATATGAGCACGATTTAAAAAAAAAAGAATCAAGTGACGGTAATAATAATACATTACTTAAAGTAAACGTTCTTGAACTAAAGTACTGAGATCTAGATCTACTCTATTCCAATGCCGCGGAAGGAGGGATAGGGAGGGGGTTGCTAAATGGAATTGACAAACCCTATGCATCGGTCGAAAAAAGTTTATATGTTTTACTTGTAATAATTAAAAAAGCTTTCAAAAATTAAGACAAAGTAACTCTTTTTCTGAAACATAATTAATTAAAATTGTATTTAAATGAGCCTAAATTTATATATCACTTAACTAGTTCTTTTATGCCCGAAGTCCTAAAAGAATGAACAGGAAATGATCGGTGATTTGCTCCATAAACAAACAACAGTGCTTGAGAGATTTTCATTTAAAATTAGATCTAAATTAATTTAAAAACATTACTATTATAGTATTCACTCTTCTAATTTAGAATGAGTTTTTATGACCTCACAAAGGACTCTGTTTTGAGGTAAAATAAAATTAAGACTTCTAACTAAAGAAGATCGACTGACATTTACTTTTTTAGCCTGATGATTTAAAATTTAAGGCAAAATATTAAATAATAATTTTGAAAAATATTAAAAAACGAGCCGACCCGCGGCATATCATACGCCGCTATTTAGTCTAGTTGTTTTATTCTCTACTTTTCAGTAATTCATAATTTGTGAATTTGACAGTACCAATGCTGCCACTGAAAATATTTGCTTTCAAACACTATCAGTAGGTACTAGGTAGGCATTCCGACTTCCGCTGTTTTGATTCGGCATTCCACATCCGGACTTTTTGATGCAGACTTTATAAAATCTCGCCATTTTCCGAAGAATGCCGAATCTCACTGTTGGAATCGAGTTTTTAGAAATATTCGATATAGATATTCTAGTGTAGTCGTATTATATGTTTCAATTAGAAAATTACCGCCATTATGACAATCTTGAAGCCGAAATCGATCGCACGATTCTAATGAGTTTATCTCGCGAACATGTCCCGTACGGTGCTGTCACATTTTAAATAAGTTTTCATATTAAACACATTATAAGTGTCTTGCCATTAGTCAGGGTTCGTGCGGCCTCCTGAAATTCCAGGAGGTCCTGGAAAACTCCTGGAATCTTAAAAAACGTAAAAATCTCCTGGAATTCTCCTGGAATTTGAAAAAATATAAAAACCTCCTGGAATTCTCCTGAAATTTGAAAAATTCTCCTAAAAATTACATGAAATTTTATTAACCCGCGGCGCAAAACCCGACCGAAATTATTTGATTTTGTTCCGCCAATAATTGAATAGTAGTTTTTAAATGGGACGAAAATAAAAATAAACGCATCGGCCGTCGTCCGACTAAATCGCACTGCCGTGATCTAGATCTACACATCGTGTGGCACAGCCGAGTGTGTGGTCACGTGACGCTAGGCGATTGACCCGATTGGATGATACTATAAACAATTTCTAAAGATAGATAGGCCTACATGTGTTCCCGTGTTTGACTTGTCGGCTTTTGGATTTTTAAAGTAGACAGGCATGTTTCATAACTTTGTCTTAAACTATTGAAACAGCAAAAACAAGTTGTAGTAGTATTTACGGCTCAGGACTAATCGTCAAAAATTAATCTTCTTTAGAAAACCCGGATAGCTGCGACCCGATCAAACAATGCTGATTCGCGTAACGTTTCATTATTTTGTTTTATACATTACTTTTTCGTAAAAATGGCTATAGAAAATAAATTATATTTTTCCAGTGGCTCTTTTTTTCGGTTGACTAAAAATTGTTAATACGCTTAATACAAATCGACCAAAATGGGCTGGGGTGGGTGGGGGAAGACAACTGACCATCCTACACGGTATGTAACACCCAACGTAACATCCATAGCTCAACCCGCCCCCACTACTCCGTGACGCGACACTCCGACGTCAACGATCGTCGCCTTTGATGTAGTGTAACACTCGAACGGTGGTTTCATACCCCACCTCCCTTCCCCTTCACTTTGTGGAGTTGATGTTACTAATCATTGGGCATAGATCAAGAAATCTTGCCAGACTTTTGTCTCTGAAATTACATAATATTCGTCTGACACGTTCATCGGGTCGGCCGACTAGCCTAGCATCATTGGATTTGGCATCCAAAAATCAATAAAATATCACGAAATGATATTAATTGGTGAAGTCTGCTTGCATTTATACCTCTTATAGTAAAAAACTCTTTAAAATTTGGTCCATACCCTCCCAGTATTTTTCCTCTTTCAGGGTCTATCCCGGTTGTCTGAAAAATCTGCTATTTTTTTTAATGAAAAAAAAAAATCATCTTTTTTGTTTATGGTCAGATTTTGAAAATTCAAACTGGTCTGTAGTCAGATTGATAGCCTCTATCCTAATATGTAACTAATATATTGTTTTACTTTTACTGAAATTAAATTTTTGCATTGGCTTAGCTAATTAAATGTATTATTAAGTACGCTTTTTTTTTTAAAATGTACAAATTGGGTTTCTTTTTTGTTTTTAAAATCTCCTTGAATTTTTTTTAAACTCCTGGAAAAGTCCTGGAAAACTCCTGGAATTTCATTTGAACTTTTGAGCATGAACCCTGATTAGTTGTAAGTGTCCATTAAATAAACAAATATTATTATAATAACGGTTTTATGGCACTTACTACTTCTGTTTACGAGTTATCATACATGTCAAATCCCCAAGCTAGCGCTTCGGCCTTGACAACGCCATGGCGTCGGTTTAGCACCGCATTACCTATTATCGATAAAATACGCGCACTAATGCCAATGACGTAGTTTTCGAAGTTGGGAAGAATTTAAATTGTGGGTGGCACTGTTAAAACTAGATAAAATACATTGATCAAGTTATCTATTAAAAACGACAGGCAAGAAGCTTAGGCTTACATTAACTAGTGTCAAGCATTTCACACATATCTACTTAGTATTTAGATTTAAGGCTTATACTTAATTAAGTTAATACTAAATTATACTTTTTACTAGATCTATAAATAATAAATAAGTTATAGATCTAGGCCTATTTCTTAGTATAACTAATGCTATATGTATCGATTGAATAAGTAAGTCTGGGCCTATTATTGGTTATGATAAGTAAAGAAGCTTGGTGATAAACTTAATTATTTGTGTTATGCCTATGACATTAGTAAATAGTAAATAATAAACAAAAGGCGCAGCAATTGACATGGGGGGGGGGGGATACTAATTAATAAGGCAGTGAATTTAGAATAACATGAAAAAGGCATGATAGTTATTATTCATAATAATTTAGGATACAATTTTTACATTTAAATTTAATAATAAAAAGTAACAAAAAACAAATAACAACAAACATTACGTATTTAAATCACAGCATATTGCCAACATATTCATATAAGCAGATAGACAGGGAAGCTGTAACTTCTGATGTGGCACAACTAACTTAACACTTAATAAACTTTTACAAGAATTTAAGGTTTTTCTATTGATTAGTTGTACCAAAATATCAATAGGGCCTGATAAAGACCCTAGTGTATTAAAGTAGTTTCCCTTTTGGACCTGTCAATCCATCATCCATAGAGCAGCTGAAGTAGAGTTTATCTGTTTCTTGACCACTGAACATGAAGTGATGGTGTGGTTAGCTCTCTGCCAAGCTATCTTTACTTTCCCTTGTGTCAGGTACTCATCTGAGCTTGGTGGATGCTGCATGCTGCACAGACAGACTTGTCTGAGATCTGAGCTTAAGACTTGCTTGTTAGTAGTTGAGTGCTTTACCACACCATCCCTAGTTTTATTTTTCAGCATTCTTCTTATTACATGCTTCAGTATCAATCACCAAATTTATCCTATCTGTTACAGTAGCATTCTGGACATACGTCTGTTGCAGTCACTATAATTACTATAAAAGGGTGCAACACCCTTTCATAGGACTTTTTAATTATATGCAGTCATACTTAATCTAATTTTTTTCTATATTTCTATTGCCCCCACCCTCTAGCAAAGTTTCAATTTTAATATTAAAAAAAAAACAACATAGACTTTCAGTCTGCATATTGACCTATATAGAACAGCACCCCTCACTTTAATTTGACCTGATTAGTTCTAATTATCCTTCATCAAATTTTGATTTTACTTTCATATTTCTATTGCCCACACTCTCTAGCACTAATGTGCAAAGTTTTATAATTTTATCTCAAATAGCAGCAGTGGTATGCAAGCCTAAAGCCAATCACACAATTAAATCCGATGTTACAGTGATATATAACAAGTTTAATACACAACTTTAAAAATTCATATAAAAAAAACTATTAGGCCTAGAATGATAAATTTGGTATTTTTATCAATGGGGTATATTATAGGATTAATCTGTGTACATTTTATCATTCTATGATAATTAGGAAAAATATCCCAACATTCCTACAGTAGGTCGTTAAGGACAATACTACCCCCACCGTCCTTTCCCCCAACCCCTACCCTACACCCCCCCCGTGAAAACAGCCTCCTACTAGTTACCTCCCCTAAGTTTAAAATTGTTTCAACAAAATTATCTGCCCCTAATAGCCGTCTCCACGAATGTAAATATTTAGCGTGAACCACAGCTCACCAGACCATGTAGGGGTGGGGGCGGTAAGGAGCTTGTTTTCTAGCATATCCCAGAAGAGAATTATATATACGAGCCGGCCCGCGGCATAACATACGCCGCTATTTAGTTGTTGTTTTTTCTACTTTTCAGTAATTCATAATTTGTGAATTCGACAGTACCAACGCTGACACTGAAAATATTTCTTTAAAACACTATAAGTAGCTCGTTAAGGACCATAACCCCCCCTTCCTTCAACCCCCCCCCCCCCCCTTCCAATGTTTAAAATCGTTTCAAACTAAATTATCTGCCCCTAATAGCCGTCACTAAACCTGACTCCACGAAGGTAAACATGTAGGGGTGGGGATGGTAGGGAGCGCGTTTACAGCTTGTTTTCTAGCGTCTCCCAGAAGAGAATTATATATATAGATACTACTAGATCTAGTCTAAATAAAACAGAACGAACAGTAGTAGATCTAGTACTAGATCTAGTAGTAGTAGTAGTAGTGACAGTAGGCCTAAAAAGAGTAATACAGTAATAGTAATACTGTACAGATTTATGAGATTCAAAACTGACTGCACTTCTTGCAGCTGATTGCCCAGAATCCAGATTGCTTTATTTCTAATCTAAAATTCTAATGCTACAATTTAAAAATTACAAATTAGACCTTAAAATTTTAATATTTTTGTAGTTGTTATATCTCGCGGTGGGGGCGATGTGGTCAGATGGTGGAGCTTACTGTCACACTGTGCTTACAAATTCTAATAAATAAGGTCAAGAGTTTGGATCTCAGGTTATATTCTGTAGGATGTACCTGATCCCACCCAGCTCTGAAGAGTACCTGACTCATGTTAGGGAAAAAAAGGTGGCTGGTCATAGTGTTAATCACACTATCTAACTGTATGCTGAGATCATAAACTCTAACATTCACCATGCCATTCCTTCAGTGATTCCACCCTTCTTGTTCTATATAGATAAAAAAAAGCATGTCTTATTTTTCTGTTCTTTAAAATAATCAATCGATTAACATCATGAATTCTAAAATTTTCCAACTTTTATACATTGATTTTTTTTTTTTAAATTTCACTACATCGTTTGTTTATTGTTTTGCTTGTTAATTTTTGCTACATTCATATTATGTTTTTCAATCTTTCTTTTTTTTAATTAGCTTGTACATTGTAAATGACATCACATTAATTCAAAGGACTAGCCTAAGGCTAATGTCTAAAAATAACCAGTTTCACCCTAACCTTTAATAGCTAACTAGAATCTAGGGTAAAGTTTGGGTTAGGTATTGTTTTATCATTCTTCCCTGTTAAGGAAAAGTTGAAGGGTTGGTTGTCATCATATTTGTGCCAAAAATGTTTTCCAGTCCAACTGAGCTCTTCAAGTATAGAGCAGCAAAACGTGAGTGTACAATTCCAACAAGGGGTGGACAGAAAGACTTTGAACCTGATGGTTCCTGGATACAAGACAAAGCTTTACAAGTATTCATGCAAGAAAGGACCAAGGTCCTTGCAGAGCCCAGAGTTGAGAAACTGTAAGTTATAATTCCTTCATCTTACACTATCAGGTTTTGGAAGTTATTAAAATTTAATTTAAAGTAAAATTTTAATTTTTTTTTGGATTTGTTAATAAAATGAACACTTTTTATTTGACAGGAAAAGCTTGGTAGAAGGCGTCTGGGACAAAGAGAAAGGACTTGTCAATGTCAGCAAAACAGTAAGTTATTTGACTTGGTGTAACACTTGCAAATGGTTTTTAGTTGATGACCAGGGACAGTACCTAGTTTTATAGTATAGACTTTCATTACCAGAGACATTAGCACCAAGGGTTAATTTTTGCAGTATATGAGATGTTTTGTATTGAAAGATTTTTTTTCAGTTTAACTAATTATGGGCATGTCTACATCTTTTGAAGTAAAAAAGAGAGGGAGAATTATAATTTATAGTTTTGTATGGTGATTGCTTAATCAAAATACTAGGTAGAAATTTATGCCATAAGAAATGTTATAAACTGGTCTGATTTGTAAATGTATGTAAAGTAAGGACTTAAAATGTTCTATAAATCAAATGATTATATGGTTCTGTTGCCAAACTTAACCTTTAATTAACAGAATGCCAAACAAGTTTTAAGATTAAAAGTATCTTTTAAGTTAAAACCCAATTGATTTCTTTAATGTTCTATTAGGCCTAGCAAATTAAGTTTTATGTATTTTGTGCTCACTTTATTTTTTTGTACATTTATCAGGGCAAATTCTGGGCACATATGGGGTTTACAGATGATCGTCGCCATTGGCTGTATCCAGAAGAAGCACTTTATCTAATGGAAATAGTAAGCTTTTGATAACTATTAAAACTGTAATTAAATCTTGACTTCCTATATGGAATTGTTTAAACATTTTTTTCCCCTTGATACAAGTAAAAATAATATTTTTTTTCCAGAATACTTTAGAAGTGAAAGACAATGGTGTGGCACTCAGTATTCAAGAGGCTTATAAAAAGTTTTTGGGCTCAGATGTGACTGTTGATGAGTATCAAGTATTTTCTTACCTCAGAAGATTGGGCTATGTTGTGCTACGTCATGAGGAGCAGTAAGTGTGGCTGATGTTTAGTTTCTTTTCAGCATTGACTTAGTTTAATATATATATATTTAGTATTAGTTTCTTCAAAAACATTTGTGTTTTCGACAAGTACATTCACTTTTTTGTTACTGTTGATTATTTTCTGACCACAGGCCTTTTATAACTCCATACATGAAGAAGATCAACTTGGATAAATATGTAGATAAAAAACAGTTGAACCAGAAGAAAAGGAAGTTAAAAAACAAGGAGAAGCAGCAGAATGGGAAGGGTGATGAAAAGAGTGATAAAAGAATTAAAATCTCCGATTCAGCATTGGTTTCAGACAGTGGTGTTATCCCAGTGGATAAGTCATTAGATGAAGAAGAGAAAAGCAATGGCCGGAATGTTGAACATTCTGTAGGTGTATCTGAGAGAGTAGAGGCAGATAAATCAACAGGAAGGTTGTCAGGCGATGAAGAGTGCAATAAAAATGGAAATGAAAATCCTTCAACAACACCCAGCGGCGGAGAAACCTCTCCTTCCTCATCCGCCAACACTTCGGCTGCCCCTCTCATTAACACATCTTCAACTGAAGCTAGTCATTCACATTCTCAGTTTCGTGGATTCTATACCAACCCATGGACTGAGTTCTTTCTTCTGTCTTCAAAAAAGTCTCAACAAGAATTATCACAAGTTTCTGGCCATGTAAATGGCGAGGACAGTTCAGATGTTTCATCTGGTACCATAGATAAAAAAGACAATTCAGATATTGCATCTGATAGTTTAGGTAGAAAAGACATTTCAGATGGTCCTTCTTGTAGCAAAGATGAAAAAGACATCTCAGATGGTATAGCTCAAGAAGATACAGGACTAAATTTGCCAAATATTGCAAATAAAGATAGCATTTTACTTTCAATCCCTCACCCAAAATTATTGCCAGCAGATGTGAGCTTAGGGGAGGATGCGCTTTCATTTGATGTGGGCAGATACAGACATTTGGTGAGTTAACCCAGCAAAGTAGATAAGTTCTGTTATAAATAAGTATTCTAAATAAATTAATTCTTGTTTTTGGCAAGGTCATATTATATGTTAATGTTTTTTTTTAAAATTATTCAGTATCCACCAAGGCAGATAACCAGGGCAGAGACAAGGGAGGAAGAAATGCAGACTAGGGTTCAAGGGTTGAAATTTTCCTTTCCTGAACATATGGCAAATAAAACACACATCCAGGCAACAAACTGGAAGGACTACAAAGCAAAGCTGGCAAATAAAGACCACAAGAACAGTAACCCAGTGGCTCATTACTGGGAAGGGGAAATAACTCCGCTTGTACACCCATCTGATGCTTGGTCAAGTCGTAGGTTTATTTTTCATTTTGACTTGTTTGGCCCTTGACCTTTCATATTTTAAAAGTTCAGTGTAAAATGTTTATCAATATTTAAATTGATGAAATTAAAAGCCATTAGTTGAAAACAGCATGCATAACAAATACTTAGCATCCTTTGAGCTGGCCTGACACATTTTTAAATATGTTGTTGGAAAGTGTTATTAAAATAAAAGACATAAAATACATGTATAAGGCAGTAAAAAAAGATGTTTCAAATTTACCTTGTAATTGTTTTAAGCTTTTTCCGCTTTTTTATTCTTTTCAGAATCCATACTTGATCATCTAAGGATAATCGAGTCAGCTGATAACACAAGTTTAATTCCTGAGTAAGTTACTTACTCTGTATCAACAGTAACTGTTTGTGTATTGATATTATTAGATCTTAGTTTGTGTGCTATATATGTGTTTTAACATATGTTGGATGATTGTTTGTGTGCAATATTTGTGTTTTAACATATGCTGTATGATTGTCAGTGTGCTTTATTTTTGTTTTAATATGTATAGTATGATTTGTTTAATCATAATAATATCATGCGACAAACTGAGCTAGGCAATAAAAACAAATCATGCTACATATTATTTCAGCTCAGACTGTATGATTGATGTTTCTATTGTTTCAGCTCAGTCTGTATGATGTATGTGTTTATTGTTTCAGCTCTGACTGTATGTATGATTGATGTGTCTATTGTTTCAGCTCTGACTGTATGATTGTATGATTGATGTGTTTATTGTTCCAGCTCAGACTGTATGATTGTATGATGTATGTGTTTATTGTTTCAGCTCAGACTGTATGATTGGTGTGTTTATTGTTTCAGCCCAGACTGTATGATTGATGTGTTTATTGTTTCAGCTCTGACTGTATGATTGTATGACTGATGTTTCTATTGTTTCAGCTCAGACTGTATGATTGTATGATGTATGTGTTTATTGTTTCAGCTCCGACTGTATGATGTATGTGTTTATTGTTTCAGCTCAGACTGTATGATTGGTGTGTTTATTGTTTCAGCCCAGACTGTATGATTGGTGTGTTTATTGTTTCAGCTCTGACTGTATGATTGTATGACTGATGTTTCTATTGTTTCAGCTCAGACTGTATGATTGTATGATGTATGTGTTTATTGTTTCAGCTCCGACTGTATGATGTATGTGTTTATTGTTTCAGCTCAGACTGTATGATTGGTGTGTTTATTGTTTCAGCCCAGACTGTATGATTGATGTGTTTATTGTTTCAGCTCTGACTGTATGATTGTATGATGTATGTGTTTATTGTTTCAGCTCAGACTGTATGATGTATGTGTTTATTGTTTCAGCTCTGACTGTATGATTGTTTATTGTTTCAGCTCTGACTGTATGATTGACATTAAGATCAGCTATGATGTTCACCTACCAGACAGCAGGTTTAAAAAAAGCATGCCAGGTATCCCCAACCACAGAGTGTGTGTCACCAAGTGAGTTCACTGTTAACCAACATTCAATCTCATTAAGTGGCTTGTCATAACATAGGTTTTTATACTGTTTTGTGTTGAATGTTAGCCATAATTCAAAGATTATTTGTTGGTTTGTTGTAACATTTGTTTTTATACTCTTTGTGTTAAATGTTAGCCATCATTCACTGTGGTAACATTGTTATTTGTTTCTGTGGAGTAATTCAGTGTAAACATAGATCTTATAGGTTAAGTACTCTTTTAGACCATGGTTCATTGAGCAGATGAAATAGAGTACATCTTTAATCCTGGCATTTGAAGAAATTGTTTAGCCAGTACTATACCTTGCTTCCTTTCTCCAACTTTAGTCAGGTACTTATCAGAGCTGAGTGGACTCTGGGGCACCTGTGAACCACACTCTAGACTTTTGAGTTAGCTCTACCACTTGACCACTCCATCCCTTTGTAAACTTTACTGAGTGGTTCATTTCAAATAGGAATTTCTAAATATTGCTAAACAACATAAGATACAATTTCTGTAAAAATACAACTGCTTGTTATGGTAGACAACTGTAACGGCAGTAACTAAAAAAACATTTCAAACATTTTTCTTACCTGGCAGGTGTTCATCTCAGCTCCCAGGCCTGGCAGAAATCCAGCAGGTGTGGGCGCGCTTGAAAGACGAGGTACCACTTCACTGGGCAGTGGTGGACTCGGGGGAGATAGCATTTTATGTGTTTGACAACTCCCACCGGCTGGAGACCCTGTCCTGATCATGTTCTTGCTCTACACTGGAAAACCATTTTTAAAATTTCTTCATGCTAAATAAAATAGACTACATTTTTTTAAAAAACCTTGGCAGTGTTTAAATTTTTTTTTTTTTAACATTGTTTTGGTAAAAACACACAATATATAGTTGATTCACACCTACTTGTATGTGTTAAGGTAATAGCTTTAGAAGTTGTCTTCTAATCAGTTTGGTTAATAACAATTGTGATTTCCATGCATATTTCCAGTTATGCACTACGTAAATCATGGGGACCCCCCCCCCCCCACTTCCCATCCAACTACTGTATGACACCACTGAGCCAAAAAATGACTGGTTGAGTGAAAATGTTTTTCATAGTTTATAAACCCCCCCCCCCCCCTAGTTCACTGAGTATTGGTTGCATCAAGTGGTTAGGAGTAAATCCATCACATGACTTTACTTTGCAGCTGTGTATAGGTGCAAGTAAGACAAACAAACGTGGAAATACAAAAATATTGATAAAGCCAACTAATTTCCAATGTGAAAATGAAAGAATTTTGTAAATTCACAACCTGAATTATTTGTGGTTCCGTTAAACGATGAACAATTTAGCTCTTATTTAATCTATCCATCTTTCTGATAGGGGAAGTAACTGCGAAAGGCAATCGATTACCGTTCTTGGAACAGAGGACTTGAGCCAAGCCCCGTGATGAAATGTGACAATTTATTTAACATTTTTTTCCGTCCAAGGCGTCGGTCATTGGAACATTTCTCTGCAGCTGACGATTAGCAGAAACTGACACTAGTGCCAATCACCGGCCACGTTTGTTTTTTAAAATGACAGCCTGCATTTAAAAAAAAAAAAAAAAACAACGAACGTTACTTTTAAGTGTTTTAAGCCATTGCCTTAAGTTAAAAAAAATTTAAACTAGTGGATAATGGAGAGATTTGTCCACGCTCAGCGCTATTTAAAAAAATATAAATAAATATCAGGGGCGATAATTTCAGCAAAACTTTTTGCTCACTTGCAATCACTTGCAATTTGTATCAGCATGGTTCAAGGCTTCTCTCGAATGTACAAGGTGCAGTATATAACGGGAAGCGAGAGACTAACAGCAAGTGTTGTTAACGTATATCAGTGTAAATCATTCAACGTAAGTCGTTGATTGCAACTGTCTTAACCGAACAATATCCAATATTGACACTCTATTTTATAAATGCGGCCCTCCCTTTTCTGTATTAAGTCTGTTTCGCTCTCTCATTCACCTTAAGACTGCGACTCACTCATTAACATACTGACCGCGTCTCTCTCATTAATGTAATGACTGCTCTCTCATGAACATAATGACTGCGACTCTCATTAATGTAATGACTGCGTCTCTCTCCTTAACATAATGACTGCGTCTATCTCATTAATCTGATAACAGCGTCTCTCTCATTAATTTAATGATCGTGGCTCCCTACTTAATTTAATAACTACGGCTCTCCCATCCATCTCATGACCGTGGCTCTCTCATTAATGCAATGACTGCGTGTCTCTCATTAATGCAATGACTGGCTCTATCGCGTCTCCCTAATGACTTCAGCACAGCATAAACAAACCTATCAATTCGATTCTGCTTGCCGCCTCTCTATCATTCATTTTTACCTTTCTCTACACTAAATCATGGGACGGAGTGGCGGTAGAGCAGAGGCGTAGCGATGGGGGGGGGGGGGGGGAGAGCAGGGGGGACATATGTTCCCGGGCGCCGACCTTAGGGGGCGCCAAAATGGGTTGTAAAGACAAATTAAAATGTCATTTTAGCTGCATTTTTGCAGTTTGACGGGGATGGGGGTGGGGGGGGGGGTGTGTGCAAATCGAAAGTTTGAGGGGGGGGGGGGGTTGCAAATTGAAAATTTGCTACCGAGGGGGGCGCCAAATTGAAAGTTTGTCCCCGGGAAGGGTCGCTACGCCTCTGCGGTTGAGAGCTGGACTGCTAACCCATAAGTCTCGAGTTCGAATCCGGGTTTAAGTCAATAGACCGTCCTAGAGTCCACCCAACTCTGATAGGTCCCTAACTCACGTTAGGGTAAGTAAAGGCGGTTGGGCATAGTGCTGACCACACTATCCCTTCATATGCCGAGGTCACAGAAACAAGTGAACTCTACTTCACTTGCCCCATAGACCGTCAGGTTTGAAAGGGAACTTTACTTACTACACTAAATACGAACAAGTATCAAAACGAGGGCTGACAGAATCTATAATTAGATTATAGATGTTTATCTTTTATGTTTAGCAAGCACACAGTTTGTTAAATTCAAGCAGAATTTGCGATCTTTCATTATTAAATATACCAAATGATGCTACAAGTTTTACTGTTACAAAAAAACTGATATAGGAAAATAAATCATTTAGTTAGGCCCACGTAGCCGGCAAAGACTTCGTGCCAACGCATATAAATATAAGAGGATTCCTGTCTCCCGATGACGTAAGAGGATTAGAAAATGGCGTCCAACCTCTGAAGTCACGCACGCGCTTTCATGCACCTAGGCTAGCACTGGCTGTTTACCATATACGGGCGGTGCCTTGAGACCTTGGTCGAAGGGACAGCAGCTAGCAACAGGTCTTAGCCTAGTTATGTCCCTTTTGCTCGCCATGATGAGTCCCAACACCAGTAGAGTCCCCGGTAATACAATCTTTGCATCGCACGTAGAATGTGTACCAGCATATTGGTAGTGTAAGCTTCAACGCAAAACGCGGCGTCATTTTGATGAGAGTAACGCAGAAAGAAGTTAAGCCTCTACATGTGACAGTGGTAGATACATAATACATAAAGACCATTACAGATCAGAGGCCATTACACAGGGAGATGGTAGACAATTACACCTTGAGGCGATAGAGAATTACATATCGAGGCAGTCGGCCATTACTCGTGTGTGGGACAAATCGTCATTGGGTTAAACCTGCCGGCTTCAAATAACCATCGATTTGTCCATCAACTTAAACGAAGCCGCAAAAAAAGTTCTAGCATTCGAATCTAATATACAATATATTTTTGTTTACAATGCAAGACCAACTTAACCGAAGCTTGTTAAGGTTGTTTAAAAACAAAATACTTTCCAGTTATTCAGACGAAGCAGAAACACGTTGTAATAGATGAAGTAGTAGAAACAAAACGCGAGACTAGAGGATATGACCAGGGGCGGTTTAAGCTTGGGCGGGGCCCCGGGCTGAATTTTTTCGGGGCTCATATATATATATATATATATATATATATATATATATATATATATATATGAAAGAAATGTTGACGTTGTACATATATAATTTTATTATATATAGCCTATATATATATTTCAAAGAGAATATTTGGTCAATTGTTTCAAACAAAAGTAAATATATTTAAAACACTAAAAAAGTGTCTCGCAGACGAGAAAGTATGTTGGCATTTATTTGGTGTCCTGACGTAAAAATACAACAGAGAATTTCCAATCACTATAAAGTCTCTATGTAAGAAATCATCAACATTAATCAATAACATACACGGCCTACACTAACATGCACGTCAACAAACCACACCTCCATCCTCTTATGAGTAATCCATAAAAAATATATAAAAGAGTGCCGTCCCCTTTTGAAGGACGTCATCCCTGACCTCCACGTCTGATGTGGACGTTCATAAAAAGTATCGGCCTAGTAGAGTTTTTAAAAGTCTGTCATAGTGCCCAAACAGGGTTCATGTCCCATATTTCACTCTAATATAGGTCTGACATTAACGCAGTATTAATAGAGCTGTTGTGACATAATTACCGGTAGAGTAGGGTTTAAAAAAACAACACAAGGCCTGAGCGAATAACTAACAAAGATTAACATCTCACATAAGGGAGTTTTAATCCCAAATAATTAGATCTAGATACCCTGTACATAAAAATATAACTATCCGAAAAAATTACTTCAATAAATAAAATCTTATAATGTAAAGCATCTTTCCATACCATTCTTGAATGAGGCACCAATCAGTGGTGGGTGGATTCATGTACGTTCTACTGACTTGAACCCAGATTTGAACTCGAGACACCCCCTACATATATATATATATATATATATATATATATATATATATATATATATATATATATATATATAAAATAAATAAATTGTGCTTGAGTTTCCGTAGTAACTTTTCGTGTTTATACCATTTGTTTATCACAGTGAAGTTTTCTCCTTATATATTGGGTTGGAGCAGTGGCGGAACTAGAAAAAATAGGCCACCCCGCAAAAAAATTTTTTGGCCCCCCCCATATATATATATATATATATATATATATATATATATATATATATATATATATATATATATATATATATATATATATATATATATATATATATATATATACATATACATATATATATATATATATATATATATATATATATATATATATATATATATATATATATATATATATATATATATATATATATATATATATATATATATATATATATATATATATATATATATATATATATATATATATATATATATATATATATATATATATATATATATATATATATATATATATATATATATATATATATATATATATATATATATATATATATATATATATATATATATATATATATATACAAACACACAATACGAACATAGGATACTCATTTCTAGCCTGACCGGGTTCAGAAAAAAGAAATTCAATTAAATCCTATCACAACAACATGTCATGTGTATGAGTGCATTGGTCTGTTTTGAAAATCTGTTTTCATTTATGTTTGCCTTAATACTGCTAATCATTAATTCGGTCAAAAGTATATAAATCATGAAGCTTTGTATAAGTAATGGTGTCTCGTGTTATGTTTATTTTTATGTTTTTTTGTATTTATATTATTAATTTTAACTACACTTCATTTTTAAACTATACCATTCTTTAGTACTTTTTTTAAAATAATAATTAAGATAAGTAATTGTTATTTAATTTAATTATTACAAATCTATTAAAAGGAGCTTATGAGCAGCCCTATTTGACTATCTGAAAAAGGGAAATAATTTATTGAAGTGGTTTGAACGTTTGCCTATCTTTCACACTAAAGCTTATGTG